GAGGTCGTAATGGTGTGACATCCAGACCGCTTTTCCCGATTCTGTATTCTTCGGAAATGAACCGCCGAACCAAGGGCTGTTTTCCCCGTCACCCATGACTTGTAAGTATCTGGAATCAGGCCGCGGTGGAAGCCGCTCCAATAACCTACCCACCCATCCACCCCCTTCATCATTATTATTTCAGCTTTTCCCCGCCCAGGGTGCATATGTGCATAAGTACATACAGGCAACGTGGCAATGACATCATCATCATTTCGCCAAAGATCTGGCTTCTGCGTTTTGTCTACATAGAGCTAACAAAAGTGTTCCCCAATGCATCCACCCAACCGCGTGTCGGGCTATTTTATATTTGGAGAACCCCTATACTACTAGTCCAGAAGAGGGTTTTCTCTGCACCGCGATTGCTGCGAAGGAGGGGGTGGCTTCCGCACAGAGCCGAGGATCTCAGACCCTATCTGCCTAGCAGAAGAAGCAATCCATCAGCTCTTCAGGAGATAGCCTTGTGACTCGGTGGTCTCGCTCCCTAGTCCCGTGGACGACTTTGCATTCGTCCATCTTTGCCTAGTGCCCACCTCAGATCGTTGATCATGGCTGCAAGTTCTGGCTAGGGTATGGAACTTTCCGACTAACCAAACAACCAGCTGAGCAACACGACTCCGGTCCTGAGTCGTGCCCCAGGGCTTGGGGTTATCCCTTGAGCTGTGTGTCAGTCGGAACCGTTGTGTTTTAGGTAAGACATGTGTAAAGGACATTTGCAATTGACGAAAAGCAGCAGAAGCTGCAGTGTGTTCCAACCACGCCCTCCCTTGGGCTGAGCGGCACCAGGTGGGTAATAATTTCTGCTCAAGAGTGCTGCTTCCGAGGTATCAGATAGACCTTGGCTGGATGATCCTTGAGCAGGGAGAGGACGAGGTGAGTCGGGAGAACAATCTGCCCAAATGCATCTGAAAGTTTACGGGCGCGAGGTGAAGTTTGCGTTTCCAGTGACCTTGTGACAGTTTCAAGAGAGACGTTGAGAGAGGGCCTGGACCATTAACTGCTCGGCAGACAAGCAGACTGCTAAAGGGACAGGTAAAGATCTAGGTACCTTCGAAGACAAACTACGAAAAGGGGAGAGGATCAATAAGAGCCATTTCCTGCCAATGCACGTTCACCTTATCCAAGTATACAGGGTCAAAGCCCATCTGCGACCCTCACGAGGCTCTCCTGAGATCTTGCTAGGGGCTTCTGAGGCACCCAGGCAGACATCCACAAAGTGTCTCAACATATCAGATAGATGACTGTCAGTCATTATACATCGTCGATGTCGATTTTCCAACCGGTCCTGGGCCCATTTTCCAGCACTTTGCTGCAACCGGGGAAATCAATGTTGTGAAAATGATGTCTCAAAGGACAGGGTAATGCGAGCACGGACCGACACACTACATCTCGAAGATCACTCCCAAAGGGAACGAGTACGAGCAATATACCACGGTACCCAAACATATCTACTGTATAGCCTGCCAGTTTCCGTGACACCATGCGCACATAACGAGATCCGAATCTGGACGAGGCGTGGTAACGAGCAGCCAGGTATGGGAGAGGGCAAGCAAGACGGGCAGCGCGAGAACCAGATCCTTCCCGTGGGTTTCTGCTTATAAAACACGCCCGTCTTCTCGCACTACATACTCAGTTCTTTCTCCTTCACCAGGATAAACACAGGGTAACAGAAATCGAAATTATATTGTTGAACAACTATGTATCAGCGAAGTCTCTAGGAGCGCCGGCTGTCCCGTGCTCACTAAACTGCTCTCTCTGCATGGTATCACCGACTCCATTGCTGGTCCTGGTCCTGGACCAGATGATGTCTGCCCGGCAATCCATCCGACGCAAAAAGGGGGCGCCGCTACCATCGCTCCGTGTCCTTTTTGATTGATGCTTCAGGTAATGTGTATATTGTAACAAAAAATTGGGTGTCCTTTCCTTTCCTTTCCTTTCCTTGCTCCTCTCCAACATGCGCCGCTGCGTTTGCCCGTCGCTTCTCTTCTATGATTTGGAGGCTCGCCACCGTTCGGCTCTCTTTCTTGCTTCAGCGACACTGGCTGGGTCGCGAACTCCCCACATGAACAGGCCCAGGGGGATCACGAACGCGCTGAAGAAGCCGGCGAACTGCATGTTGTGCCTTGACATGGAGACCGGCGAGGCCTTCCAGACGAGAGGGGTCGTCATTTTGGTTGTGGTGTGGTGTGGTGTGGTGTGTTTGTGCAGAGTAGGGTGCAGATGAGAGTGGTTTTTTCGGTCCGATGGACTTGTGTGAATATATTCGGAGCTGGAGGTTTTGTCCTTTTTTCTTCGTTCTTCGCTGGCAGAGCGTTTTTTCTTCCGTTCCTCTCAAGTATACTTGGTTATGTGTAAAGCAGAGACGGGCTGTCGATTGTCCTGATAGATGCAGTTCTCAATCAGCCAGCTTACCGTGAATCTTGACCTTATGTACTCGGTTCCCCCTTCAGAAGAGGTGTGGATGTTTCTAGTCCCCGTTCCTAGTAGAGCCTGACAAGCTGGCTGGCAGGATCGCACGCACACCACCCCCCGGACACGGTCATACCACCATGGCCTGGCCACATGGGAAATGCCGCACATAACAAGTCCTGTATGTCGAAGTACAGTATACCAGTAATGCGATCATAGTTTCATGTATGTCCAAGGAACAGGGAGGAATGTCAAGTATACCCATTTCCGGAATAGATCCAGTATTGTCAGTTGATAAGTGGAGTGACCACGACCAGGGGGGCCACCCAGGGAGGATCTGTGGCGGGGATATGTCGATGGATGGGAAGATGTTGTCGTCACTCGTCCAATGATGTGTGGTGGTATCGTGACTTGTCCTTGAACACTTGTACCCTTTCTATGTAGGTATGTATGCGAGGCACTGGTCTGCGGAAGAGATACCCGCCTCGTAAATGGGCTTTGTTGGACTGTCGCACTGTATCCCAGGGTAACGGTAGCCAGTTGAGCATGCTTTCTAGTTCGAGACCATAGAGTATATTGATTCAATCCCATCTTCCATTATTTTGCCCATGAATGTGAGGAGAGGCATTACTCGCCTATCATCAGGTCCTTCGGAGGACGCCGTGTGTGTGTTTGTGTGTGTGTGTCCCAAGTACCGAGTTACATGATTATACCGCAAAATGTCAGGCGATTCTTGTGTGGCATGATCTGATCCGCCAAGCGAATGGCGGAGTCAGGCAACTTTTTCTCTTTCTCTCCCCCACAACCAAGTCATCATCATCATCATCCATCATCCATCATCAATCAAAAATCCACTCACCGCGGGAGTATCGGGACTGCGATCCCTTCACGGGACGTAGCACGGGAAGTGGGACGATGCCAGTGACAGACAGCCTTGTGCATCTCGCCTCATCTCATGCCTGATTGGATAGCCATCCTCGACTCACGGCATCGACAGTCCTCCTCCTCCTCCTCCTCTTCCTCACTTACTATCGCCGAATCCTATTCATGTTGTCTGTCTTGTTCGAAGATGCGTAAGGAGGCTGGGCGACCATATCCACGCAGGAGACGAGAGTGGTGACATAGGTGTCTCGAACAGGTTATTTCCCCCTTTACTGGCGACAGAATAGCAGGGCCAATGTTCGGTGATAATTATTTGGACTCCTTGAATTTCGCTCAGATGGCCAGTCGAACGACGACAACGACAGGGATAACGACGGGATGCTCAATGGCGACGAGGCTCAAGGTGAGTGGGAGAGATGATTTCCAAGTCGAGCAGAGGTCCGTCGCCCCTTCATATTCAGCCCCGAGCTCTCGACGGTTTCAATTTGAGCACGCTCGATACCTGCCTGTTGTTGCCTCGATATTCTTCCCTCTCCTGCCCTCTCTCTGCGTCTCCCTTAAACTGGTGCTCAAGAAAATCCAATCTCTCGAAAGGGTAGTTCAGCGGCTCGAGACGGACAGAAATTTCTGTGCATATACTGCGCACAACACGACCGACTACTGCATTAGGCTGGGTTCAGTGCCATCGTGCAACTGACCCTCCATCTTTACACCACGTGCTTGTCGGTAAATTGATTGATTGTTATGCTAGAGATGGCCCGGCCTGAGTGCGAAGACTATTATTCGCGCCAGAGGTCATGCACTCGTACGTACATGCTTTGAGCCTCGAGCCTCGAGACACGCTCTGGCTCTCAGCACCTGAGCTATTGGCACTTTCATTCTACGCCTCAAACACTCTCGCTAGTGCAAAGCCCCAGGTAATGTTCCAATTTCTCTAAGCGAACGGCGGGAGTTGCTCGAGGATATAGGGGCCCTCTTCTTATGCAGAGATGCCTGTGAACCGATGTGTTTTCGCAGCCCATGGCCCGAAGCAAGCATTGCTGCGATTCCACCACGAAGCTTGGTCCCCCGTGGGCCAACCCCTGTTTTCCTGATCTCTGCAGCGCCGGGCTGGGGTGTTTCAGCCACCTTTATTGGATGGCTCTCGCCTATCACGCATCTTAGCCGTGCCGTTCCGAGGGCCGAACCGCGCGAAGTCGTCATTCTTGTGCGACGTGATCCAAACCACCAGTTCCTGGGACCAAATGCTTGTATCTTTTGCAACGAAGCATTTATTCGTGGCTTTTGAAGACACCCTCATTCTTTCACTGTTGCCGACAGCTGCCTTTGCACAACACAACGACAACTGGACTAACTGAAGCGCTAAGTTTTCCGACATAGATCGGCCCTCAGACGAACCTGAACCTCTCGCTAAAATCCCTGCCGCTGCAATTTCCTCTGTCTTGCACTCTTCTCGCTTATGCCACCAGCATAGAAAAACCCTCTGTTAGTTGAAGCGCAAAATGGTCAAAGCAATTCGCAATGGAGGTAGTGTAAGTTATAATCCACCATGTTTCCTTCTCTGTTGTCAAAAACGTCGACGGTTTCCGAGGGTTCAACTGATTGTCACTCCTTGATTTTCTTCTTCTTCTCCTTCTTCGTCGCACATCGTTCCAAAGTCTACAATCTTAATGCATCTTTCGAAAGCACTGATCGCGGTGACGCCGCTGCTCGCCGCAGTCACAGGCTCGGCGATACCATCTCTCGAGACGCGCCAGACAGGATGGCCGGCTTGCCAGCAGACACTCAGTTGCACGTTCGACCAAATCCAGTCTTCAACCATGCAAGAACGCTTGGCGTATGTCCAGTATATGGAGAGTGAATGGTTCGGTCCCTTGAACTCGGCCGACCAATTCGGCGCCATTGAAGGTGTCATCACCTTCTTCATTAGCAAGAATCTCGGCGCTCCGAACAGCTGGATCAGCTACGTCGACACAGGGATCATCGAGGCGATCCAACGCGGTGGTGCCATGGCCCTAGGCCTCAGCACAGACACTGGTGGAAATCCTGGCACTACACTGTGGAGGGATTTCTTTATCGCCATGCGAGACGGGACTTTCGCAACAAGACAGGTGAGTCTGGTTGCTTGTGAGTCACGAGCAATTGATACATGTTGCGGCCTTGTATCCCTTGAATCTCATCCCTGTGGCTATCCCCTGGACCAGGCGGATTTAACACTGACCTTGAATGCAGGACCACGACTACGCCTGGGGTGAGGCCGAAGCCACAGCGACTGAGTGGTCGAAGGCCGACAAGGCCGATGTGCTGGCCGACGCACCCGCCACCCAGCAAGAGTTGAACTGGTACGAATTTACCGTGCTGTTCAGATGGATTCTGCGACACGAGCCCGAGACCATCCTTCTCTTGACGCCGGTGTTCCTGTTCGAGTCCGAGAACTTCGTGTACTGGCTTACAGACGTGACGAGGCCTGAGCCCACCATTTGCGGGTCGCAGGCGGCTTGGGCGATCTCAGGCACGTTTAGCTTTACGTTGGACAGTATCATTGACTTCCCTGAGAACGTTATCGATCTGTTGTCCGCGATATACAACTGTGGCAGTGACTTTTTCGAGAACTCTTGAGGTGGCCTTGCCCGTGTGTTGGGGAGAGAATGAATGGAGGGACATCAGAAACTTAATTCCATGGCCTTTGTATATTTACTCATGATAACATATCTATGTATTAATGGCTCCACAGAAAATCACCAAAACGACCTTGTATGATGCGACGCCACATTCAAGACTGTGAGGCTGGTAAATGTGGCGCAGTAGTGTTCGCCGCATCGGGAAAGAATGTAAACACGAGATGCCGCAAAGTGCGTTCGGCCACCATCACCGATGATCTTCACAACAACCTCTCCAACTCGTTTCCTCTCGTTTGCTCGAGTTGTTTCACTCGTTCGGGTTGCACGTCGGCTCTATGGGTGAATGAATGCCATCTCGGGGGGAAGTGAGATATCCACGGCTCTCCAGTCATCCGACCTCTACCACAACACACCGCCAGTATATAATGCGAATAAATGACGATTGCGGCTGGACACTGCCCGTCTCTATTCTGTCTGTCGACTGTCGGCACTCGATGCTTTCCCTTTCGTACTAGAACGGCATATGACCAGCGATGTGAAACATGTCCTCACAGCCCTACAATCTTCGAAGCAGGCTGAACCCTCAAAGCCCCTCTCTGCGCTCGACCCCGATTCCTTCGCCCATCCCCAAGGCCGGGACCGGACTTGCTCGCAAGACTCGCTCTACGGACTATGCGCTACAACTGCAGAGGGTGATTGGGACTACCACAAACGGTCCCAGTGGGCTGGCATGCTGTCCAAAAACGAGCTCGTACGCCTATTGCGCCGGAGCGGTAGCGGTTCTGGCCAGGCTTGGTTTGGATGATGTTCCTGTACTCCGATACTTCAAGGCTCGACCAACGGCAGCTTCACTGAATCCTCCCACTTCTCATTATGAAAGTTCACCATCAACTACGCCATCCAGGAGGAGGGTTAGCACGTTTACTCCGAGAAGAGGCTTGGAAGAATATAATGGGGGCTCTGTGGGCCGCGAATGGTTGGACGAGTCTGCTGGGCAGACATGGACCGCAAGAGAGCGTATCAAGACCGCAGCGTGCGTGGCCCTGAGTCGCGACGGCCACTGGCTCGCAGTCGGAGAAGCGGGATACAACCCTCGAGTTCTGCTGTTTTCAACGGCCGACGAAGCTTCCTGCGAGGTGCCCACTTCGATCGTCACAGATCACACCTACGGCCTGCGGTGCATAGCTTTCAGCTCCGACACAAAACATCTGGCGACGCTGGGCGACTATAAGGACGGGTTCTTGTTCGTCTGGTCCTGTAATGTCAAAACCGGTCAATTGAGTTTACACTCGGCGAACAAGTGCACTGCCAACATTTTTGATATGACTTGGTGTGGCAACAGTGTGATCACGGTTGGCACGAGATGCGTTCGACTCTGGCAGATACAAGGGGCAACAAAACAGTCACCCATCAGGAGATTGAGATATCGCCCTTCCGAAGCACCCTCATCGAGCCCCGGACCGGTTCCGCTACAGAGTCGTAATGTTCTGCTGGGGTCCATGGTGGACAGCACATTTACGTGTGTTGTATCAGTCGACGAGGTCAACGTCGTAATTGGCACCGAAACTGGACAGATCTGTTTGGTCGACATCTCTCAGACTGTGCTGGAGCTCAAAGTTCTGAAGAAACTGGAATTCTCCATCACCTCGATCGCCTTCATTTCGGAAGACAGAAAACTGCTGGTGGGCACTCCTCACGGTGTGCACAGCGAACAGTTTGATGTTTTGCGGAAAGAGGAGAGTAAATCGCCATCCAAGCTCTCCTCGCGGAAACCTCGCCTGTCCTCCATACGACGATCGCTCGGCCTGCTTGACCAGGCGGAGAGAAGTTTAGTGGCAATAGGGACACTCAAGGACCACACCATCACTCTGAATAATGATGGTTGTCTACAAATCCAGCGTCGAGGTTTGGAGGATGGGGACACCTCTCAACCTACGTTTGCAGCTCACAAAAGTGTCATCCTGGGAGTTCGGACGCTTCCCGAGTCTGCTGCTCAGGGCAATTTTTTCACCTACTCGAAAAATGGAGAAATCAAGTTCTGGGGATCTAACGGCACACTCCTGAAGCAGGAGAGCCTACTTCCTGACACGGCTGAGTCAAGAGACGATGAGTTCGAAAACGAGCTCACCCAGATGCGCTTTCTCTCGGTGCATTCTATTTTCATTGCTGGTGATCGATTTGGGCTGTTGAAACTGATCAAGAGCCGCGATTGGCAAATTGCACATACGATCAGGGCACACAGCGCAGAGATCACCTCGATCGACGTTTTGGAGTCTGGATCGCTTGTTGCGACCAGCAGCAGAGACCGAATGATCCAATTATTTCACGCCAATGCCGACTCCTTTGAGCTTCTCCAGACGATGGATGACCACGTGGGATCCGTCAACCAGGTGATGTTCATCCATGGCGGTGAAAAATTACTGTCCTGTTCCACGGACCGGTCTCTGGTCATTCGCGAGCGCATGCTGCGGCAACCAGAGGGTGGGAAAGCCGTGGCCTATCTCCCTACCAAAGTTTTGACACTCAAAGGCACCCCATTGTCTATGGCAATGGCAGCCGAGAACACCTTGATGGTGGCCACCATGGACCGTCGTGTTACAAATGTCGATATCTCTACCGGCACGTTGCTTGATTCATTCAAGGTCGGAGATGGGGAAAGTGATGACACCGCTTTTCTGAATTCTATGGTGTGCTCCTCGATCCCAGACAATCCAGATCAAAAGATGCTGATCGGATTCTGCTCCATGGACAAATCGATCCGAGTCTACAACCAAAGGAATTTCACCCTCCTGGCCCGCGAATCTGGACATACGGAGGGGGTGAGTGATATCGCCCTCCTCGAACAAGCCGATCACTCGAGGCCCGGATCTCGTTGTACGGTCGTAAGCACGGGATTGGATGGCACTATTATGATCTGGAGCATCTCGAAGACAGCACCTCTGTTACTAACGCCAACGATCTCACAAGGACAAGGTGGAGGCTTGGGGCTGGTGGCAGACGAGACTGAAGTCACAAAGCCGACACCTTCGTCACTTCCACCACTGAGAAAGGTTTTGACGAAGAGTGATATAACAGAACTCCTAGGAGTGAATGGGCAGGGGTCACCTTCCAGTCCTCGGTCTCTGTCGCCGGTGCGGTTGCAGCGCAAGACGTCGAGACTTGCTCTTGCAACGTCACTCGAAGACCTCGAAGAAACACCAAGTCGGAAGGCTGGGTTTCCTGCAGAGAACATCGACTCACCAAGTGGCGAGAAAGCGGATATCCGACGGTCACCTTCTCCGCCGCCACGTGGGCCATCGAAATTAAGAACTCAAAGGTCTCGGGCAGATATCAACAAAGATCTGGAGTCTAAAAGAACAACGTTGGCAGAGCGCTCACCCTCGCCACCAACAACAGCTGTCTCGATGCCGGCCACACCCAAACAGCGGCAGAAGGCTAACAATGGCCGATTGCGAAGACCACCTTCAGTGCCCTCGGATCTGCGGGCCCAAGCTGCCGCCCAAGGACGCCGGCAGAGCATGAGCCAAGCATCTGACTTTGGAAGCCTGGCCATGGCCACGGATCAGGCGACGCGAATGCTGAAAATATACAAGAAAAAGTTGACCGTGAGTAAAGAGGCGGTGGATCTTGATGACTTGGAATCTGAACTTTCTGGGCTGCTGAAAAATGTTCGGGAGAGGAAGAACAGAACGCACCCTGGACAACAGCAAAACACCAAAACGGCGAGTTCGAGCGAACAGGCAAAGACTACCACCGAGAACGAGGTTGATCAATTGGCCACTTTGTTAGAGGGCTCAAGCTTGAGCAAATCACCGACCGCCACAGCTACGGATAGCAAGGATACATCGGTGTCCACTGCATGAATTTCTTTATTTCTTTTTTTCTTTTGGGTATTTTGGTCGATCTTGCCCAGGACAGAGCAGGCTCGTGTCGTCTTGTTCAGACAAGGACCTCAAAAGGAAAGGGAGTTACGGCGGGATTTTCCTTGATGTGTGAGGCTGGGAGTTTTTAGTATGTTGATCTGGGAATGGCGTGGAGGTGGGATTGTTTCCTTTTTTTTTCAACTTAACTTCCATGGATGGGAAATGGTCCAGATGCGATCAGAACCCAAGGAAGAACCGGGGCTACAAGGACGCTGGAGAAGGCTTCAGGGACCAAGAAAAAGGAGCCATAGGCAGGGTTTGGGACTCTAGGGAAGGATCATAGCACCATTTTGATTCTGCGTGTGGATAGTGGAGAGAAGTGTATATAAGGGAGCTCCTTGTTACGTGCAGCAGCTGCTGTGAGCAAGATCAGGCAATTTTCAAGGGATTTGTTCGAAAAGATCGAAATGTATTTCATCATCTCAACCTTGTCGTTGTGGGGTGACATCAGCCTCACCACTGTCACCAGTCTTTGTTTATACTTCCCCCACATTCACATTCAACCACCTCAACTTGATCGATCGATGACAAGGATAGATAACCATCCATTTCCACGTCACCACCACCGCCCGTTACCACACTTTTCCAAATTCCGAAGCATCTCAAAATGTCCAGCACCACTGAACCCTCGCAGTCGACGCATCTGCATTACCTCCGACATGCCCTGTCCCTTGCCCGTCAGTCACCTCCCAAGCCGACGAATTTCTGTGTCGGGTGTGTGATCGTGTCGTTCCCTCGGCAGTCTTCATCTTCATCTTCAACTTCGTCCGGGCAGCCTGCAGAAAACGACGAAGACGAAAACGACAACAAGAAGGCTGCTGCTGCTGCTGCTGCTGCTGCTGCTGTGGAAGGAGAGGTGCTGGCCACGGGGTATACGCTGGAGCTGGAGGGCAACACGCACGCGGAGCAGAACGCGCTGACGAAACTCGCGCGCCAGCACGCCCTCACTCCTCCTTCTGCTTCCCCGTCGCCCGCAGACCTGGAGCGGCTGGGACAACTCGTCCTCACCCCGGACCGGAACGTGCATTTGTACACGACGCTGGAGCCGTGCGGGAAGCGACTCAGCGGGAACGTGCCGTGCGTGCAGCGGATCATTGCGACCACCACCACCACCACCACGACCTCGATTACAGGGGCGGACGGCGGCAGCGGCGGCGGCGGCGGTGGTGGTATTAGGAAAGTCGTCTTCGGCGCGCACGAGCCCGGCACGTTCGTGCAGGACTCGCAGAGCCTGAAGATGCTGGACGCCGCGGGCGTGGCCTGGGAGTACGTGCCGGGGCTGGACGAGGAGATTCTCAGCGTGGCCAAGGCCGGGCATGTGCCAGGAGAAGCGGAGGGCGAGGGGGCATCTTCTTCATCAGGAGCAGTAGCAACGGCAGCGGCAAAGGACAAGGGGACGAATGTCGACGATATCTCGCCCGAGGAAAGAAGGCGGCAGGAGGCACTGCCTCGAAACCCGAAGAAGAGGATGATGGAGGTCGATGTCCCGCCGTCGTGATCAGGGAGTTCAACTGGACAGACATGCATATACATATCCCTTGCCCCCCTTTCCCCCCCTCCTCTTTCTCTATCTCTCCCTCAACGTTGAGTCTCACACAGGAAATGTTGAGCAAAAGGAGGCTCATAGGTGACCGAGACGACCACGAGGGAAATAAATGAAGCTCAAGGGATTGACTTGACCGCGACACGACGTGACGTGGCACGATACGACACTAATACTGGACTGCACTGTCTGCCACGCTGTCCTGCCTGGCCATCTAGGACGCAAAAACGTGTGTTAATGGGGATCTGGACACATGCATTTCCTGTGTTCTTGCTTGCGGGAGGCTGGTCACCACCCCACGCTTTTGAAGACCAACTCGACGCCTGCCGGCTCAGGCGAGGCGCCTAATGGAATCAGTCGGGTGTTCTCTGGACTCAAGATTTCAGATGCCAACCCCGGATGACGAAGGCAAAGAAAGACATGTGGGAGATCCAGAAGCCAGTGATACACTTCTGCTACTCGACAGACGGAGACATTTCAATGGACTGAATCGACGACGGTGAAGATGGATCATCGCCAATGGTTCTCTTGGCTGTGCTTTGAATTCATACGCTTCGTTCTACGTATCCTACGGCTTGACCTCTTGTGTTGAAAAGAAGCATTTAACATCAGCCTTGCCTGCACATTAGCGACTCTCGACTATCATATCATTCATTCATAGTCTTCATGTCCAATTGACGACAGTCGGCCCTGGGGGTACTGTGCTTCCTTCTGTCATGCTGATGCTGATGCTCGTGCTCTGGAGCCGCTACCTCTCTGGTTGCTTGACATATGCATTCTCGTCTTATCGTAGCTCTGGTGGCTAACCGTCCCACTGGCGCATCCCTCCTGCAATTATCGATAATCAGGTCAGAGATAGTACGCTGATAATACCGCCACTATGTAATCGTCCGCTATCTCACCGCGTTTTTGTGTTAGTTGTCAGGTCGCGACAGGAACATCGGGCTGAAAAGGTGTGCGATGGACAGTTTCCGGCGCAGCAGACTCGTGGTGCTCGCCTCTCCTTGCTCGCTGTCGGCAGGCCGTTTAGGGAGCAATGGATCGTTGGAATTCGTGCGTTCCAACTCCTCTGTTTTCCCTGCCTGCCCGGTGGTGCCTCCGGCCTCATCGGGAGCTTTCGTCCTCTTTCCCCTTTGGTCGCCGTTGTTCTGTCTTTCTCTTTCCCATTTGACCTTCTCCGCCTCCCAATGGCTTTCCTGGTTCTCCTTTTCTGATCGCTAATCAATTCTCCCCTGTAGCTCCTCCAGCTTGGCTTCTCGCTCCCTCCAAGTCATCTTGCGACCCTTACGCTTCTTTTCCGCTTCTGACTCGGATGCTTTGTTCTCGGCATGTTGTGGTCTTTCACCCTTCTTTGACCGCTAGTCAATTCTCGCCTGTTGTAAGCTTCGTCGTTTGGGGGGCAAATGGCTCGCCATCAAATTGTTGGATAAACGTATTTTAGAGCTGCTGATCCTGACATTTGAGTGGGTTTTCTTCATTTTCTTTCGTGCAACCATGACTGGCACGGAAGACTTGGTAACGAGATAGTTGGAGAAGGACCCAAGGAGGACGCCTTTGAGAGAACTGCGGCCACGCGTGCCCACGACGCAGAGAGTTGGGTCGAGCTCGTCAATCTGGCAGAGAAGGTCAGACACGTCAAAGCAATAATTGGGGCAAACCTACCGCTCCAAGAATCAAATGTTTTGGACTCTTGCAATGGATGACTTCGACCATGCACCTCACTTGCAGTGGCGTCTTGCGGACCAACTTGACAAAATCCTGAGTCAGGCCCTCGACAGCCTTGAGACGCTCCATTTCTTTCTTAGAGACTTTTCTCGCGTCGACACTGCCAGTCAGGCTCTCGACTTCGGTCGCGGGGATATACTGTGATTCCTTTCCCAACCCGAAACTGGTGCCACCTCCCTGTGTTGTCTGCCGGGTCAGTTTCGCCATGACGTGGGAGGCGTCCTTGCCAGCCTTGCTACCTTCGGCTGTCAGGACTTCTCTTTCGGCTTCGGTGGCCTTTCCGGCATTTTCATCCTCTATTGCGTAGATAGCAAGGAGAGTATCCCCGTCCCTCATCATGGTGCCCACAACCCATTCCATGGCATAGCTTGCTTCGATGCTCTGATCGCTGCACAGGAGGTAGAGTCTTGCCGTTCTTTTACCGACTTCCGACTCTTGGTAGAAATGGGCCCAATTGCCACGCAGAATGATTCGCACATGCCGGTCGGCCACTGTGGTGTCGAGTGGTGAAATATTCAACGCTAGAGTTTTCGCCTTCCTGATGGCAGCTTCGTCGTCATCTTCATCCTCTGCCGACGTCACAGATGCCCGCCTGATAGGTGTACTCGTACCGCCTTTCTGGTTTGTCACGTTTTCTCCGGTAGGACTGGTGATAGAGATGGACGGTTCAAGTAAAGACCTGACAAACTGCTGCGAGTGCGAGGTTCTCTTGGCCTGCTCAGGTGACGAAGCACCATTCGTGCCGGGGGACTTTGCGTCGACCATTTCATCGGTGGTTGACAGTTTTCGACGTTCCGACCGACCCCTAGTCTCGTCTTCATCACTACTGGGGGACAAAACGTCGTCATCACTGTCGTCCACGGCATCTTCGTCAGCCGCAATGCGGTCCTTGGCGAAACGCTCAGGACTTTCTTCTGAATTTTCGGTCGCCGTTGAGAAGCTACCTGACGACAACCGAAGATGTGCCTGATCGTCCACAACTGTTCCGGACTCCGTCGTCAGGAGACCTGGTGGGCTGGTGGGACTGAGGAATCCTGCTTTGGAGGCGGCTTCAGGCTTCCGAATGCGTGAGGATGGAGACCTTGAACTAGCACCAGCGGCCACGGTAGAATTATGTCTTCCCTGGCCCCCTCCGGGGATGCCTACGTGGAGGGAAGCGAGATCTCCGGCCAGGGCAGCCGCCATGGCAGAACCAGAACCCTCACGTGGCCTCTTATTATCCGGGGAAGCTCGCGCTGCCGATGAAGATGAAGGTATTGAGGAGATGTCAAATTGATAATTTTGCTCAAACCCGCGCTTCTCGTCCGTTTGTACCTTCGGCAACCCCACCGGCCGCTCGGCGTCTGACGAGTTCCGTTGTCTTGTGGTCACTGGAGAGGTCTTGGTGAGGACGGGGGAGTTCGGTTTGCTGGAATGAGGGGAGGTCCAGCTACTGGGATCGGAAGGATCGAGTTCTTTGACGGGCTTTCTGGACGAAATGGGGCTCGTCACTCCAACACCGATGCCTGCTATCGAGCCATGTCGAGGAGTCGGAGAATCGACGTCGAGCATGCTGCGGACAGGCGGTGGAGTGGCGGTTCTTGGAGGTTTCAACCTGGGGACAGGGCTGGACGGGCGTTTTCGATCGAGAGCAGCTAGAACTTCTCTGTTTTCTTCATCAAGCAAGGCCTCCATGCTCATGGGAGCTCGCGACCTCGAAGGCGGTCGATCCATAGTGTCACGGCGGTGAAAGGAGCTCTGTGTGGAAATAGAGGATGGAACAATACAACTGACTTACAACAGGAATAGGACAGATGGCGTATCTATGCCTCATGAAGTAAACGCTGAGAGCAATGGACAACAACAAGATGGTTCGTAGTTTCTGTGGCCGACCAAATCGATGGCCCGCGCTTGCCAGTGGGATTGACACTCTTGGCCGCAGGCGGGACAAATGGCTGGTGACCAATGATCAAAGAGGCACAGCCTCTGCCCAGGAGTCAAATTGAGTGGTTGTGAGGCAGATAGTCACGATGGGGCATCAGCATTGTCCCAGCTCGTATGCAAACAGTCGCGTGCGCACACAAGTCACGGCTAAGGGCATCTAAAATCTTGTCAGGAGGGGATCCGCAAAAGTCATCGTTGACCACGACGACGACGGTGGCATTGATGCGTTGAAAAGGTGCAAGCCCGACGGGAAGGGTCGCGGTTGGTGCGGGCGGCCACGCCGGGCTTGGGGGTGGTCACAGAGGGGCCAGCGTGCGCTGAGGGGGCCTAGTGAGGATAGTAGGCTTGGGTTTATCGATAAGAGTTGCCTAAGCTTCAGTGGCTGGTGACTGGGCACGCCCTATCATCCTGCTCAAGACAACTGGCTTGTGGCCACCTGGGACCTCCCCGGCAGTGCCTATGTAGCTTCCCTCCTGGGGCATGTCATGCATGCCACCAGCCGAGGCAGCCCTCTGGCCCACTAACCCACTAGCCCTCTTCCACCCTCAATTATAACGAAGGTTTCGATCCTCCTTCGGCGAACCTTTCGTCATACTACATGTATTACTTGCGACTTCATGCGCCTCCAACTCCTTAGCTTTGCACACAGCAACCCTCTGCAGCACCATCATTGGCCCCCTTTCGTCCTCGATGCCAACTTCTCCTCGTCACGGAGCACAAGCGTCAAGCTCCTCCAAGGCGTTAAGGCTGATGTCGATAAAACGCCTTAAATATATCTGGAGCCTGAGGAAGCTCAAAACCCTGTCTCGGTTCTCGTGAGGCAGCTGCTGACCTGCTGTTCTAGCTCCGATCTATGCCAGCTCTGCTTCCATGCGCCTCCGGCAAATGCTACAAATATCCCAGCCTTCCCATTTTTCACCATGGCTGACATTTCCCCCTCCACATCTTGCACAGCGCCAGGATGGGCGGCTCCCATGTGCTCGCGGTCATTGTGACACTCCTCTCTGTGTTGGGGCGATACTCGGCGTTGGCTGCGAATTCCTGCGGCACGGATCAGAATCCTTACTGCGCTGGCGACAGCACATTTGAACAAATATGCTGTCCTTATCCCAATGTCTGTTACTGGCAAAACCGAAATGGTCAACCAGGTTGCTGCCCAGCTGGTCAAGTCTGCGATGGCTCCTCCCCTTATTACCCCTCGACCCCTCAGCCAACGCTCACCCTACAAACAACTACTATACATCCATCTACCATTACAATAACACCGACCCCTGCTCCTCCGCCCTCGACCACTGTTATTAGCGGTGGGGGGATCATCATTGTCACTTCCGTGCCTAACAGCGGTTCCACTGTCACCATTACTACCAACCCGAACAGTGTCAGCACCATAACCACCGTTTATGGCGGCAGTTGCGGTGGTGGTTGCGCGACGGTTACTTCTGGGGGGGCTGGCGTCTACTCGACTGTCACTTCGGTGATTGGTGGTGCGTTCTCCACTGTTACTTCCGGAGCAGCCAGCGCATTTTCCACCGTGTCTGGGATCTTGGTTGGCTCCAATAGTGCTCCCAAGCTGAGCCCTACCTCGATGTTTGTGCACTTCATGGCTACTCTGTTTGCGCTCGTGGGGAACTTGCTCGGATAAGAAACGGTGCATGGCTGGCTGAAATTCCTTCAATTGGCTAGAGCTTGCCTCGAGACAGATATATCTGGTACCTGGTCCCGACCACATCTAATTGGCCAAATCCAGCCACGACAAAGCCATTTCTGATTGTGGAACTCCACTCACAAGACAAGTCCAAAGACAAGGCCTGCAGGGTACGACATTGTTCCCAAGACGGACGGTGCTGCAGCAATTGTGTGGACGGGAAGCGCTTCGAGCGCCCCGCTGGAACGCGGAGTTCCAGCTCTCAAAATGGGCGACTCTGTCGGTATACCACTCCTCAATGGACACCATGAAGTTGGCAGACGAGCGAAGCCAGCTCACGACCCACTCGGGGCATGATATCATGAAGCCATCGTCCTGGAGAAATCCTTCGCAGACAAGCCTTGACGTTCAGGTCTTGTGTGACACAGGATATTGGAGAGGTTGGCCTAACGGACTGCTATTCGAAGATATCCTTCCAAAGGACAACGAATACTGCTTTTGGATCAACAGGATCGTATTCATAGCAGGTACAAATCTATGGCGTAAATGGTAAAGAAGCCGCACTAGAACAATGGACAGACATTCGCTCTCACGCAAACTCGTCCTCCAATTGTGTTCAGGATGAGACGAAAATAATACTTTCAGAGTGGTCCTCGAAATCAGTCATATACTTTATGCAGATAGGACCTTTTCCCCATGACTCTGAGGACAACAATGGAGTCTTTCCCTCTTTTGCAACTGAATATTCTCTTTTAGTTATCAACCGACCTTTCAATGACAAGGGAGAAGTCATCCTAATCTCGGACAATCGGTGAAGGATTCATAGACATGACGATATAGGTGGTGAATACAGGTTTTCAAACAATTTTCTGTTACTATTCAAGAGCTGAACAGTGGAATTTCCTGACATGCCAGAAGATCACACGTATCCTATATGTTCGAATTCCAGACCCTGACTACCCATTTTCCAGTCAAAACAACCTGATCACATCCTCCCAAACGATTCTGAACTTCACCTCGTCTTCTCCCCCCAGGTGCACACACTGCTTCAGTATCCCGTCGAAGTCGTCCCAAGTCGTACGGCCTTGCGCTCGACAGGCGCCTGCGAGCAGGGCCACAATCCATGGCTCACGCTGACTCACCCAGCTACCCACCGCAAGGACCCACAGGTACAGCGCCGGCACCGCCTCCCAACTTCCTGCTGGGACGAATGACAACTCGTTGCGAAGTTGCACAACCAGCGCCGGAAACTGTGACCAATGCAAGGCGTGTCCGCGGATGTGGTGGTGAACATACATCAACGCGGCGTACGCAACTGTCCGCCACAAGGGGTCGCTGCCGGTCTGGAGATTCGTGTACACATGTTCTTGAATCGTCGTGATCCGTGTCGCAAGACACAGGCGCCGTTCGAAGCGGAAAAGATTGTCGTGCCGCAGGGTCTTTTCCGCCGTGGTCAGCGCGGCCAGGGGGCGTGCTTGCACATCGTTGCACACGATCTGGATCTCGCGTAGGAGTGTCGTGATTTCCTGTGCGAGATCCCCGGCAAAGCGTGCCTGGAGCGGTTCGAGATGGGTGACCGGATCGTCGGCGATAGGGGCATACACCGACTGCCACGCCTCCTCCCAACGGGGCAGGAGGGAGAAACGGAGGTGTCCCCCGTAAAGTTCGACAAAGAAGAGATCGTTCCAGCTTATGACTCGTTGTAAGAGGACGCCGACCGTTCCCATCCGGGAGAGGCCAGCGAGACCTCCTCGGAGCGTCACCAAGGCCTCGAGGCCAGCCATATGCCTGGCAGCTTCATCTCGGTTCAGGAATTGCAGCGACACATTGATGAACATGGATACTGCGGCGAGAGCCTCGTCCGTGACAGAGGCTGCCGACACTAGGTGCGCATTCATCAGTTGGATGGCGGCTATTTTATGTTCTAGGATCCGGGGGTTCTGGTACAGAAAGACGTCTTGGCTGACGCCGGTCAGTTTGCCGTGCCAATGCATTCCCCAGCAATACAAGTTTGTGTGCAGGAGCATTGGAGAATTGGTAATGAAGGGCACCCATTGGGACTGTCCGTTGACCGGGCACCAAGGGATACGATCGTAGTTGAGCCATCGCGTTATCAACGTTTCGTCCCAGGGTTGGACATGGACTGGCAGAGCGGAGAAGACATCCATGAGGTTGCCGCCACGCGGTTGTCTAGGAATTGTGGGCGGATTGTAGGGGATGAAATGAGCATAGACCACGCTCTCTGACAGTGTCAAAGTGTGCGCTTCTTGGGGCGATTGACCAGATTCATCGGCAGATGGTAACTCTGCCGTTGTAGTTGGCGGATTTCTCTTCGGCTGGCCTCCTTTCTTCCGAGTCGTTGTTCGCTGGCGCAACACCAAACGCTGTATAGCTGGTTCCGGCACTAGAAGTGTTGGCAATGGCATTTTTGGCGCAAGGGCATACGTGGTCGGTGTCGACATTTTCCAGTTCGCGTTTCTTTGCTGGGCCGTCTTTCGCTGGTAATCATGCATCACATGTGCTTTGGCAGAAGCTCGAAGCTCAGGCTGAATCCTTGCCCTTGCCCCAGGCTCAGCCGACATGGGGATGAACATGAAGCTGGGAGTTGGCTGCTTTGGCATTTTGCTCAGTCCGGGGTTGTCGCAATGCTCTTTGAGCTCGGCTTCTTCAGACTGCGGAGACTTGGAGGGTCTCGTTGGTCTCAACGACGTGACGTTGTTGTGATGTCGTACATGGTGCTGTTCGAGCCCCGAAGGATGTAAAGGGGTTTGAATCATTGTAAGCAATGTCCAATGTTTCACTAGTCAACTTGTCTACCAGTAGGAAGTGCTAGCAATAATGTTAGCAGTAGTGAAGCAGGTCTATATGGTGTGTGAGGACGAGCAACATGTGGATGGGAAGAAAACTGGAGCTGTAGGAGGACTTTTTATGTAAATACTTCACTTTCTACTTTACAAGTCTGTAGAAGGTCGACCTTGGCTCAAGCAACGGGTTGCATTAGAGTAATGGCTTCGCCAACTCCTCTCACCTTGGAGCCATACATCTATGGAAAGTGTGTTCCGCTCCCAGTCGTGGAAGGTCATGCCTTTGTCAGCGGCTTGAGGCCAGGAAGCGCAGCACCTGGCAAGCGTGTTGCAATGACTGATCAGCGGACAGTTGCTGCGGCAGAAGCGCTGAGAGAAATGCGGCCAAGATCACACAAGCTTGATCGAATACGAGCTCTAGATTAGACATCCTCGATGAAAAGTCGTCGGACCATGTGCCATGATCAAAGAAGACGGAGGGTGCTGGGATCCTGGGGTCGGCTGGAAGTAAAGGACCAATGATGCATCGCTGAAGTAGGGTTGTTGGGTTGCAGACGAGCATGCCTTGGACGTTACCAGGTCCTCTCAACGCCGTTATCCCTTGGTATTTCTCTAGAGCCATGGCAATGCGGCAAATATAGGTAGGACAGAAGAAAAAAGAGGGGAATATAGATATTAAGATATGAAAGCGTCGACCAATTTGTCAAGCTACTAGTCCTGTATTAAGGAGTATTGCAAATTCCGCAGAGGGAAATCCTACCGATTTCCTAGCTAGCTTTAATTAACGCTTATTAATAATACTTTTTCGTATTAGGGCTCCCGGTGACTCTAATAGCCCATGACGTCGATCCGTTTGGAGTCGGGAAAAAACACGCCCCCATCTGCGCGGCGCGTCCTCTGAATTGACCCTCACGTCGACTGTTGCTTGACCTCTACATGACCCAACTTGAATCTCAATCCGGCTTCTCTTGAATGGAATCTTAGACCTTTCTTCTCTTACAGATAGGGTCTTCTGCCACTGTTCATCTTGTTTCACAGTCTCTCCTCAATCGTTTCCGCCATCTGCCTTCCTCGAAACACACGCGTGCACTCAAAGCTCAGCCACTGCCTCTTCCCATTATGCCTCGGAAACCTAAGTCTAAGCGGCAACCCGCTCAGGAGTCTGTACCTGATGACAGCGGGACTCGCTCAGAGGCTGGAGAGGATCTCGCCGTCAACGACCCGCCACAAATCGACCCCTACGCTGTCCTGCATCTCTCTGAAACTGCTACTGCCGACGAAATCAAATCTGCTTACCGCAAACTTGCTCTCAAACACCACCCAGACAAAGCTCGACCTGAAGAGCGCGAAACTGCCCATAAAGCCTTTCAGGAAATCGCGTTTGCCTACGCCATCCTCAGCGACGAGCGCCGACGGAAACGCTACGATGCTACGGGTAACACCGCTGAGAGCACAAACATTGACGACGATGATTTCAACTGGGTAGATTTCTTTCGGGAACAGACTGAGAATGTGGTGAGAGGTGATATGATTGAACAAGTCAAGAAGGAATATCAGGGCAGCGAAGAAGAGAAAAATGACGTGTTGGCTGCCTATGAGGAGGGCGAGGGCAGCATGGATACAGTCTTCGAGATGGTCATGTGCAGTGACGTAGTAGCGGACGAGGAACGGTTCAGAAAGGTCATTGACGAGGCTATCGCCCAAGGCGAGGTGCAGGCATACATTCGTTACACCAAGGAAGACAAGAAAAGTCGGGAACGCAGGAAGGCAAATGCAAAGAAAGAAGAAGCGGAGGCGAGAGAATTAGCGGAGGAGCTAGGAGTCGCAGAGAAACTCTTCGGAAAGAAAGACTCTAGCAAAAAGAAGTCGAAGAACGGAGGCGACGACAATGATGCGCTCATGGCCTTGATTCAACAACGTCAACAAAACAGGGCCCAGAATTTCTTCGACGATCTCGAGGCAAAATACGGAGGTGGCGCGAAGAAGGGCAAGCGCAAAGCCACGGATGAGCCGCCAGAGGAGTTGTTTCAGAAAAGTGCAAAGAAGGGCAAGAAAGGTGTAAAGGCCTGAACTAGTCTGCCTATTTCTGCCCTGGTAGGGCTACGATTGCTTTTGAACAATGCGGGTTCTTGCGTACGGCGCTACAGCACTCAGGGGGGATTTTTGCTTGCTTTTGCTCACGATGCCATGGACTGAACGACGACGCTTTCCTCAATAAGTAGAGCCCTTTTTTGGACAAAATGGTCACTGGGATTCACGGAATTGAGACTGTCGTCTGTGCTGACGTTCGGGTGGTGCTTGAATCTACAGAAGTAATATCGCACAATAAACCTGAGTCGATTGTGGGTATTGAGATTACCTTTGGTCATCTTTAATTGTATGATCCAGTCCGATATCCCGTTGACAGCACCTCGACTGCATACATTTTGAGACGAGAAACGAATCAGCTTGTTAGACTGGCTCGGTTCCAATCATTTTAGGCATGTCAGTACCAAGGGATTGTTCCCCGTAAAAGACCGACTACTTGGTTGCTGACCGGGTGCATCGACGTGTGCCCATCAGCCATGCAAGTAACACTTAAAAGGTATCATTTTGAGCGTCATCTTCCTGAACGCCCACTGGCCGAATCAGGGGATCCCTGGTCTCCCGGCATGTGGCAGAATCGAGTAAAGCCACTAGAAGAACCTACGAACACACCAAGAAGCTAACACGGACATAAAGGGTGCGAAGAGTGCCCTGTCGCCGAAAGGGGTGACCTACTCGCCTGGAGATAGCGGCACTCGGATGCGAATCATTCTTGTTTGATTACTATCTCCTCACAACTCTTTGTATATATGTGATGGAAGACGCAGATACCATGACGGCAAGTCAAGAGAGAAAATAAAGGATGAGGCGAATTCGGCTCTACGGACTTTTTTCTGAGACTTGTCGGGGAAGATGGATGGAACGACGGGTGGAAAAACCCATGATAGGCGTTGGTGGTGAGCCGAATGAAGCCCTGGCTCAAATAATATCGTCATCAACTCGCCAATGGGCTAGAGGGTCGAACTCGCTTGTAGAACACCCATGCGGCGGCCATGTTTCCCAAGGGCCGAGCCATCATCTGACTGTCGAGGGTTTGGGCGTGGAAAACACTACGTTGCATCTCAAGGTGCGAATACTCCGCATTAAAAGGGGGCAGGGTAGGAGAAAAAGTAACTCGGAGTGAAGTGATTGGGAGAGAACGGAAGGGATTGACGGAGGATGTCATGGACTCGGTGTCATACGAATAAATCCAGGAAGCTTATGAGAGAGCCCCAAGGGCGCCGGGCGGCCTGGCATTCCTGGCACGACTGGTGCGTCGATGCTTAAATAGCGAGTAATAGGCAGCCCAGGGGCGAGATTGCGGGCGGGTTGCGCCTACAAGCCGTCAAGCTGCCAGCAAGAACTGCCGTTTGGGTTGCCTGCCGGGCCAGTCGCGGTCATTGCAAGTGATTGCCAAGCCGCGGACTGACCAAAAAATTTCGTAGAAAGGAGAGAGCGCCTTGAACCGCCTCTTTCCCAACTGCGGTTTTCTCTTGCTCAATCTTCATACCACCCCTTCAACAAATTCCAGTTGCGCCTCACTCTTGCGTGAGGCTTCTCTGGTATCGTCAACGACCTTCGTCGTCGTGTCTTTCTGTCCCTCTTGAGCAGGGTCGCTTTTTCCATCCATCGCCGCGGTTTCTCGTCCTGAACAGGCCCGGAAATCTGCCTGCGTGGTGAATCTCCTCTCAGAAGAAAAAAAGCATCACAAACACTCCTCCCTCTTCACCATCTCCACATAAGCACAAGAGCGGCTTCCGTTCACTCGAGACAGTCGCCGCAAAGTGGTCTATTCACCCTAGATTCTTCCTTCGCTACCCTACAATCACCTGCGGGCTCGGGAAACTTTTTTTTCAACTTTCACTCAGAGCTCCCGTTTGTCATCCGCTGAGTTTCAGCCTTCCAGTCAACCTCGCATATCCGAATCGCTGCCTGAAGACTTATCATCACCTCTGATGACATCGAATTCACAGCAGTCCTCTACTCGATCAAAACCTTCCTTCGCTGCTGCCGCAGGCGCACTACAATCCACAACCTCCCATTTTGCGACTGGGTCGAATTTGGCTAATCAAGGCCGAACCTCGTTTCCCTCCGCCTCCAAACCTCCTTCCTCTACACCAAATGCATCGGAGCCCACCAACATGTCTGCAGCAGTTGGAGGCGCTCCGCCCGCCCATGGGCATAGCGATTCTGTAAACGGCAGAAACCCTACCATCCCTGCCATCCCTTCTGTCAACGGAAGCGTTTCACTACCTGATCATACGCGCAAACTGTCGATGACAGTTACACCAGCTGGCGCCACCGGCTTTGCAGCAAACGGTGGAGCTCCTAGTGGCCCTCAAAACAAGCCGGGAAACATTCAGTTCGGTTCGTTGGGAGTGGCCAACCCTGCTGTTTCCCCTGCGATGGGCACACCTTCGTTGGCGCATCAAAACTCGGCAAATCTCAGTGTGGGCCAACTGAATCCTCGCGCGACATCTCCCTCCAATTCCCCGTCGCCGATTCCTCAGCCTGCTTCCGTCAGTGGCGGTCGCCCTCCTACTGGCTTCCAAGGTCCAGGCAATGGATATACATTTGGACAGCTTTCCGGCGATCAGAATGACCCGAGTGTAAGACCAAACGATGTCCATTTTAACATTGCTGACCAATTTCTGCAGGGCATGACCAGACCGATATCTCAACTCCAATTTGGACCTCAACAAGAGCATATGAGACGAGGCTCTTCGCAGTCGATTCACAGCGACGTCGGTGGCCCAGGCATCCCAGCGGGCCCAAACCGTGGAGGCTTTCCAGGTGGTCCAGGTCGTGGGAGAGGGTTCAATCCTCCATATCAGCAACAGCCCATGCATTTCTCTCCCCAACAACAATTCCGACCTACTTCGAACGGACGCTCATTCCAATCCGGGTATCAGGGTCGAGGTCAACCACTCCCTTACCAAGGATCTCCCGCTATGGGCACCCGTAGCCCTGCTCTTGTCAATGCCCAACCGGGAACGCCGAATATGGGAGGACAGATACACATGGTACAGCCCGGGATGCAACCTCAACCCAATGGATATTATAATATGGGACCCCAACATGTAAAGAACCACCCACCGTTTTCTTCTACCCGTGATCCCGCCAGAGAACCTGCAAGAGAGAGAGGCAAATCTACGAGAGGCCGGAACCGTGGCGGTCGTGGAGCTGGTCGCGGTAAAGGCCCTGGTAGAGGTGGACACGAGGAGGGATCAACTTTCTACAGCAAAGATCCAGCCTCGGACCACTATCGCCCCGATCTCGCGCATCCATCTGTTCAAGTTGTCCCCGAACTTGTGCAACCCCCTGTTCAAGTTGTCACAAATAATCCCAGTGTACTTCCTTACCCTGATCTGTCCCCTGAGTCTGGCAATTTTGAACGTTATTCGGAACACTTGCTGACTGCAAGAGCACAGGCCTTCCCAATGACGCAGGCTGATCCTAGCATTCAGCAAATGTATTTGCAGCAAATGTATGCCCCAGGGGCTATGCAGGCCCAATACAATCCCCAATACGGCATGCAACCCCAATCTCCTCGCCCGCACTTTAATCAGGGCATGTATGCAACCAGCATGCAGCCTTCATACAGCAACCAGGGCGGTCCGCCGCCTTCGATGTCGAGGCAGTCGTCCCAAATATCTGCCCCTGATCGACCTGGATCCAGCATTGGCCAACAGCCGTCGACTCCGGGCCCTGCTGGTGGTCCTCCGCACCCGGCCAATCGAGCACCAAGTGTGTCCTCGCAAAAGTCAAACTATACCATTCCCCCGAAGAAGAGTGCTGCCGTCCCAATCAAGAATACCGCTGGCGAGGTTGTCTCTTTCAATAAGTCACCCGCATCGCCTGCAAACCCGACTCCAGTTTCAGCTACGGTTCCGCCGCAATCTGCATCCACGCCTCCGAGTCGGACTGCCAGCGCTGCCGACAATGCTCACGGCCGAACAGAAAGCGTCAGCACAAAATCCGCAGAAGAAGTCAAGAAGCAAATGCAAGAAGCTGTCGCGAAGAAGATTGCAGAGGATGAGGCTAGGTTGAAACTGGAGAAGGAAATGGCCGAAAAGGCGGAGATGGAGAAAGAAGCTGCAGCGCTGGCCGAGCGGGAGGCCGCCGAGGCTCAGGCCAAGGCGGAGGCGATGGAGAAAGAAGCGAAAGAGGCGAAAGAGGCTGCGGAGAAAGCTGAGGCTGCTAAGCAAGCCGAAGAAACAAAGCCTGCAGAGGCTACAGCAGCGCCTTCCAGTTCCCAGCAGGACGAGCTTGACCTGGAGGCCCTTGCCGCTGAAATGGAAGCCGAAGAGGCTGCCAGGGAAGCAGAAGAACTGAAGCGGGAAGAAGAATACGCAAAGAGAAAAGCTGCTCAACGCGAGGCCCAACGGAAGAAGGAGGAGGAAGAAGCCGCAGCCTATGAAGCTAACATGAAGGAGTTGGAACGCAAAGCCGAAGAGGAAGAACTGGCCCGCGAAAAGGAAAAGACGGAAGGCGTATCAGGAGATGAAGCCAGCAAAAAACTCTTCGCTGAGCTCAAGCCCAACCCCTTTGGTACGCCTGCGTCTGTTGAAAGCCCTGCTGGCCCGACGACGCCTGCCGAAAGCGGGACTGCGACGCCCGTCTCGGACGTGTCAATGCCGCCTCCTGCAAAGGCTCCTGGTCGCCGAACCAAGGCCGCGGAGCTCACCCTCGATACCAAGAAGCCTGTGGAGCCTCCGGAGCCAAGTGCAACGCTGAAAGCCCTTCAGTCTGCCAAGAAGCTCGGTGATATCTCCAAGGTGATTTATCCGTCAGATATCGCATCGCCCAATCCTGCACTTAACGCGAACGCCCCGGCCGATCGCGGCTTCAAATACAACAAAGAGTTCCTCCTCCAGTTCCAGAGTGTGTTCAAAGAGAAGCCGACCCTTGACTGGGATGCTCGTATTCGGGATGCGTTGGGCGACGGAGACGCTTCGGCCCGGCCGAGTGCGTCGGCCAGGACTCCTTCGGGCATGGGTAATCGCAGTGCTTCGTCTCGTGGAGCTCCTCCTATGGGCAACTATGCGCCCATGGGCGCGTTTGCTGGCGGGGTGAATCGACCAACACTTCCGCCAGGTACGACTTCAGAGCAACGATTCGCTGCATCGAATGCCATGAGGAGTGGCGGCATGGCAGCAGCGAATCCATTTGCCCAGTTCTCACGCCCAGGAGGTCAGATGCAGGCTCCCATGGGTGGCCGGACGCCTTCTAACAACCCGCTCGGGCCTATTCCTGGCTCACCTCGCGTCGGCGGTGCAAGTCGTGGGGGCTCACGTGTTGAGAGCAAGCGCTCCAAGCAGAACCACAAGGCAGCGGCAGAAGAAAACAAATCCATGCCTCTTACTGCGGGTATGGCTATCACAGCTCTGGAGACCTCGTCCACTGGGTGGAAACCAAGGAGTCTCGTTCAGACCATCGTTACCGGGCCTGCTCCGGGTGGTGACGGCTTGATGGATCCTGAGACCGTGCAGCGCAAGACCAAGGCGCTTCTGAACAAGATGACCCCCGAGAAATTCGACAAAATCTCGGATCAGATTTTGGACATCGCGGCCCAGTCCAAACACGAAACAGATGGTCGAACACTACGACAGGTTATCCAGCTCACCTTTGAAAAGGCCACTGATGAAGCTCACTGGGCAGGCATGTACGCCTCGTTCTGCCGACGCATGTTGGAAAGCATGAGCGCCGACATCAGAGATGAGGGGATCAAAGACAAGAACGGCAATGTTGTGACTGGTGGTAACTTGTTCCGGAAATACCTCCTCAATCGTTGCCAAGAGGAGTTTGAACGAGGCTGGAAGGTCAATCTGCCTCCCCGGCCGGAGGGAGAATCCGAAGAGGCGGCCATGCTCTCAGATGAGTATTATATCGCGGCAGCTGCCAAACGCCGCGGTCTCGGTCTGGTCAAATTCATCGGTGAATTGTTCAAATTGTCCATGCTGACTGAACGTATCATGCATGAGTGCGTAAAGAAACTTGTCGACTATGAAGGAACCCCGGATGAAGCTGAAATTGAAAGCTTGACGAGCTTACTGCGGACAGTCGGCAAACAGCTTGACAACCCCGAGAGCAAAGCGCAGGGACGGATGGATCTCTATTTTGAGCGCATCAAGTCCATGATCGAGCTTCCAGAACTTCCCAGCCGTCTCAGATTTATGCTCATGGATATAATCGATCTACGAGCCAAAGGATGGGCCTCGAAAGAAGACAACAAAGGTCCGAAGACGATCACCGAGATTCGCGAAGAGGCAGAACGCCAGGCACGTGAGGACGAACTCAGGAGACTGGCGACTCAGAGCGGTGGTCGTGGTGGAGGCCGGATGCCCATGGGCCGTGGCGATGCTCGAAGTTTCAGCGGCTTCGGTGGACAAGTCCCGCCTCCTGACACGTCAAACCGAGTCGGCACCGATGACCTTCGAAAGCTCGGTAACCGCAACGCTCGCCATCCCAGCCATACGTCTGGTCCTGGTCCGTTGGGACCCCCTAGTTTGATGGGTGGGCGTACCAACAGTGGGCGTCGTGGACTTGGACCCGGTGGTCTCTTGGGCCGAGGAGATGATAGTGCTACTAGCAGCCGCACTGGGACGCCGCCGGCTCAGAAGGACAAGGAGAAGAAGGATGAGTCGAGCACAAATGCTTTCAGGTAAGCCCATGTGACATCCCGACGGAACCGCCCACAAAGCTGACAATTTCCCAGTGCTCTTGCCGCTCTCGAGAATGACGGACCTGGATCACCACCATCAAATCCCGCATCACCTCCCGTGCAAAAGTCGCAGCCAAGCATCGAACGAGAACGATCGAGATCACCGGTCAAAAGCGCCGAGTGAAGGCCACATACTCCCGATCACCAACATGTGTACAACATAATACGCTTCGATTACACTAATATCTGACTGACGGCCGCTTGTGGGGATGGATAGAAGAAAAGATGTGCATTGATACCCCGGCGAGAGCAAAGCCACCTGTTTAGCATTTACAGCGCCACGAAAAAGCGGACCGTTTGTTTTGACCCTGGATTCTCTTTCCCATGCAAGATCACGGCGGATTTTGGCAACCATGGATTTGAGAATCGCACTTCGAGCCTTCGATTCGAGCACGCGGAAACGCGGGATAGAGAGTGTGTTTCTACTCAAAAGAATACATTATGCATAGGGTTGATCTGAGGATTTGGTGAAGGAAAGGTCTTCCATCTACTGGCTGGTTGGAATCATACTACGGCTTCGTGGAGTAATGGTGGAGGACCGCAAATAGACGTGCCATGGAGAGCCGTTCGTCGCGAGAGGGGGTGACAGGTTGAGAACAGACCAGGGACGGGACATCAGGAGATCCTGCTGACCTCGACCATCCAGCAAGTGGGCAAGGCTTTTCGAGCCAGATGGGGGTCTGTCTGGAACCGGTCATTAACTGACGCATCGGGTGGTTGTCATCCTCGAGGGTCGAGTCAGCGTCGAGCGGCTCACATGGTCGACAGGAGAGTTCGATGGATGGTGCCTTCTTGTATTGTACATTGACGAATATTTCCAAATTTTTTCATTTCACACCTTAGCTTGCCTCCATTGATAATATCCCGTCCAGCAACCAAGTCTGGACGTAGGGTGAGATCGCTCAGCTCAATCGGAAGGCTTCATCCTCTTCCTTTCAGCCCCTTTCAGTAGTACTTCTCCCCATTTTCGGGCCTCCTCTCCCTCCGCCTTTCTCTGCATCTCTTCCCTCTCGTACTCCTTCTCAATGATGTGCCTATGTCTTTCCTCCCTCTCCTTTCTCTTTACCTCCCGTGTCTTCCTCTTCTTCGCCCGCTCAATGTCGTCGTCCCTCTCGTGCTGTGCGTCGTCGCGCAATTTCCTCTGCTCCTCCCGTGTCAACAACCAAGGCCTTGAAAGGGTTGAAGAGAGGAATTGTGTGCGCGACGCGATCAGTGCCATTTCGTGGCTTGTGGTGGGGAGGATGTTCAGGCGCAGAAGGGAAAGTTGGCGCGTTGAACGGAATGTCGTGAGAGTACCTTTGGCCTGGACTGTGGTGCCAATATCGAGCAAGGAGAGGGTATGTTGAAGCTGTTCGTCTTCGGTGGCTTCTCCATCTTCTCTAGAGCCGGAGTGAGGCTTGGACTTGGACTCTGGGACCCCGACCCGTCTAGTTGCTGGGTCTTTTGGCCCGGCACACAGCTCGGCTTGCTTCTTCTCTGGCTTGGGACATGTTACGTCAATGATCGCGCCGCTGCTATCGTCGATTTTGAAGAGCCAGTACTTCTCGAAGTAGTCCTCCAATGAGACCACCACGCCAATCACCTGAACAAATTGGATGGGATGGTTGAGGTAGAAGAGCAGCAAAGGCGGGCCACTCTGTCGTGCGTGGGGGTCGTTCCCTCCGAAGGCTCGGGAGGTGGTGATTTGAGAATACTTCTCATGACGCTCCAACACGGTATGGATGTCCAGACAGGTCAGTTTCACCCATTTCGACCAGGTGGCAGAGGCTTTGAAGGCGTAGGCCGGATAGAAGGTCAAATGAGCGACCTCGTCCGCAGGCTTTGTGGTCGGGCCTTCCACAGTGGGTCTGTCAACATGATGCCTCTGGAACTCAGGTCGAGAACGAGGACGGGGATGAGGTCTCTGCATTCATTTGCGAAGTATCACATAGTGCGTAGCCGGGAAGGGGGGTTTGTTGCGGAGGTGTTGGCAATTGCGAGGATCGGCGGCGACGCGCCGATATGCGCAGCGAAGGCGGTGAGTGGCAGAAACGCGTACGTGGAGATAGCAGGCATAAGGGGAGCGAGATAGGCGTGAAGAATTGGAGAAGTTAGCGGTGGGTGGGCGGTCAGGAGGTTGTGTTGGGGGCGAGGGAGGTGCACCAGGGGAGGTTGTTTAGGGGCGCATAGAGACCGCCCTTTGGGACGACAGAGGCCCAACTACCAGTGCCGGAGTCTGTCCGGCTCATCGGCTCAAGCGGCAACCCTGAGGCGACCCCCATTTACCCCCACTTACCCCCACTGTAAGTACCAACCTTGTAATGACGCCACATGAAGACCTTCTGCAGGCACAAAACCCGGTCAATCGGCTGAAAATGACAAATATCAGATTACTTGCAGTCACCACGCTCCACTTCCAGACTTGTCACCACCTACTCCAACATGGACCACACTCGTACACCTGCATCATCATCATCAATCTATCATCGCCTCAACGATGCAGCCCAAAATTAATTCTCTGCAGGCCCGCTAGGGCTACGGTATGGAGTGCCGGCCCACTGAGCCAATACGTCGTCAGGCATTTGGCGGGCTCCGTAACCGGCTATTTCGCTGCGATTTACTTTTATCTACCACTATGATGCTATGGGTGATTTTAGACCTCCATTTCCCTCTCCTCCTTCTCTTCTTCTCTTTCGGTCAACGAGCAGAATAGATCCATAGCCAAGAGAGCTTGGATCACTTAAACAGGCGATAAGCACGCCTAAGGTTGCGTTCAAGATCCCTCTTCCCCGATCGACCCCACCCGAACCCACGAGACCCAAGCTTTTTGGCAGAGAGACGACACTTTCCCGTTCCCCGAGCGCCCTGGATAGACTTGATGTCGGGAGGTTCCTTTGTCGAGGATCAACATGCCCCAAGGATCCAAGCACCATTAGGCGGCAACGGCCCTGCGCTTGAGTCTAATAAACATCGAGCAACACAGAGCGTTCACTCCTCCGCCGAGACGCAGCGCTCACCGTCGCAAAGTGAGGCATCTCACGCCAACGAACATGGCCCCCTCGAGAGGATACCCACCGCTCGAGACGAGCTTCCAGACACCGTCCAGGTCGAACAGACGACGACCGATGCTGGTGGCGGACCAATCCATTCCGTCTTCACAAAGAATCAAAAGATGTTTATAGTGTTTATGGCCTCGTGGGCTGGGTTCTTTTCGCCGGTGTCCGGCCAGATTTATTTCCCTGCTCTGAATGCATTAGCGAAAGACTTGAATGTTTCGAATTCATTGATTAACTTGACCCTGACCTCTTATATGGTACGCGACCTGCTCCCTTGTAGGCATGTCGTTACGAATTGACTTTGACGCTCGTACAGATATTTCAAGGCCTTGCCCCTACGTTTGTTGGAGATCTTGCTGATGCTGCTGGTCGGCGTCCCGCATATGCCGGTACGACACGTCAGTCCCAAGGTCCCAATGGCTTTCCACTGATTCGCTCCGATAGTTTGTTTTACTATATACATCCTCGCCAACATTGGGCTTGCACTTCAGAACAGTTACGCGGCGCTGTTTGTCTTGCGCTGTTTCCAGAGCTCGGGCTCCAGCGCCACCATCGCCATGTGTAGCGCCGTTGTGTCCGACGTTGCCACCGCGGCCGAAAGAGGCAGATATATGGGCTTTACCCTTGCCGGATCCCTGCTTGGTCCAGCGATCGGCCCCGTCGTCGGCGGTGTGCTCGCCCAATTTCTGGGGTGGAGGGCCATCTTCTGGTTCCTGATGATCATGGGCTCTGCGTTCATGGTGGTCTTTGCCATTTTCTTCCCCGAGACAGGTAAGCTGGATCACAAAATGGACTCTGCAAGCATGGTAATTGTTGTTGACAACTTGACAGCTCGTACGCAGGTCGGCAATGGTTCAATCCCACCTAGGGGCTGGAATATGTCCTTGATGAATTACCTGGCAATACGCAAAGCTCGAAAGCTGCGTCCTCAGGACCAGATGTCGTCAAAAGACGATCGGCCCTCAAGCGAAACCCGGCGGAAAAAGAAGTTCCGTTTCCCCAATCCGCTGCGTTCTCTACATGTCATCATGGACAAGGAGAACGCACTGCTTCTTTTCTATAACGCTTTCCTGTTTGCAGCCTTTTACGACGTGACCGCCGCCCTGCCTTCCCAACTGCAAGCAATTTTCGGCTTCAACGAACTCCAGATCGGCCTGTGCTTCATTCCGTTCGGCTGTGGATCTCTATGTGCTGCCCTGACCAATGGACATCTCTTGGACCGCAACTTTGCCCGGTGGTGTAAGAAGCTTGGAGTGAAGATCCGCAAGGGAAGAAATCAGGACCTCAGCAATTTCCCGATCGAGAAGGTGAGGCTGCAGATTGCCATCCCTGCGGCTTATGTCACGTCAATGCTAGTCCTGGCGTTTGGCTGGATTCTGCAGGTCAATGGCCCTCTTCCAGCACTCCTCGTGGTCCTCTTCTTCACCAGCTTCAGCATGTCTATTGCGTTCAACGTCACGAGCACCCTCTTGGTTGATTTTTATCCAAGAGCCCCTGCCACGGCCACGGCAGCAAACAACCTGGTCAGGTGCGGGTTAGGAGCAGGGACCACGGCGGCTGTGATCCCCATGATCGATGCGTGGGGACGAGGCTGGACATTTACCTTTTTGACTTTTTTTCTCGTTGCGACGTCACCGATGCTGTGGATGGTGTATTTCTGGGGTATGAAATGGAGAACAGAGAGGAGAGAGCGGGAGACAAGGGCGAGGCAGCTGAAGGAGGCGAAGCTGAACCGGGAAAGCTCTGGTGAGCATGGGTGTGTGACGGAGGATAGCGAGAAGCCTCCCGTCGGAGGAGGCACTGTCGAGATGGTTGCGGTGGCCGAGAAGGATCAAGAGAGAGGACGCGGGGGCTACCACGATCCGCCCAAGGACATGTCCCGGGTTCGGGGTGAAGACGAGGAACAGGATCTTGACGAAGTTACGGGTCGGGAAGGGCAGGATGTAACGTTGTCGAGATCGTTCTCTTATGAGTCTGGGTACTAATTTAGCAAGCAAGCAATCAATCAATCAATTTTGTGTGAAAACAGGAGTCGTTCCTCATTCGACGCTCCCACCACCACCACCCACCACCCACCACCCCCACCCCCACCGCTGTATTCTTCCACAGGCGTTGTGACTCTGGATCAGCAAGAAGGGGAGACTTGACCGCGATTAGATTGATCAACAGGGGGATATTACATATAAATGTAGACGAGGCTCACCAGGCTGAATCTATGGCCTCGAATCAGGATGGCATATCCACCCTCCGCCTGAGTTCACACACCATGTGACTCTCCCTCGAGGCTATATAACTGCAGTTCAACACATTAGACTGTTAAGTGCAGGTCTACCCGAGCGGCGGTGGCCCCGTCCAAGGGAGTGTTTGTGGCCCGCCCTTACTTCACCTCACCAAGGCTAAAAGTGCAGTGCACTTTGGTTCTGAAGGCGTTTGTCAACTTCTCGTACCCAATCAATGGTGGTGGCCTGGCAGCCCATCCCAGCCCAGTCCAGCCTTCACTCAGCTCTATGTGCATACTACGTCGAAAGGTAGTGAGGGGGGCGGGGGGGAAGGGGGGGGGAGGAGTCACTCACTTTCTAGGGGCAGGCAGGGAGGAAGATGTACATACATATGTACTGTGTACTGTATATAGGTGGGAAGATGTAACTGCATAATAATACATATGCAAAAGACCCACCCACTCCCTTCAGCCATGTCGAGTTCGACTTGGTGGCCGGGCCGTAAATAGCAATAGATATAGCAATATGAATAAGAGATGAATTCACGACAGGACAGGACAGGGGAGAAAGAAAGAAAGAAAGAAATACTGTAGAAAAAAGACCCCAGCACCAGTACCAGCACCAGCACCGCCAAAGATTTGGTGGTTGTCACAGTATAGATTTTGCCACAAACAAAACATTGCCTGCCGGCATGGAGTGAGTTGGGTGAGTGAGTGAGAAGGGTCTTAACCTAGGAAATACTGTCGGTCTGAAGCGAAGCAAGTCGTCTTCCCTCGGAATAGATTAGGGGGTGGATGGGAAGCACAGCACAGCACAGCACAGTACACCGAGTTGACACACTGAACATGACAGACTATAAGAGAGAGGGATTTTTTGTTCGGCCTTTCCCTTCAGCTATTACATACCCTTCCTCTCCAAACAAGCCCCCTTCTCTCTCTCCCCCTGCTTGCCTGCCTTCTCTTTTTCCATCTCCTTAAAGCCCCTGGTCATGCTCCAGCCAGAACCACTAATAATTCCCATACACCGTAGGCAGACCGACGGACACGCCGACATTCTGCGCGAACGATCCGATGAGGTTCCCTGTATTAAAGTCGCCGTTGTCAGCCAGCTTTTCCTCACACACGATCTTCTTGTGACAGCAACAAATAAAAACAAAACCCCCCAACATAGCAGATGCGAAAGGTCCTTCGCTATCACTCAGTCCACACTACTTACCTGGTGGTGCGTAATTGCAGACAGTGAAGTATGGCTGGATCGGGGGTCCCGCGTTCGTCAGCCCGCCGCTGCTGCAATCCGCGGTGTAGCATCCCACGCTGGTGGTCGCCATCCACACGATCTGCGTGAAGTGACCCCACTCGTTCAGCGTGCTGAGGTCTGGCTCCGTGCCGTAGTAGATGTAGTTGTTCACTTCGCTGTTGTACAGGCCTTCGGTGATGAATTGGCCCATCCCCAGCGCCGTGGCAGGGTATCCGGCGCCGATGTTCTGGCCGTAACCACCGCCGTTGACGGTGCTGGGCAGAGAGCATGTTAGCAAAGCACGAGAGGAGAAGACAAGGGCAGCAAGAGAGCAGTAAGAAAATGCCTTACGTGACGTGTCCATATACACAGGTCTCGGCGATCACACGAGCTGTGTCGGCCAGGCTCGGCGACCAGATCAGCGGGTCGGCCGAGTGGTTGGAGCGGTGGATATTGTGGTGACGCAGGACCGCATCGATATATGCCTCGTTGGTCACAATGGGGATTCCGGAAGACGTCGTCGTGGACAGGGTCGAGATGGAGCTTCCCGGAACACTGGAGACGGGCGTAGAAGTGATACTCGATGAGGCTGGCGTGATGGTGTCGGACGGGAGAACCGGCCCACTAACTGTGGTAGTGGTCGTACTCGCGACGGCCGTCGTCGTCGTCGTTTGGAGGGTCGACAAGCCCGTCGTGCTCGTCGGACAGGGACATGTCGTCAACGTGACGAATTCAAAGTCCGTCTCCGTAACAGTCGCCGTGTACACGAAGCTGATGCTCTGCGCTGTTGCGCCTGCGGCGAGAAATAAGGGAACGAATCCTTTCATTTTGGGGGGGTAAAGGAACGACTAAAACTGCAAAAGCCAGGTAGTAATGAGTGACTGCGGTCAGGTTGGTCGCCAAAATGGATCGGATCTGCAGGAAAGATGGAAATCCAGATGTTCCAAAGTTCTGTTTTGTGATTCTTGAGTATTTGGGCGCGCAAAGAAGTCCCACATTCCAGAGGAGATCAACAATACCTAGGGTTCCATGCTCAGCCGGTATGTGGCTTGTTGATGCCCGTTACCTGCAAGCCTCTGTCAATAACGGTCACAATTACCGCGGAGAAGAGTTAGACGTCTTTCTTTCGGATGAACGCAGTTGATGGCAGCGATGATGCCGCCATTGAATTAGCCCAGGTAATCGAGGGTGACGAGTATGGAATTTTCATCCTGGCTCCAGTTTGTTATCGAAGGAGGCCGCTTCAACATTGACGTTAAGAGACCTCAAGTGAAAATCGGGTGCAAAGTTGGACGGAAGCCCACCTTGACTGCACGAAGAGGCTGTGTCATCGGCCAGTACTTCAAGACTCCATGTATTGTCCCCTTACCTGCGCCGCACAGACCATTTAACGTGATGAGATATGCATTCATCCCATGTAGTGGTCGGTTTCAAGCCTGAAGTGGTGAAGTTTTCCTGGTTGTCACATGCAACAGAGTACGCCTGGTCTGCCTCGAGCATGTATTCCAGGTTCTCTACCTCAGTTCCCGAACGAAGAAGTCTCGTCCAAAAGAGGAGGACACGGCTGCTCAGCCACGTGAAGGTCTCAGAAGTTCTATTTTGAAGTTCTGGGCTGGAACCACCAACAAAATGCTTCGACCTCGCGGCGTTGAAAGGATTGGAAGACCAACCGCCTGCAAGGTGGCCCGACTCGTGAATTGCAGGCTTCTTAGCGAGAAGGTGATAGGTTCGGGGCATTAAACTGCTCAAGAAATTGGCCGCAGTCAACAACGAAACATTCTCTCTTAGCCCGTAGGCAAACCTTTGTCCTCACCCTATGCATGTATGTGCTATTCTCGTCCTCCAGGCCCCGCCACACGGGAGAAGAGGTCACCGATATCGTTGCCGTGCAGGGGGTCAATGATTTTAGCCAGACAAACATGGTGATAAAAACCACTGGTGGGCATCATGTCTTCACATCAAAACCTCGACTCCGCCGAATAGGGCCAAATATGGGTGTAGAGTGGTCAATTGGATGTCGGTCCAGGGGCCGGAACAGGTAGGGCTACGCAATCAGGAGCCGAGCCCTACACTTCCGGGGATCTCCACAACCCTTGCAAGCTCAAGCAACAAGCCCTCTCTCGGGGCTCATGCCGATATGTTTGCACAGCACGTTGGCGGTGGTAAGTATAGTGAGAATGGAGCCAAGGAAAGACACAGTTGCTGAAGCTGAACATGGACGACGGAATCGCAAAGGTGAATGGACGGTCGGTTGTCACAGCCGGAGTCGCTAAAGCATCATGCCAGGGACACCACGATGAGTCTCCCGTGGCGTCTGTGGTCTGCGCGCTAAGCAAGCGAGGGCTGAGTCTACCACCGCGCTCATGAGCAGAGACAGGGGTCGAATTCATGCCTTTCTTTTGCAAGGATGGTTGATTTCTGTCCAGGGGTGCCGTGTCGGAAGTGTCACATGCACGATCAACCTCGTCAGGCATATCTGTGATGCAAGTTGAGTCACAGCTGACGGAGCCACAAAGCGCCGAAGCAACCTTTAAGCTTTGAAGCTGAGTGTGGTGTATTGATAGTCCCTGCCTTCAGAATTGACATCGTCCTATCAGCATGTGTTTACCCTTAGTGCGAGGGTTATTGATAGCCTGCTATCCTTAGCAGGTAGCAACAGGGACTATCTCATTGAGGAGTCGCAATTCTTGTAGACATCACACCGTACCGTTGTTGCATGGACCAGGGATAGATAACAAGGTTGACTTGGGGTGGTCGGTCGTCAATCACCCTCAAGCAGAAAACTCCCTGTCATATATGGGACCCACCAGAACAGGGCGTTTGTGACTGGGGTATATCGGACATATAGCCCGAATAAGCAACCGTTCAAGCCAAAAGTACCGGGGCATATCTTGTGCAGGTAGAGTTATACACTCGATGGGGGAATATAGGATCCTGGACACTTTAGGTGCGGATAGCCTTGTAGAGGTGTATGAAAGGCGTAGAGCCGCAGCCCCCCCGTCCAGTCTCGGCTGTCGATCGGCCACTCCGACGACTTACCTAAACAGGTTTTGGGGCCGATATTGTTCGCGTAGAGACGGTACTGGTCATAATCGCCTAGGGTTTTGTTCAGGATGAAACGACGTCTAGCAATGTCAGGGAAGGTCGGATAGGCCCCGGTTGATCTCAAGTGTAGAGTCTACCGTGTGGGATTCATGCCCACGCAGCACTCACCAGAAAAGTAACGATAGAGACAATGAGATGTAAGGAGTGAATGAAGAAGTGAAGTGAGGACGATCTCGATACAAACGCGTCAGCGGGAAGGCGCCCGAATTGGAAACCCAGATCATCAAGGGCGTACTTGTCCACATATAGTTTAGCGGGCCTGAAAAAAGGTTTCTATTTTTGCTTCTCCCACGTGTCGGAGAATTCCCCACGGATCATCTCAACACACTGCGAACAGATGAAATCCTTTTTTCCTGTCGTGGACGGTGGAGTGCCAGGCCGGAGAGGGGCCTAGAACATCCCACGAGTCGGTGGACCGACAAAAGGGACACACACACAGAGTCTGCCTCGCACGTCGACAAGCAAAATACGCCTGATTCGGAGTGAGCGTGCTGAGGACAGCAATAGGCCAGTCGGAACAAAGGTTAATCCAGTCCCGGAGCGCTGCGCCCCGCCTAGGCGTGTTCCAGCCCCGTGGGCACGTTGGGAATATCGGTGAGCAAGTCATCAGTCAATCACATGTTCTGAGGGCTTGTCGTCGTCATTGTCATCATCACCAAATGCTCGCCCAGACATGCATGGTCCATTTGTCATGTGGATATGTTACAAGAACGCGGAATATGAGGTCTTCCGCATCGTCACTTCGAGGCATTTTCTGAGCACGTGTGGAGACTCCTCCAGGGGTGAGTCCATATGAGCATGCAATAACTGCGTATGTACTCGGTAGTCATCCACCCCTCCCTCTGCGGGTCAGACATGGCCTTTTCTTAGACATGAGGTGCCCATACGAACAGGTGAGGTGACCTAGTTTGGCGCACGTCACTACATAGGTAGGTGCTGGTAACTCGTAGCATGGCTCTTTGCGAATCAACCTGCCCAGATTGCCCGTGTCTGTGTCTGTGACTCCAGCTCGCGTATCGCATAGTAGTAGAAACTTTGCACCTCTTCGCCTGTACTCCACTAATCCTGGCTCAGACGCCGTCCGCCGTTGCATTTCCCTTGGTCGCCGACACGAAAGTGACCAGTACGATATGGAACCAGAATGGGTTGTTGCGACCACTCGACGCAAGTGTAACGGGATCGATACGATACTACTGCATGAACGACGAGACAAGGGAAGGTGATTGGGTCAGGAGACCGGGAAGGGGACACTTTCCTTCATCCAAAAGGAGAATTTCATCCTTCCCTTCCAAACTGCGCCTTGGTGTGTGTGGTTTTTAGTCTGCGCGGAATGGGGTTCGCGTGGAATCTGGTGCGAAGGGTATCAATGATGATTGGATAGAGAGCGGACGCGAGTGTCAAAAAGGTTAAGAACCCAAGAAACTTCTCTTTTGGCCAAAAATGTGAGCACTAGCGTTCATAATCCCCACTATATCCCCCGTTGTGGCCAATCTCAGACTCCAGCTCTGTCCCCTAATGCATATCTTTGCAGCCCTAACCTGCCCTAAAAGCCACGCCGCCTGGTCCCTCGACTCAATCGTTGAATTTAGCACACCTCCCAGCTTCCGCGACCGTCTTTCTGTCGCCTTTCGCTTGCACCCTCACTGCCCACTAACAAGTGTAACATAACGCCTCCCGTGCCTTTGTGCCATGTGAATGGTCCTGTACCCTTGCTTAGCTCCCTCGTGAGAGAGCAGCAGGAAGCAGACGGTCAATGGACAGGGACAAGGGGGCAATGCAAGACCAGGCTCACCCTAAGGCCATCAGGAATCAGGATCTCCAAGAGGCTGCCTGAGGTTTCGGGCTCCACATTTTCCTCTTTTTCAAAAGTCCATTTTCTCTGTGCGGTGGGCACACCCGTCAGCCCTACGAGCATGGCTGGGTAGAGGGACACCATGACCCGGCAGCCAGGGACCTTTGGTCGCCTGTTTCCTGTCCCCCTTCCATCATTCGCTGATGGATCCCATCCACAGGCGAATCTCGCAGCCCATGCACGGTGAGTGTGCACTGTGGACTTCATCAGCCCCCAAATTTACCTCATCGCGGTCAGGAACCCGGATCTGTCTAGGTTCACCGATCGAACCCCCTAACCCGCTTCCTCGTCGGGCCCATCTACGTGGGTCGTACGCCGCCTTCTTACTATACCACTCCACCAAGGATATATATCATCTGTTTTCTCATCACTCAAAGATTTCGAATGTTCACTTCCATCACATCAACACACTCCTTCAACAGCAAAACATCTCATTATTTCTTAATCCATTTCATTTGTTCGCGAATTCCCATTGCCAGAGTTTCCAGTTCAGCACACAGCCAGCCCCAGATTTGAGGTATAGCCCATACTTTCCTTATTTCTGTTTTCCTATCTTCTTGCAGTACAACACCACCGCCAGTCCCAACAACAACAGCAGCAGCCCAAAGCCCAGTCCCATCTCAGTCTATTTCCTTATTTTCTTTTGTCTCTGTCTCTTCGATTCCCCAGCTTGTCTGCGACACCCATCCATTTTCGCAGAGCCCAGCGCCGACCAAAACACCATTCATTTCCTCGTGTTTTTCATCCCAACTACACTCGCACTCACAATGGCCATGGGACGAGGCGGATACAACACCCCAGCTGCTCCCCAAAAGGGCCGCGGTGGTTACAACAGACAGGGTCGTGGCGGATACAACAGAACCCCCGTCGTCCAAGGTCGGGGCGGATACAACCGACAGCAGGCTGCCCAAGGTCGCGGTGGATACAACTGAATCGTCCGCTATGCAATCTCTCTTCGCCGATACGACAAGCCCTATCGAAGAAACCGTGTTTCATCGACCCCCGCCCCATTCATTCGACGCGTGACATATGACTTGAGTGATCCCGGCCTCGATCACCATCCATTCTTTCGGCACTGTCCCAGCTCTTGATGAGCCATCTCTTTCTCTCGGCAAATTCATTTCCCGACACAGAACCTATACAGCACCAAAAGTTCAGCAAATTGCACATATCTCTCATCGACACTTTAGCGGCATTGACAGGAGTTTTGTCTTTTTTTCTCGATTCGGCATATAATCACATCATTTTGCTCTGGCAGCACAATTCAACAACAAGGCGCAGGAACGCAAAAACCATCAGATCATTTTTCGGGAGTTACAGGGGACATATGGGATATTAATGGAGCTCAGGAAGGGGCATTGCAATGGGGGCAGGTCTTTGCATCAGCAATTTTTGCAGTCTTTCTTTTTGGACATGGTTCCCCATTCTTTTGGAGAGTTGAGGAGGAAATAAAGAGCTTGCATGGGCACAGCCAGCCCAGCGTGTGGATCAACAGGACGGATATGAGCCAGAAAGAGCCCCAGAATCAGGACAGACAGATTGGGAGATAGATACCCCAGAATTAACGTGCGACCATTGAATGTCACAGTTTTGGATCTTCAAGAGCATCTCCGAAAGCCTCTCCATGGAACGACAATGACAACAGGTGCAACTGGAAATGACTAAAAGGAGAAGTAGCTCACTCACTTTTCAAAGACGACTCCAAGGACGTCCTCCACATCGCCGGATCCTCCCTTACCCGTAATCTTGGCCAGGCAGTCGGCTGCGAACCGGAGATGTTCCGCTGCAGTCACGATATCGACTGCACCATCCACCTCTCCATCTCCGTTGGCCTGTGCTATATTTGGAGCGACAAAGTCATCGTGGCGGCGAGCGCGATACCCAGTGGCGGGATTGCACGAATCGGAGATTTCCGGTGTTTCCGTATGCAGGTGAGATTGCGTCTGGGCAAGGAAGTCTTCGAGATGATGTAAGCACTGCGACAGGTACCTGGTCTGCCGGTGCGTGACTGAGAGGGATGTGGCCCAGTAGGACTGTGCTTCCGCTGCGGTCATTTTGGGATTCGCAATGTCTTCGCCGGTCGACGCTGTCGTCAATTCCACGAATGTGCTGGTCAGTTGTCTGAGGAATGCCTGAATACCGCCAGGGTCAGCGCCGACTAGACTGTTCGCCGCGGCTTTGCAGGACACCATGCATATCCGCCGCTCAGGGACCATTGGAAGTATCTGACGGGTTCGTGTCTGCAAGACCCTCATGGCTTCTTGTTTTGGTCCATCGTCATCCATGTCCAGCAGGTCAATCTTATTTAGGACGACGAGAATAGTCTTGCCGGCAGCACCGCATTCTTGCACCGCCTCAAGAACCTGTTCATTGACGGGGACTTGCGGATTTCCATCTTTATCCAGCTCGATCGACAATAGTACCAGAACCACGTCGGATCGCATGGCCCGCTCTCTTGCTCGACGAATTCCTTCTTGTTCCACCAAGCCGACAGGTTGCTGCCGCTGTCCAGAAGCTCTAATTGCGCGGAGGCCGGCCATATCACCAAGTCGACATAGCCAGCCATCAAGGTCGATCGAGACGTCGACAATGTCTCGAGTGGTCCCTTCTTCGGCACTGACGATTGCAGCCTCTCGTCCGACAATCTGGTTGAGTAAGGAACTCTTGCCGGCGTTGGGTGCACCCAGCAAAGCTATGCTGATGCCATTACGCAGTAGCTCCCCTTTGGAGGCATTTTGAAGATGTAGCTCAATCTGTCTCTTCAAAGTGCGGACCTGATGTGAGATCGACGTTACAAACTGAGCCGGCGACTCATCGAAATGTTGGTCTTCAGAGAAGTCGATCAGAGCCTCTAGCTCTCCTCGAGCATATAGCAGCATGGTACGCCATTCCTCGTATCTCGTAGAAAGTCCGCCGTCTGCTCCGCTGACAGCCAAGCGACGCTGTTGTTCGGTTTCGGCTGCTAGGGTTTCCCCCAACGCTTCAGCCTGTGTGAGGTCCAATTTGCCATTGTAGAATGCCCACTTTGTAAACTCGCCAGGATCGGCATGCCTCAGTGCTCCTCCTCTTCCGTGCATCAAGGGACCGCACCTTAATATGGCGTCCAAGACCGACCGAACAATAGCGGGGCCGCCGTGGACATGCAGCTCGAGCACATCCTCGCCAGTCACGGTGTCGGGAGCGGGAAAGTAGAGGACCAGTGCGCCAGTATCAAGAACTCGGGGAGCTGAAGATTGTGGGCTGCTGGGGTCGTAAAGCTTTCGTAGCGTTGCCGTACGAGGTTTCGGCATAGTACGGTGCGGGCAGAGCCGTTGATAAATGTAAAGACATGCTGGGCCAGAGACACGGATAACTGCTATAGCACCTCGACCTGGAGCAGTCGACAGGGCATATATTGTGTCAGAGGCTACGTGCTGGCTCGCTAGGTCAGGGATTGTCGCCGAGGACGATTGGAATTGGCGGAGGGTTGGAGGCACATTCAAGCGAAGGGCACTCGGGCCAGAAGCTTGAGCACGACATTTCCGGAAGGCGTGCAAGAGGACTTGGTTTCTGCTCAAGCTCCGGAAACCAGTGCGACATGGCATTCGAACTGTGCGTTCTGAAGTAATATGTGGTAGGAATGGATATCACGGAAGGTGGTGAGGATGAAACGGAATGCTCCGACGAGTCTTGGACCTGCGCCGCTTTTAAACACTACTCATCGAGCCACCTCCCATTCACTTTTAACTCATCTTCTCAACCTTTCATTCACCTTCTCACCTTTCACGCACCTTCAACGCACCTTCAACGCACCTTCAACTCAAATCTGCTTCCGTTTTAAGCGGCCTGCCGCTTCGGAGGTGGCCACGGGCTGGCGCAACGCCGCTTTTGACGGCTATACAGTAATAAGAAGAGCCCCGGCCTCCCTTCCACCTTGCTATTCCTCTGAACTCTCCCATCCCTGATGTACCTGTCGGGTCCCATTTCGACAACGCCCTAAATGTCTTACCTCCTGCTGCGTCAGAGCCCTCGTCCTCAAATGCCTCCCAACTCCCTCGAACTCGGCCTCGCGATCTGAATTTCCTTCCCATCCGTAGCATCCTCCCTTGGCGATCGTCCTCGCAATCTTCTCGCAATCTTCGATCGTCACGCCTCCCTTACCTCCTGCGAAGGGACGCTTTCTGGCTTCTCTGTGCGCTGGAGCCCTCGTGGCACCCTTGGCTTCGCTAAATGCGTAAACACATCAGCTCGGCTGACTTCGCCCATCACCACTGACCTTGAAGTGGATATGGCAAAGGAATTCACCCGATATAATAGGCAATCTTCCAGAAAGCACTTGGAATATCTGTTGGCACTCAAGACAAAAAGCGAGAACGACAAGAAAATTCGGATCTCGAAAGAACTCTATGATTGCCAAAGTGGAGAGAGGTATAAATGCAAGTTATAACCCATAGATACACTTTAGCTGACTTGCGTTTATCCGTTAGGCTGGTGAATATCTTGCGACGTGCCGGGGTTATTGATCAGCAAAACACCATCTTTATCAACAAGCCAAATTTTGATTCGAAACATGAGGACGATAAAATCGTCCAGAACTTTCACCATGTTCAAAATGCTCAATTCCGCGATGTATTATTTTACACGCAACTGAATGCCTCTCTGAAAGAAATACGTCTCGTAGAAATATTGCCAGCAAGCTCCGAGGAACCAATACGGTGTACATTGATCAGCAACGTTTCTCTTTTAAGTCTGTGCATAAGTTACTCGGCTTTGTCCTATGTTGTGGGTGACGTGTCGCAGTGCAGCTCAATCCAACTCAATGGCTCTTTGTTTAGAGTGACCAAAAACCTTGAAAGTGCTCTTCGATATATCAGAGAACGAGACAGACCAGTACGACTTTGGGCAGACCAAATCTGCATTAACCAGCTGAGGCACAGCGAAAGAGCTGAGCAGGTCATGTTGATGTGCGAGATTTACAGCAAAGCGGATCAGACTTTGGTTTGGCTTGGAGACTTTCCCGGCCAGTCAAGTGCATTTGACTTTGTGGAGGACATTCTGGAAGCATACGAGTCGGTTCTCGAGAAAGATACTCCGGTAGTGGTAAAGGACGGTTCCTCTCTGTCGCGCCTGCTCGACATGCTAGAAGAACCACTCCCAGAGCACGATCTCTCGGCCAGGCATGCCTACCAAGCTCGCCTTATGGAGCTCTTCATTTCGACCGAGGTTTTTAACATGCCAATTCAGCAAACTACTGGCGCTCTCGCTCGTTTGATCTACACGGCCGATGGGATGAGAAAATTTCGGGCATTCACGAGCCTTCAGGATTGCCAGTATTGGCAAAGAAGTTGGGTTTGGCAAGAGATGACTTTGTCCATGGAGCCTATTCTTGTGTGTGGCTCCAAGAGAACACCTCTGGCCGATTACATTTCCGCTTTCAGGATACTTTCTGCTTGCTTCAACTCGAAGGATTTCCCAAGACTGAAGGCTGAAATACCCGACGAACTTCGGATTTCACAGAGCCAGATGTGGGTAGATCAGAAGCCTATGGTATTGCATATGATTCGAGAGGTCTGGTGGAATTCGTCTCTCACCCTTCGTCAAGTTTTGACCTTCTCTCGACAACTTGAGTCAACAGACCCACGAGACAAGATCTACGGCATGCTGAGCATGGTCTCCGAAGCATATTACATTACTCCTGACTATAGGGCCAGCATGACACCAAACAGGTTATTCCTACTTGCAACTATTAGAAGTATTCTTGTCGACGGTGATCTCGATATCTTAAGTGACGGCCAAGAGACGAATCGTTTATCCACGTCCCAACACGACTTACCAAGCTGGGTGCCAGACTTCTCGGTAGTCAATCATCGCAAGCCATTGATACCAGCAATACCTCCTGAAAAGGAGAAATTATCGATGTTTCGCGCTACATCAAACACAAGACCACATGCATCTTTTGCTTCGAACAAGCTGGGGCTCCCGACGGTTCTTCGACTTACCGGAATTTTCTTGGGAAACCCTTTTCACGCAAAAGACTTAGGTGCAGTCAGCGGTAAAGGTGCGATACAAAAATGGATCGACTTCTTAATCCAACATCGTCCAGATGCCACGGAGGTTTGCTTGCCAAAGAGCCCAGACGAGTCCGTCATGCAATCTTGCTTTAGAAGCGCCATGTTCGGGATGGAGTTGTACGAGTTTGCCCCATTCATTGGCCAAGATGCCACCCTTGATACCAATTTCGTCAGGCAGTCTGTCGTCGTGGACATGGTCGGCAAAAACATGGCACAGCTTGAAGAGCTACCGGAATGGCGATTCTTCTTCATGGGAGCTGACGATATCATGGGTATGGTTCCGGCAAAGACTGCGCCAAGTCATAGAATAGTCTTTTTCCTTGGATCCAAAGTACCACATGTGGTCAGACCAAGTGCTGCCGGATACGAACTGGTCGGTCCATGCTATGTACACGGGTACATGCACGGGCATATTTTAGACGAGCAAAAAGTTGTCCGACAAGAATTCGACATCTACTAGCAGAAAGATTCGAGAACTACTGTACCCTATAATCACCGTCACACGACTTCAAAGGAGCTCTGATAGAGAAAGGAGAGTCGATTTGGCGTAAACTCAGCGTCGCTGCTTTGGATCGAAGGCGCTGGGGCGGCAGACTTGGAGGGCCGATCATGACCGTTGACAACCGTCCACCACCAGAGCAAGCAAGGAGGTGTCGCCGAATCAACCGAGCTGATACTTCTTTTGTTGTCGCCTTTACGGTCTGTCCCTCAGGAACTCATGCCGGACTTGGTCGATGTCAGTCCTGGAGCTAAGCTATGATGATATTCTCAATCAAACAACCAATTCTTCCGGCCTTCGAGAACTCTCTCTCTACAACTTGGAAGAATTCCTCGGCATAGTGTAGTGTTTGGGGCATGCACCAAGGTCATGCATTTTGCTGATTTGTTGCGAGGCATGCCAAAATGATTCACTTCAGAGTCCTGGCTTGGTGGCTTGAAGTTGCCTTTGACATTGCCTTGTGGTAGTGCGCTGAAATATTATAGGCCACAACGGGGTGCCATGCGCCGGCTAGTGAGGCTCATCCACCCACGAACGTCTCCTGTCATCAATCATTGTTGACATTCTTCAAGGCCACTGTGCCCGCTGAAGGTATATGCGAGTTTTACACTGCGAGACCAAATGGCGCCAAGATGGCATTTTCAAGCTCACGCGGAAACACCTGGCTTTAATGACCGCGGTTTCGGTCCTGACAACATCGGCACCTACCTAACCGAACGGGACACTGTTCTTTCCACGACGGGCTCTTAAGGCTCTTCAAGCAACGTCATGCGACCATCCCGGCAATGCCGACTTCTATGGTCTCGGGATACTTCTGGGTATCTACCTGCAGATCGTTTCGACCATGTTGTTTATGATTGACCTGCAGTCCTCGGATGCGCTTTATGACGCGCACGACAGCAATGCTATCCTACTGCTGGCACTCTTTATCGATGAGTTGAAGAGCACGCCGTCTCGATCCATTGAGTTGGTGGACGTTGTCATCATGCTGCGGATGATCTGGCTAATCGTTATCTGTGGCTTTTCTCTGACTCATCTTACAGAAGAGTACAAAGAAGCAAGAAGGCGAAGAAGCTGGCTGCTCTCATCACAACGCCCTCAGCCTTGGGCTTTAGAATCCCCGTGGAGGGCCTGGTCTCAACTTACAATATCTGGTTCTGGTTTCGGGGAGGCAGTTATTTCCAGCACGAGAATCCTTGCCCGACGTATGCATTCTTCTTTGCGAAGCTGTTAGCAAATGGGCCCCTCTAGGGATTCTACAAATTCACCTCTGTCATCATCATGCTGATGCCCCAATCATGGCTGTCGGTCTGTGCGGCTGTTCTCGTTGCCAGCATGGCAGTCGGCGTAGCCATGCTCGTTGTTGTTGCGGTCGTCTTATATGCCATTTTTCTGCCGGTGGCGGTGCTATAGGTTCTTTATTCGATCTTTGCATCAGTCTACACCACAGTTCGAGACCCTCACCCAGTCCAGAAAGTGCTCCGATCTACTCGCAACTTACGCAGATCAATATTCAATTGGAGGTCGTTGAAGCGATCAGTGCTGCTTTGTGTGCTGCTCCCAGTGTCTGAATACATCCCGTCCATGGACAGCCTGGCTCGGACATGGACCAAGATCAGGCAATGTGGCACCATTCCAGAACGAGGAACAAGGAAGGCGGGCACTCTGCCCATCAGACATGAAAAGAACAGAATATCGGCAAAGTGGGCCACGTATCTGGGGTTTTTGGCTGCGTACTAGTCTTTCTCCATCATCGGAGTCGAGTTGACGATCCACTGGAACGCCGTCGACGGATCTTACGACATTGGTTCCACCGGGCACCTTATACCCTTCGTTATCGGCATCCTCACCACCGTCAAGGTTCTTGCTCATGTTCTTAGCAGCAACGACGGCCAGGCTTACAACTACTTTCAGCGATTCAGTTTCTTCATGACCTCACTCTTCTCTCCAAAGCATCATATAGAGCGGCGATGGAGCTCTGACATGTTAGTGAGTCCTGAAGACATGCCCAGGAGAACTCAGAGCGTGAAGCTGAGGTGCTCCGCAAGTCTCCCAACGTTGAGGCGATACGACCCGAGCCGAGATAAACCTGCATCTCCCGAAACGCGGACGGACATCAACAAGTGGCTGCAGGATATCCCACAAGGTGATTTGGGAGAGCTTCGTGCCAGACTTACCATGAGGCAGTTCCAACACGGAAGGACTCCCATCCCTACAGGAGAGGAGCGAAGTGTCTGATTATGAAGGTGTTGTGGGATTGTTATCTGGTCACGAAGTTGAGGATCGTGCAGCATCACCTAGAATGCCTCCTGTGCCGGTAGCCTCGCCACCGGATCCATTGTAACGAACGCAAAGAAGCTTCTCATCATTTGTCAGGCTCAAGGTTCCGTGGCACGACTTGCAGGCGCGGTGATCCGAGTGTAGGAGATAGTTCTTGACCAGGCACTCAATGTTTCCTGCCTGTGAGATTTGTCATCACCCTATGAATTATTCTGCCGAGACTTGAAGAACCTGAAGGCCTGCCTGGGATGCCGAATTGCCCTTGGTTTCCTTGCGTCTCTCCTCGTGGACATTGTCATACTTTATTCACCTGGTCTCGCTTGGACCAGATGAGAGCACAGTGCAACGCCATACGCCCTCGACCCCAAAGGGCAGGCGCGAGCAGGCTCTCTACTCGTGCTAGCAACGCGCCCTCGCACGGAGTCATTGCTCACTATGACATTGTGCGACCGCCCTTGAGGAAGAGGGGGGGGGGGGTGGACAGACGCAAAGTGTCGGCCTTAAAACAGATAAAAAAACACCACTCAGTTATAGACAGACTAAGACTTCTACATGTGGATACGGTCGTCATTCTTTTATTACATACACACACACACACAAACAAAACACCCTATCTCGCCGTCCATGGGGTGGGAGGTACAAAAATGGAGAAACTAGGGACGCCATGACACGATCTCAGAGAGAAATCAAACACAACAAAGCGTGACCGACGGAAGGTCCTTTCTCCTTGTTCGAGGCTCCCCCACGCTCTTCTTGCCCTGCTCGTTGGCTGTTTTAATGGCTGTAGTGGTGCTGGTGCTTGCTTGCAGAGGTATATTTGACTAGACTGGGGAGAGGTAGTGAGCAAATAAGAGGACGGACGGTGTGGTGTGTCGTCGGTCGGATCGATGTCGTCGGGATCAGGCACTAGTTCCTGTGAGATGTTAGCATTCGCGCAGTGGAATGGAAGCTTGACTGACAATAAGCCTAGAGTTAGGTCGCCGTGGATCTTGGCCTTGAGTTGGACTTCGATGTCTAGGTTCAGGTCGAGTCGTAATCTTAGCTGCTCGTTCTCTCCCTCGTCTTTCTCTTCCTCTCCGCCTTCCTTGCCCCCCTTGCTATGGAGGAGGCCCCCGAGGGCTTCATGGGGCTTGCTCAGGGTCTTGCCGACCGTGTCGTTGACGAGGTTGCCGGCGCCGTCGACGACGCCGTTCACCGTGTCGCCGACCTCGTCAACGGCATCGAGGGGTCCGCCGCCGCCGCCACCACCACCGAGGAGGCCACCGCCCTTTCCTTGCTGTTGCGTCTGGGCCTGTGTCTGGGCCTGGGCCTTGCCTCTGTTCCGGTTTCTGTTCCGTCGTCCGCCTTTCTGGGAGACATCGCTTCGATATGCGCTGTCGGCGTCACTGGGGGGCTCACTCGAGTCTCGCCCGCGACCTCGACTGCCCCGTCGAGAGCCGGAACGGGCTGATGCTGATGCCTGTGAATCCATCTTGGGTTGTTCTGGTGTTGCTGGAGGTTCGTCCGCGTTGCCGTCCGCGTCGGCTTCGCCGTTGGCCTGACCTTTCTGGCCGAGCTTCTTGGGCTTTCGTCGCTGCTCTTCGGACTTCTTCGAAGAGGCGTTGGCTCCGATGTTTGCAGCACCGGAAGCAGAACCAGCAGCGTCGAGGTTTCCGCCGAGTTGGGTTTCTTCAGTGCTCTTCGTCTCTTGTTCGGACGACATGGTGGGAGATTGAGAAGAAAGATGTGCAAAGGGAGGAATTGAAGAGGAGGGAGTATACGGACAAAAAGAGGGCCTTCGACGTATGACGACCGGGCTTATTGTCCAGTGAAGAAGATCAAGGTTGGCACGTCGCTGCCAGTTGCAATACCCAACCCCACACAGACGTCAGGAGGCGCACGACTTGAGTAGTGACTTACACCGCTCGTGCCTCTACACGCACGCCCATGACGTCGGTTGCTGCTGCTTTTGAGAGAGATGGTGTCTGCAACGCCACAGATCGGCGGGCGGATCGAGAGAGGGGCTGGGTGTTGGCATTGCACGAAAGCCAGGACCACCAAGTTTCGAGCAAGTTGGCAGGCCAATGGCCGCTAAGCAGGATCACTCTTCCGGCATTGTGGCTGTCGTGAGCAGGGTGGCAGCGACAGAAGAGGAAAGGGACAGCTCAATCGACGATGTTGGTGTCAGCATGCGTGTGGAGATCTCTTTGTAGACCAGAGCAGCCTTTCTTTGTACGTAGTAGATCAATGCTTGTCTGGTGCCTCTGGGCCGTTAGGGGGGCTTGATGTAGTAGAAACGGCCCCATCTTTGCCTTTCACGAACAGGCTGCTTCGTAACTCGTGCCCTTTCCCACATGTCGGAAGAGGGTGAAAAACAGTGGTGATCGAAGGACGTTGCGTCATCCTGCAGCATCCCGTTGGACGAGGTGGAGACGCCACATGCGCGCCACATCCAGCCCCGCCTCCACGTTACGTCTCGGCAGCCATTCAGCCAATGGCGACTGGGACGCCACATGTCATCAGACCCACCGACCAGGATTCTGCCAAGTTCCGCGTTCCGCGTTCCTGCTCTGACCTTGCTCAATGCCTCAGCTCTGTGCCCAAAATCTTGGTCAAGTGTAGAGATCGATCAGCGTCGTGGATGCCAACATCTTCGATCATGGCGCAGGCAATCCCGCCGCTTCAAACACTCAAGCCCAGGGCAGAGGTCGAACCGGTCTGGGGAATATCAGACCCTGGTCCCGATGATGTCGTTGTTGCAGCCTCCCCGAATGTCTTTTTCCGACCTTGCTCTCCCCCGTGTCATACCCACCCTGTTCACCCGTACCAGTTTCTTTTGGCTCTAATCTCTACCTATACTCCTCCTCTTGAACACCTGTTTCTATTTCTCTCCATATTTGTAAAAAAGTCTCTCCCTTTTACCTGACTCTCTCCTCTGTTCCCATCACCCCGTGGCCACCATGTCGGAGCCACAACAAACACCCACACCGGATAACACGCCTGGGGGGAAGAAACCCAACCGGCCCGGGCTAGAACGCAGCAACTCGGATCAGTCGACGACGGACGCGGACGATCAGGGATATGAATCACGATCAAGGTCTCAATCCAGACGGAGGAGACGACAGAATCAGCGACAGAGGCAAGCTCAAGCCCGAGCCCAAACTGGAAATGCCTCTGCGAATTCAATGGCCTCCATCGACGAGGGAGCCGAGCCTCAGCAGCAAGTCGCCAGACGAGCACAGCCGTCACAGGCGCATCCGAGTGAGCAGCAACAAAACCCGCAGTGGCTGAAGAACCCCGACCCTGTAAGTCCCTGCTGAGATTCGGGCCTTGGCCGGCAGATCTCGTCCCCGAGGCTATCTGGTCAGATGAGGGCGTTCAATGCTAACGACAAGGCCAGCGGGATTTGACAGAGTTCCAACCGTTTGAACGGATCAAGCCGCCCTCGCAATCGATGCAGGGCCCGGTGACATACGCCCGCATGATCCGAGGGGAAATCCCATGGCGAGGCCCGCCGCCCTCACAACCACTAGAAACCGCCCAGCCGATCGACGCCAGGGATAGCAGCGGGAAAGATCCCATGGATCAAGAGTACGTTCTCTCGAAATACGTCTCCGCTACCGCGGTGACGCGTGTTTGCTGCAGTTTTGCTAACTGGAGGACAAAAACAGTGGCTTGAAGCTCCGGATCGAGTTGAACCTGGACATCGAGATTGAACTCAAGGCCAGCATCCATGGTGACCTGACATTAGCACTCCTGTGAGTATACGGCCCCGACAATCTCTTTTATGGACAAAGGGGTCCTAAAGGCTAACGAAGGAATTGATCCTCAGGGCTTGATTTGTCTCTTCCTAAAGTCAAACTGCCCAAACCGAAGCTACCCAAGTTGTTACCGAAAGTCCCTAAACTACCCAAGCTTCCCAAGCTGCCGAAGCTCCCCGAATTGCCTGACGCCGGCGGACTCGTCAAATTATGACGAAAAATGGACAAAAGAAGGAGGGAGATAATGAAGTCGTGTTTGAGCAAGTTTCACATTTTTCATGTCGTTTCAAGTCAACCATCCATCATAAATGTTGTGGCAGAAGCTAGTCTGGACAAAGGGCGTTGGAGAGACCATGGCATCCCTGGCTCATAGCTGTACCTCTAAATGTACCATTCCTAGAATCTGTTCCGCGATCCCTTGTCGTCTTATCCAATAGATCATTGGAAGTGTTCACCCTGACCCTGATCCTGTCCCTGTCCCTTCCAGAACTGGATCGGACTGCGAGGACTCTTCGTCTCGGAATCATCCTGGATGGCGGTGTCATACTGTCCAAACTCGCCTCGCGCACGCTTGACCACTCGTTCGATACCATCCATGCCCATCTTCAGCTGCTCTAGCTTAGGCCCATAGCTGACCCGGACAAAGTGATGGCAGGGACTATCGAAGAGGTCGCGTCTCTTCACTGGATTGAGGTCGAAGAAGATTCCTGGGACTACGATGGTTCGCTCTTGAAGCTGTGTGATATTGGTCAGCCTTTGCACAGTAGGATAAAGATCATGGCAATAACTTTGCCAGAGTGGAAGGGACCATACCAGTGCGTCAAAGAATGCGAGTCCATTGGAAATGTCCAGTGGACTGTTCTTCGGCAAGGGGGGCTCCAGCGACGTCAAATCTAACCATATGTAAAAGGTCGATTGCGGTACGTTCTGGTCACCCCATCTGAATCCAATCTCCTGGAGTCTCTTGAGGACGTAGTCCCGCTTCATCTTGAAATGAGTTTGGAGGGCTTTCATTTCAGCCTTGACTTTCGCTTTTGTTCCAGACACGTCAGCGACGTTGTGCTTGAGCCCAGGACTAAAGGACTGGCTGCTTGCTTTCGTTTGGAATGTGGGAGAAGGCAGACTTACGGGGATCGAGCATTGAGACAGCAGCCTCCTGGAATGGGACATTGCAACCACCATCGAGGTAGCTACCACATGAGCCGAGCGCCTTGATAAATTCCTTCGGGCCAACAATCCAAGCAACGCGCCACCCTCTGACTTGAACGTTAGCACTGAAAGGCGAATTCGGGAAAGCCTGAGTCTGGGCTGTCAGCGGACTTACGGGAGTCTGAAGCGTTTCGTAAGACCGTCAACCAAAATCACATCGTCTCGATCAACGTCAATCTATCAATGTCAATCAGTGGATGTTGACCGTCGTCAATGTCGAGTCCAGATCAATAGTGGCACTTACAACGTTCGAAGCTGCGGAAAGGGTATTGCCATCGCAGTTTGTGTCGTATCTACCATGTATCAGCGTTGGGGATTCATGTCAGAAGGGACGGAAGCCCGGAGATGTGTGCTCCCAGGCAGGTTGAATCTTCGAAAAAACTTACCTGTAACCAGCGTAGAATTCATCAAAGATCAAGGTTGCTCTATCCCGACAGATATCTTGGATCAGGGCAAGCTCTTCAGGATCCAAAGCATGGCCAGTCGGGTTGCGGGGATTCGAGGTCAAGATGACACTGGTGCCGCGGGCCAGCTCGTCGGCGATTTTGTCGGCATGGCTGAAACGTGGTTACCTTGAGATAGCTCTTGTAATCGGGGTAACTCTTTTCGAGTACACCTACATGTGGTATCCATCAGCTGCAGAGAGAGGAGTGGGTATCGCTACAAAGTTGCGAAACAGTGACAACATCTGTGAACGGATGTTAGTCCTAGCCCGTGGAGTCGTCGTCCCCTCGACATCCTTACCTCGTTGTATGCGGTGTAATCAGGGATGAAGAAGCCGAGATACGCATTGCCCAGCACGGCAGCGATCCTGATCAACCCAGCTCTTCCTCCCGGCACAATGCAGACATTCTCCCACGAGTACTGGCTCTCCTTGCCCTGGCGGTAGTTGTCGTCTTCGAGAACCGTCATGTTAGCCTCAGTGCAGAGTTGGTTCATCACAGAGGCCTGTAACTGGTCGTGTTTAACGGAGAGAACATACTGTACAGCTTTGCCACGGCCGCCCGAAGAGGCTTGATGCCGGCTGTTGGCCCATATTCTCGTCCATGGTTGGTCAGTGGGATGGAAGTTGGACGTGGGAAGCAGCCTTCCTGCAATCGCCCTGTGATCAGTCCTCAGGCTGAAAAGAGGTTGAATGAGACTCACAATATCGTCGTCGACTTCAGGCGCGCCTTGGCCCAGGTTGGCCCACTTCTCGGGCTCATCGAGAAAGCCATGGCGCGCTGCTTGTTCGGTGGTCCTTTTCCGACGTCAGACACAAAAACCGTGGGGAGAAGAGCGCGCTCAGTCACCAAATGACACCAGTCGAAGCTCTTGAGGTGTCAAGCGCTGCATGCGGTTTGTGGCTCGGATGGTCACGGAGACTTCGGTGTGGAGCAGAGATGTTTTCATCTTCAGGGTGGACGGAGAATCGGCGACCGTCTGAACTGGCGTGCAGTGCCGACCTCATGGTCGACACTCGTCTTGCAGAGAAGCTCATTGTTGATGCGACAGGACTTGGACTTGGTTGATCTTGTGGTGATGGAGGTGGGAGGCAAGGGAGATTCGAGCTAGGTGGCCAGCGTTAGTTCAACCAGGGCCTACTACGAGGTAGACAATACATAAGAGATCGACAAACACTGAGAGGGATCGTGGGCGTACTTATTGGCAGTGGGCGGTGAGACTGGGGGAGGGACGGCGCCGGCAGTGACCAGAAGAAACAACGTTTTCCTCGTCGTGTTTGTGTCAATGTCAGTGTCAATAAAGTCACTGGTCACTGGTCACTGGTCGGGATTCAAACACCCTCCCCTGCCTTGATTGAGTCTCTCACTACAAACTACATCACCAGCGACCTACCAGGTACGAGGACACCTGTCACCGGCATTGAACATATGCACCCAGGCTGCTCAGGTCATCCGCAATCCACCACTGCCTCCTTTAGGAACCGCATTCAACCCTCAGTCATGGACCCGGCAGACGCCAAACTGGAAGTTCCTGCCACGTCCGTCTTGCAGTCACACAGTCTGTTCCAGCAACCCCCCCCGTCGTTTGGGTTCAATCTGGGTGTCCCCACCTTTAGCGATGCACGCTGACTGTCGCCTACAAATGCTTGGTATGTCGCCTAGTGCCAATGGAACGGACCACCAAGGGGGAGAGATCTCCAGCTATGGTGGGTACCGAGATCCAGCCAATACCAAATGCAGTGAGGGACGGACGACCGTGGTGTTTATCGATTGATCACAGGGCGTTGGTCAGATACCTTTGGATAAGTAAGTCTTCCAAAAACGACCATCATTCGACACATCCATACTCCATCGCATCTCTTTTCTGCCTCGAATGAAAGCCAAGATTGGCGTGAGCAGGAGGGTCAATCTGAATCGTTGATTTTCTTGCCATTGCTCTTATCATCGTCATGGGTTCCTTACCAGAGACAAGGGAAGTCGCTCCTCGTGCCGCCATTATCCACGCTCACGAAGAATATAAGCGCAAAAACCCCCAATCTCTCAAATACCATGAGGAAGCCTGCAAATACATGCCAGGCGGCAACACGCGGACAGTGCTGCACACAAATCCCTTCCCACTAACCATCGACCACGGAAAAGAGTGTTATCTGACAACCGTCGACGGGCACACCTATGTCGATTTCCTAGGTGAGTATACTGCAGGTATCTACGGGCACAACCACCCCGTCATAAGACAAGCAGTGGAGTCCGCATTGCAGGGTGGCTGGAACTATGGAGGTCACAACAAGCTGGAGCCGGAACTGGCAAAGACTGTATGTGAACGGTTTCCTGCCATAGAACTGGTGAGGTTTGTCAACTCAGGCACGGAAGCCAATATGATGGCGCTCGCCACGGCGCTGGCTTTTACTGGAAAGAAAAAGGTCCTCATCTTCTACAAAGGTAAACCCAACGTCCTCTCCGAGCCATTGAAAGCGTGCTTTTTAACCTATGCAAACTGCAGGCTACCACGGCTCAACAATTTCAGGACGGACCCCTTCTGACAAAACCTCCATCAATCTCCCACACGACTTCGTTCTGGGTACATACAATGACGTCCAAGGCACTGAAGCGCTCGTCAGTTCTCTTCCCAAGGATTCCCTCGCCGCAATTTTACTGGAACCCATGCTCGGGTCCGGGGGATGCTACGCCGCGAGCAGCGAATTCCTATCTACGCTCCGCCGGCTGGCGACCGACCACGGCGCGCTGTTGATCTTCGACGAAGTCATGACTTCGCGCCTGCACTACCACGGCCTCGGCAGCCAAACGGGCATCACCCCGGACCTCATGACGCTTGGGAAGTGGGTGGGCGGCGGAATGAGTTTTGGGGCGTTTGGGGGAAGGAGGGATGTCATGAAAATGTACGACCCGCGTGATGGCCAGCTCCAGCATCCGGGGACTTACAATAACAACTGCTTCACCATGAGCGCCGGGGTGGCGGGCTGCAGACTCTTGGACCCAGAGACACTCCATGCCCTGAACGCGCGGGGCGACCGTCTGAGGACGGAGATTGAGACCGTGCTCTCCAAGCGTGGAATCCTGCAGGGAAGTACCGTCCCATCAGGTCCGGTGACAGACGAGATGCATACCAGACCCGGCCACCCGCAGCGGCCGCCGAAGATGTTCATCAAGGGCATGGGCAGTCTCATGGCCATCCAGTTCGCGGGTCGCGAGGCCGGCACCTTGCAGGACCTCTTCTACCATCACATGCTGGAGCAAGGCATCTACATGGCAGCGAGGGGGTTCGTGGCACTCAACATTATGCTGACCGAGGAACATGTGGCCATGTTTGTGAGTGCTGTGGAGCGGTTTTGCGAGGTATGGGACGCGGAACTGAAGTGGTAGTCGTCGGGTGGATGGTGGGTGGTGGACGGTGCCTTAAGAATTGTGCGTGGGAAAGGAGGAAAATGATATATGTCGCTATTTGAGACTGCGATCCTCCCACAATCCCACAAAGTTCCACAGGCAAGAGTTTCCTCATACCCATCTCATTGTAAAACAAAAGGGGGAAGATCTCTCAGAGGACTTTGGCGAACCGACGAACATCCAAAAACAGGCCGTTGACTCTTTCTTCACAAACTATTGGGGTCCTCCCCTCATCCATCATGTCCTATATAATACGGGTGACCGCGTTGAAACGCCCTGATCCTGACCTGTGTGACCCGACGAACACCCCCAAAAACAGGCCGTCAACTCTTTCTTCACAAACTGTCGGCGTCCTCCCATCTATCATCTCCTATAAATATAATACGGGTGACCGCCTTAAAAATGCCCTGATCCTGACCTACGTGACCCGACGAACACCCCCAAAAACAGGCCGTCATCCTCTTATTCATAAACCACAGACGTCCTCCCGTCTGTCATCTCCCATCTATATAATACGGGCGACCGCCTTGAAACGCCCTGATTCTGACCTGCGTAATCCGACGAACACCCCCAAAAACAGGCCGTCGACTCTTTCTTTATAAACTATAGGCGTCCTCCCGTCCGTCATCTTCCTTCCACCTGGGTGACCACCTTAAGTTCAACCTTCCTAACTCTGTCTGACCTGCGTGAACCGACGGAAGCAGCCAGACAACTTGCCTCGCTTTGTGCTGCAGGACAATCAATCAATCAATCAATCAATGGACGTTGCACCCCTTTCATGCACGCACGCACGCACGACGGGCCATCCAGGTAGTCAGTCGGCCGCGGTGAGACTCCTTGATTTGAATCTCGTGTGAAAATACCGCAGCCAGGTAAGCCCTTCTTGTTGTTATTGTTGTTGTTATTGGAAGAGAACTGGATATTCTGTCAACGGGGGACAGTCACCCCCACTGCCCCGGTCCTGAAGCTTCCCTGAGTTCAGTCAGAGAGGTATTGTGAAACAACGAAGCCATGTACATATACCAGGACGACCTATCTTTCGTATATGTCTGGCTCACCAGCCTGGGAATGTCCCAAGTCAGTCAGTTATCTCGTGAACCGACGAAGCTCTTCCAACATGCCTCAGTTCTGCAGGGGAATGTCCATCCTTTTCATGTCACCTTCTCGACACAACAACAACAACAGCTCTTGAAGCTTTTCAACCTTGTGATTTGGTGAGCCCGCAAGACCAATCAACGCACTTGAGTCTCGTGGGATGGCGGCAGCCTTCAAGATCATATACTGCATACCTCAGCGGGACAAGCGAGATCATCCATCCGCCCGTTTGTTCCTTTGATTGCGACAAAGTCAAGCCCAACAGCACAGCCATTCAAGCTTCCCTCGTTGCGTTTCTCAACACTTATTGTTTGTCGCAATAAACCATCACTGGCTGGTACTGTAGATTGCACACACCTCTTTCCGTACGTTGCCGTGGGTCATGGCAAGATTTTGGGTGCGTTTGTATAAAAACTCCTTGATTGTGACTGTGAACAAACACGTCTTCAAACTCGTTATATCTGCAACCTGCAAGCACTTGACAATAACCAGCAAAACATAACTCGTGTCGAATAGAACCTTGATTGGTATCATCATCAAGGCCTCCACAAGCAGCACTCGTCCACCTGTCATCAGCTTCCACACCAGAGCCACCGGTGTCCAACGAAGATATACAATGAGCAGAGTGCCAGGACCCCCCCAGCGACCTTCATCGCAGACAACCGGATCGGCAAATATAGAGCCGACGCCCTTCGAAATCCTTATTGCCATCGGCAACATTCTGACTTGGCTTCTCGCGGTCTATGTGATTTGCCTTCGCGTGCAAGCAAGATGGGACCTTGAGGCCCGCTATCGCGCCCATGTCGAAGCAGAGAGACAACAGGTGGCCCGGGTGGAGGCAGAGGAGCAATGGAGCGACCCGGCACCTGCAGAGAACCGAGGGCAAAAGCGCAAGTTGCACCAGATCCTGGAAGAGGTCGACGTCGATCAAGGTTGGGAAGATGAGATAGTGGAACAGCATGGTGAGACTGAAAGGTTGACGATGAGGGAGGTTGAGCTCGACAGCGACGATGAGATCGAAGAGCGAATGGAGGTCATGGAGATTCTCAGTCGGCAGGAGTTCGAGCGGGATTATGGACGGTTGTGGAGATGGTAGGGTGCTCCGCGACTCACTGGCGAAGATTGTCGCAGCAAGTCTGTTGGTGGAGGTTCTTCATTTGCTTGGGGATGGAGGGACCAGGCGATCAATTGGAGGAATTCTCTTGAGCCGGAGATCTTGTGCTGTCGCCTGTACAACGCCGCGAGCGGTGAGGCCCTTCTTGCCGTCTGCGGTGCGGGCAAGTTGCTGATGATGTCGTCGAAGATAGTGCTCCAGGGACCTGTTGGTGATCGATTGCGGACTCTGACGGAGAATGTGCCACAGGCTGCTCTCATCGAAATGTGGTATGTGAAACGCCATTCATTGCATGGCCTCGCTGATCTCCACAGGCACAAGGTCTGTTATGGACATGGGTCAGTGTGCAAGGTGTTAGTCCAAGCTTAATACGCCTTCCGGGCACCTGCGAAGATTGCATGACCGCCTCCATGAGCAAGACATCCATCACCGCCACCAAAAAGGCCCTTTCTTTTTGTCTCCATCTTTTTCTCTCTTGCTTTCTTCAAGTTCTTTCTGCTTCCTTTCTGCCTCCACCCTCTCCTTTTCCTCCTGTCTTCTTGTCATCTCAATAACCTCCGCCCTCCGTTTCTCCACGGCGGCAAGCTCCTCCTCCCTCTGTCTCCTCCTTGCCAGAATGCCCTGAAACCACTCTTCTCTTGCAGCGTCTTCCTCGGCCTTTGTGGCATATTGGATCATACAGCTGTTCATGGCCAAATGCTGCTCGCGGCAGGTCCAGGCGACGCTGATGGTGCGGCCGCGGGCGCAGTCAGCAAAGTCTTTGATCACGTCGGCGCATTTTGTGCGGACGCGTTTGTGGAAGAGATTGCGGACTTCGGCTTCTTGAGAGGCGGATAGAGGAAGAGGATTGTGTAGATTGTTCTGAGGTTGCCGTCTGTTGCTTGGGGGTGGTTGTCTTGCTGCTTCAGGGAGGATCGATGAAGCCATCTCCATTGTTCTTGGGTGTGCTTAATGAGCGGTGGACTTGATCAAGCAGCCCCTACAAATTCGACTGTGATCTATCCATGACAAGTCTGGTGTGTCTGCAGGAGATGGTCGAAGGTGAGCAAATAAATTGGTCTGGAGAGCTCGACCACGACGAGAAGCAGGTGTGGAGAAACCTACGGATGCGGACTTGCACCCCCCGAACGTGAGTCACGTGTGACTTGCCTTTTAACCTCCCTTCTGTGCTCGACCTTTCTGTCCCATACCAACAGTCGCCTCTTCCTCCGAAACCTCTGCACAGCATCAAGTCATGCCTGTCCGCCTTCGCTCAGATGGGCGAGATGTCCATATCTACGACTTGAACAATCCTACCACTGAAATTGGCGGCCTAGTCTCCAACCTGGTGTTACAAATGCAAACTTCTATACGATGATAGAGATTATTATCATATTTAAGAGTCCTTTCTTTCTACAAGACGAGAATAAAACAAAAATTGAGAAAGACGACGACCATCCACTTCAACCGGGGAACTATTATATTGTTGCGACCGAACCTTTTGAGCTTAGTAACGAGCCATGGCTCGTCCGAACAATTAGTCTAAATACCGGAGCTCGTGTCGGGACTGGTGTCGCTACCTTCGCCGACGCCGTTCGGTCGCGAGATCGTCAATGTATCTTATCCGGAGAGATCGTACCTTCATTTAATGGAAGTACCTCCTGGACTGGTTTTGAGGCCACGCATATTTTCCCACTCGCCTACGAACAGCACTGGATTGATCATAACTACGATCGATGGATTACAATTCATCAACCGACAGCAAGAACATCTATCAACTCAGTACAGAATGGATTATTACTCCGCACCGATATCCACCAGCACTTCGATACATACACTATCGCGATCAATCCAGATGATAACTATAAGGTTATAGCATTTTTCCCTCTACCGGGGAATCTGGCAGGCAAGCATCTGAACCGCGACTTATTTACTCGCCCTGATGCGCCCACTGATTCCCTTCTACGATGGCACTTTAGACAGGCTGTCTTAGCGAATGTGAGAGGTGCTGGAGAGCCACAGTTCGAACACGACTTTCCACCTGGTTCTGATATCGTTGGTGACATACTCCGAGGTCCAAGAGCAGGTGAAAGGATGGAGTTTGAGCTGTTCAGCCGTCTCGGTGCTCAAATGGACTTGTATCCGTCGGCAAGTGAAGATTAGGGGGCCTATGCAATGTCAGGAGAAAGAATGGAGTTTGAGCCATTCAATCGCCTCGGTGCTCAAATGGAGTTGTTTCCATCGGCAAATGAAGATTAGGGGGGCAATGCAATGCATAGATGCATACTTTTCTACGCTGTATCAGAAGTACAATGAATACCAAGTACGTAGAATGAAATACCAACAAAGTGATTCCTCAACAACCAGGGAGCACCAGGGGTGTGTGTGGTTTTAAGATCCGCGCAGGTTTTCATACTCATCTTGGCAGTTTGCCCGAAATTTCCCCAAACATCCGCCGAATATTTTGTTCGACATAACCACCCACGATTGTTTTCCACCGCACTGTCAAATTCCCAGTCATCCTCTCTCTCCTGTGACCTCGAACTCTCGAGGCGAGAAGCGCAAGGAACATGTCGTCCCTCCGCAACGCCGTCTCCCGGCGCCCCCACAAGGAGCGCGCGCAACCCGCCTCTCGCGAAAAATGGGGCCTGCTCGAAAAACACAAGGACTACTCGCTCCGAGCGCAAGACTATAACCTCAAGAAGAAGAAGCTTTCCCAGTTGTCGCAAAAGGCCAGGGAGAGGAATCCAGATGAGTTTGCCTTTGGCATGATCAGTCAAGGGCGGGCGGGGCTGGGCAAGCACAAATCCAAGCAGACCGGGGATTTGGCTGGTGAGGACGGAAACAAGAAACCAAGAGGAGGAGTCCCGTTGAGCCACGACGCGGTCAAGTTGTTGAAAACGCAGGACGCCGGATATCTGAGGACGGTAGCGGCGAAGGGTCGGAGGCAGATTGAGAGATTGACGGAAGAGGTGGGCCTGGACAGCGTCACCATCGGAACGTCGAAGCCAGCCACGAAGAAGATTTTTGACGACGACGAAGGCGAAAATACAGCCAGAGAGAAGAAGCGGGCTTCGGATGGAGAAGTGCTCGAAGATGAATTCTCAGAGGATGAAACAGATCACCCGATGCAGGGCTCATGGGATTTGGCGACAACCGTGACGCGAGACCCTGGCGAGCAAGACAATCCCCCAAAACCCAAGTCGAAGAAAGCCCTTCGAGCGGAACAAGATGCCCTGAGTCGATTGCGTGCCGAGCGGAAAAGGAGGAAACGCCTTCAAGATATGCGCGTGGCAAAGCTCGAGGCTTTGAAAGCCCGCCAGCGGGAAATCCTCGTCTTGGCCGACCAGCTCGAGTTACAGCGTGCGAAGATGGCGAGGACGGTCGGTGGGATGAACAAGAACGGGATCAGATTCAAGGTTAGAGAGAGGAAGAAGTAAGAGGAACGTCCAGTTCTGTCACGACCCATACCACGAGGAATGGAAATCCATAATGATGTCTAATGAGGGTCCGATATGTGTTCTGCTTCTAGGACAGAGCCCACACTCGCTCTGCTATGTCAAGCAACACCCGACACAGGAACACTTCTGCTTCACACACCCGCGGCCACAGCCTGGGTGATGACCTTGCTGAAGTCGGCCTCTCTTCCCAGCAACCAACTCATGCCCTCGACCTGCTCTCGACGGAACTTTTGACTCGCCTTCAAAAACGGGAAGAAGCCCCAGTGTCCGTGCGGCACACCAGGATAGACATACATCTTGGTCTTGACCCCATTTTCTTCCCGCAGCACGCGCTCATAGATGATGGCTTCGTCTCTCAGCGGATCCATCCCATCAATCTGGAACAGGGCAGGAGGCAGATCTTTGTGGCCTTTCGGGTGGTTAAAGGGAGCATACCAGACGCCGTCGTCTTCATCAGGCTCGTATCCGCGCATGAACATATCTATCGCCGCAACAGGCAGGACGGGTGCGTTTCGGTTTTGCTCGTACGACAGGAAGTACTCCTTGTACTTTTCTGGGACCTTGGCTGCAGGCAACACCGCAGGAATGGCGAGGTATTGGCCTGTCAAGGGGGGCGACAACTTTTCGTCTCGTGCCACATGAGCCAGGACAGCCGTTATATTCCCTCCTGCCGAAGTACCACCAATGACAAACCCGAGCGAAGGATCGGCGCCCCAGGACTTTGCATTGGCCGCCGCCCATTGTAAGCAGTCCCAACAGTCCTTGGGCGCATATGGAAATTTGAACTGCGGAGCAAGGCGATACGAGGCTGAGATGCAGACAGCACCGAAAGCCTGCACAAAATTGCGACATGACTGCTCCTCGCCCTCTGGCGCGCCAATGCAGAACCCTCCACCATGGTACATGACGATCAGCGGGCTTCCGTTCTTGGGAGGGGTTGTCGGTTGATAGAGCTTTGCGCGCAGCTTGGTACCGTCCGCTGTGGGATATTCTAACTCGGTCTGCTTGATTTCCGGCGGAGGCTGGCCCAAGAGTTTCATGGCGTCGGCATTTCGTTTGTCCACCATGGCCTTGAAGTCGTCGAGACTGCTGTAGTCTGGCTGCGGTAGGTTGGCTTTCTCGAGAAACTGTATCTCTGTCAGAGGGCAGCACCAAACGGCTCGGTGCGTGGACAAACCGCTTTGAGTTCGGGGTCTATCTGCCCCAGGGCAAGGAGAGACTCCTTGTCTGTGTACGACATTATGATCACGGTCGATATCTGCTCGTCCCTGGAGACAAAAGGCGAAGGGGACTTGTAAAGTTTGGAACTGCGGTTGAATTATTTGGTATGACTGGCGAGTCTACAGTAGTTCTTTACCGAGTATTTATCGTGAAGAACATGACTCTCGGCTGGACGCCTGGAGGCCTCTCGAATGTTTTATTTTTGTATCCTCCAGCCCGTGTTCGGTCGCGGGGCAGGAGAGAGTCGAAATAACCGGTGGATCATGGCCCCTCCATGACCTCGGCAGTTTGTGACGGGCCGCGCATACCATAGATGCGTGTTCTTTGCTGTCCCTCATTTGAGGTTTTTGAGGCGCTGCTCGGATATAACGAGTGACGGGACAATGCGGGGGTGTTTGTCATGCCCTTGGAAGCGATAATTACCTGACAATCGGATTCGGGATATAGCCGGGGTAGCACGACCTTGCTATATCCCGATCGGAATCGGTAAGCATTGCTTTCCACGAAGATGACAATCCGAGTCCTTTGTCTTGATTGGCCTCTGGATGCAGATGGATGTTCCTACTAGCTGAACATCTGCTAGTCTGGTCAGCAGGATACATGGTCATATTCTTCGAACCTGGTTTGGTGAGGAAAGAGTCGTCAAGGCTGCCGGGACACAAGTTCGTGCGAGGTACGAGGCACAGAGCTTCTTTTGGATGGTTCGAAACACGTCGGAAACGCGAGTGTAGGGGGCGCGAGGAGATGGCGCGGTGATTGGGGGCAGGGGTCAGTAATTGAGCAGTATGCTTTTTGTGCTCGTACTTCGTAACCTTCCACATCCTAAGGTTCGTCTGCTCACCCTACCGGAACCGGGTCCTCTGAGCCTTGTCATTCTGGCGGAATACTGAAACATCCGCCAGGACCTGGCTTGACTTGATATGGACATGTTCAACGGTTAGCGACCGCCTATTTCCCCAGTCTGACACTCCCAAATTCCAGTCCTTTGTCCGAAGTAAGGAGTGATATGTGCATGCTCGTGCAGCTCGATCGGCAGTCCCAGCCTCTTTCATTGGCCATAACCTCTCAACTTTGAAAAGTCATCGGAAGGCAGGATGATGCGAGGACCTGTGCTCGGTACTCCGTAGACAGGAGCTTGGCCCTGGCAGCTGTTGCAGCACAGCAAGCCACTAGATTTCTAGCCGCGAGTGACTAGAACAATCTCAGTAAAGTCGTTGGGAATGGCCACTCTCGGGGAAAAGAATTGTGACAGACCGGAGGGGGTGGCATCCCGGAAAGCTGGGCGCCAACTGCGGTTTTTGCCGGAGCTTTTGTCGACTGGATTTGGGCAAGCCCGACAGTTGGTGGCACTATTTAGGTAATGAACATGGCGGCGCCATCCCGCGGGAACGGGTCAAGGATGTGCTGGTGGGCGTTCCATTGTTTTCCAATCGTTCGAGCACAGCACCGGTTGGAAAAGTGAACAGGGGTATTCAGGGAGACGAGAAGAGTGGGGTTTGGGAGAAGGAAATCCCACTGGGCAAGTGATTTGCGTGCAATACGGGGGCCATGGGGGCTACCCAGGGCGGCGGCGAGAGAGGTGAGGGAAGCGGGTCGAGTCGAGAGAGGATGGAAACAATGTTTGAGGAGAGGAACATCTCGGTCGAGGAAACTGGTAGGAAAAGGCGCGTTGAAAGTGTGTGTTTGTGTGTTTGTTCGGTATGTAGCTCGTAGGCAGAGTGGTGGTGGTGGTGGTGGTAGTGGTACAGGAAAACGCAGGCCACCCATCACGCTTGTCACCTCTCATTGCGGCTTGGTATCGATCTGCTTTAGTGAGTAGGTACTGTACACCTGCATCTACCACCGGGGGTCCCTTTTCTCGTCAATTCTCCACATGCTTCTGCATCTCTGGTGCGGTTGTGGATGCGAGCTGCTTCGAAAGGCGAAAGCTTTTTTCTGCTCTGGTCTGCGTCTCGTTCCTGTTTCTTTCCACACACCTCACAATTCTTCTCTCCCACTGGTGCCACTGGACGCAGAAAATCCCGCCACAACGCACACGCACATCACACGTACGCCACAGAAAGAGAACACAACTTGACTGTCTGTGTCTCTCGGATCCTCTTGATTTGACTGCCTGTACTGCTGTACGCCTGGACACTATCGAATCTGGGAAATCCTCCCTGGGGGCTGTCCCTCTTGTCGCGCTTCCATCCCTTGCTCACACCCCGTTGATTGGCTCTCTTTGCACCGCAACCACCAACCACACCTCTCCCTTGCTACCGCCGTCATTGATTGAATTGATCAACAAGCCAACAATAGCAACCACACGCTGGCCTGCGAGCCTCGTACCATCCCGCCTCCTTCGTTCGCTTTGTCGTAGTCCTATCGCTGTCGCCTGTCTACCTGTGGAACCTGGGGAAGAGAAACTGTCAACTCGACCTGTGTTGGTGGTATGTTCAATCACTCCCCATTATTTGCCTCCTTGCTTGCTGCCATTGCCCTTTCTCCCTATTCCGGACCTGACTGTCTTGTCCTAGATATCCCTCGTTACCATTCTCGGCGCTGGTCCGCTCTTTCTTACTTTTCGAGGTCCCCCTCGAACTCCCTCACGATCTCTAATCCCAAATTCGCTACGCGCCTTCCAGGCACCCCCTTCGCACTTCCCTCGATCTGCAACATCCTCCGCTTGCCTTCGTCGCGATATCGACAGCTCGGTTCCTCGATAACCAGATAATTTGCTCTGATCAATGCGCTGATAACTGTGCCCACGAACCAGGCACCCCTTACCCTGCTTTAAGCGACACAAATTGTCTCAGCGACTATGCTGGCAACCCCGCCGATCACGAATGGTGATCATGGCCCAATATTGGACAAAGACAACATCATAAACGTAAGAGATGGAGAATCGCTTTACCAGATATGCATCAAACTTCGGCGGCGCTTATCCGGCGTACCTGGATTTCGTCCGTATCTCGAGGAAATGGAAGAGCGTGAAGCAGATGGTTTGACAGATCCGGTGTCTTCTCTGTGGCAGTGTTTCCGGAGCGGTTTACCGCTGCTCACTATTTACAATGCTTCCAACCCTGAAGAAGGCGATCTGACCGTGGATACGAGTCGGCCAGAGAGAGTCGGCAAAGAAGCAGCATTCCTGTTCATCAAATCATGCATGCAACAGATGAGGGTTCCAGCAGCCGACACCTTTACGGTGACCGATCTATATAGTGACAATACCACTGGATTTGTGAAAGTCACAAAACTGGTGAACCGGGTGTTGGACGTGTTGGAACTGGCCGGCCAACTCCATCCATCAACGGACAGTGAAGATTCTCGCGATGGGACGGACGCCGGATCCAACACTCCGGAGCAGGCCCCAAAGACAATGACGCGGCGACAATATATCCTCAGAGAACTCGTGGAGACAGAGAGGCAGTATGTTCATCATCTGCAAAATTTGCAGGCGTTAAAGAAGGAACTGGAAGAAGTCGGCGCCTTGACCGGGGATGCCATTCACAACATTTTCCTCAACCTGAACAATCTATTGGACTTTGCGCAAAGATTTTTGATTCGGATCGAGCAGCAAAATGAAATGCCAGAGGACCAGCAGAATTGGGGTCGACTCTTTGTTCATTACAGGGATCCTTTCAGACAATACGAGCCATTCATTGCCAACCAGCGGAGGTGTGAAGCCACTTGCCAGCAAGAATGGGACAGAATGGTTGCGACCGCAAGATCCCCTTTGACGCAACAGATGCTTGCCAATCCTACAATCCTCAACGGATTTCTCCTCAAACCATTCCAGAGGCTCACGAAATATCCTCTCCTGTTGAAAGTATGTCGGACCAAAATACCCTTGAGAGATTACTGCTGACCAAGTCAGGACCTGCTTAATCAAGTAGAAGACCCAACTTTGAAGTCGGATCTAAGTAGCGCGATTGCCATCATTCAAGATGTGCTCATGCAGGCAGATGCTTCGATCGACAAGGAAACTCGAGACGATGCCCTTCAAGATTTACAAGAGCGGATAGACGACTGGAAGCAATTGCAAATCTCCGCCCTCGGCGAACTTCTGCTCCTTGGGACGTTCAATGTTGTGAAAGAGGGCGGTCTTCGATCTGAGGAGAAAGAGTATCATATTTACCTCTTCAGCCGGATTTTGGTTATGTGCAAGGACGTCAACGCCAACAAGCCGAAGAACAGGCTGGCCAACAACAAGCCGGCACTCAGTCTACGCGGCAAGCCCAAGATGAACTTGAAAGGCCGGATCTATTTTGCGAATGTCACTCAAGTTATCCCTTCGACAAGTCCCGGGAACTACTCCTTGCAGATTTCTTGGAGAGGCGAGTCAGGGATTGAGACATTCAACATCAAATTCAAAAATGACGACACACTGCAAAAGTGGCACAACTTGATCGAGACTCAACGGTCCGCATGCATGCTGGAATCATCCAAGGCAAAAGGAATTTCAGAAACCCATCTTCTGTCCTTGCAAGGAGCGAACCTAGAAAACCCATACATCGGACAGGAAGAGGACGAGGATTACAACAGACTTTCCAGCACAACCTACGGCGGGACTGATGCTAACGGATACTCCGAATTTAGCATGAGCAGGAATGCGTCAAGTACGAGTCTGAGGTCACGCTCCGCCACGGGAGGCAGTGGAGGCAGTGGCCCCCAGATGTCAGCCAACCGTATGCGAGTACCTACCGGCGAAATAGGGGCACTTTCGTTGAACACTCGAGGACTTCCCACAGCGTCTCCGCAAGACTTCAACGGCGGCTCATATTTCTCTCCCATCGACCGAGATACGCCGCCAGGGTCATCAATCTCTGCCCGGTCGAGTTCGCAATCTGCATTTGCGGGATACCACCGAGGGACCACCCCAGTGAGCATCGGCGCGCACCCTCCAGAGTCACATCGGAATACCGCTCCCGCCATGGCTCGAAACCCTAGCGGGCAAACCAGCGGAAATCCGTACCTAGCGAACGGCCGCAGTCGAGGACAGTCATCTGGTCCGGGTATGCAAGTACCTCGTATGCGATCCGCCAGCAGCCCCGATGTGCACCCGATGGTTCAACAGAGTCGCAAGTATACTTCCACCGAACACGTCCCTACCGTGCCACCTATCCCGGCTCATATGGCCAAACAGATGGCTCCTCCGAATAGAAGTCTCAACAATTCGCCTAACAACGCACCTCCGTCACGAGGAGGTACTCCACATCAACAGTTTGGGTTGCCCTCGGCGCCGCGGCCTCCCATGCCAGGTCACGGTTATAGTTTTGATCCCGCGTATAGCAATGACCCCAGGCGACCCGGGCATGCACCGTCACTCTCACAGAGCCGGGCTTTTTCGCCACCCGTGTCGTCCCCTTCCAGCGATGGTGACCCATATATTCCCAGTCAACTGAAAGCCAAGGTTTGCTTTGACGAGAACTATGTCTCCATGATCATCGCCAGCAATATCCAGTTCAGATCATTGGCTGATCGTATCGACGCAAAGCTGGCACGGTTCACCAATCATTCCATCGCTTCCGGGTCTGTTCGATTGCGCTACCGTGACGAGGATGGTGATTTCATTCTTATCGATAGTGACGAGGCAGTACATGAAGCCTTGCTAGACTGGCGCGAGACGCATGCCGCGAATTCGGCAAATCCGCAAAACGCAGAGCTATTATTGTTTGCGCATGCTGCTCATGGCGAGTCCATAGTAAATGGTTGAAACAAGAGCAAAATTCTGCGGCACACAGGATCCGGCAACGCGACTCTCGGACCCACGAGCAGGCGTTTTCAAACGCGAGGAGTCCTGCAGTTGCTGTTCATCACAAATGACCGAGGTCAATATAACGCAGCGGCGCCTCATTCCAGACAGGCATCTATATGCTCCAGCGAAGAGATTGACATGCTGGGCGGATTAGTTACATCCCGGGGAACGGGGCCAAGAGTACATTGAGACGAGCTATGATGTGATGGGTTATGATGTTGGATACGGTCAAGGAACAAGGAAATGAAAGGGAGTACAGAGGAAAGGCGATGCTTTGGCGAATCCAGATATTCAAGTCCCATGAAGGACAAGAGGTGGCACTTGTGAATAGCGGTGAGATTAGCTGATATCTTTATCGAGAGCTGTTGTCAGAAATTGGCACTATATTATCATTATCTCCTTCGTTGGCCGCTGAGGATATAAGCTGAATGCTTTCGAAACAAGTCCATAAAGCTCCCTCGTGATGCAATAGACGGAGATGTTTCGAACACGTCCGCAGCATGTATACCCGCTGAGACAGGTGCATAGAGACTAGCCTTTGATATGGACACATTACTTTTGGACCTACCGCGCTGAAAAACCCATGTCCTGGTAGCCGTACGAGGTCGAGAGATGCTTTCGGGCGACCTATGCCAAGCCCTTGATCTTAAAGCGGCACGGCAGGCCATTCCGATGTGGTCAGACCGAGGCATTCTTCGAATTTCCAATCCATCATTCATTAGTACCCGTCGAGCGTACAAAGAAACAAGATATCTTCACTTTCTCAGAAAATCGACTTCAAAGTTCTTTGAATCTCGCTTGAGCAGGCAAAAACTGCATCGTTGGTCCGCGTGTACACACTGATCCTGCCCACTATCTAAGGGAGAGCGTCGACTTTTCCGATACAGCCTATTTCCTCGATATCGCCAATAGAAGCAAAGTCTCGACGGGCAGTCTATTCCACAAATCCCTTGAGATAAACCCGACCACGATGTCTGCATCTACCGCGCCCCGTGGTCCTCCCGACGCCTCGGCGATGAAAACGCGCATCATCACCCACATGAACGAAGACCATCAGCTCTCGCTCCGCCTGTATCTGCAACACTACTCCCATGTCCCTTCGCCCGGCACCGTCTCGGCTCAGATGCTAGACATCACAACGGAACACATGATCATATCGTCTGGCTACGGCCGACATGTCATCCTGTTTGAACCGCCCATGAAAAGCCTCATGGAAGCTCGGGAGAGACTCGTCACCATGCACGAACACTGCCTGAACCAACTGGATTTGTCTGACATCGTGGTGGACACGTACGTGCTGCCAGACCGGGCGTGGCAGTGGGCGCTGTCCGGACTTTGTCTGTTGATTTTCGCCACATTTCCATTTCGAGAGTCCTTGAGACTGGAGTCGGGGTCGTGGATCTCCCGAGTCTGGAGTCTTGGTGGTGCGGCACCTTGGCTGGCCAAACTGTGTTACATGCTGGCCCCAGCAGTGCTAGGTGTCATAGTAGTTTTCCATTGCGGTGAAGCGATGTGGTTCATTCAGAGGCGGTTGAGACGGCACTGGGTTGAATGGGGATCTGTGGCCTGGACGTGCTGGGTTGTGGACTGTCTCGTCGAGGGCGGGGGTTGTCTGTCGAGGTTCGACAGGGTGGTGAAGAAGATGGAGATGGAGAAGAAGGGAGGGGGCAAACATTGAGAGAAGTGCTCAGGAGAGGAAAGGACGTGATAAGGAACAGGGAGGGAAGGGTTGGGAAGGGACGTCTGAGATCCAAGGCATGGACCGATAGCCGTGTACCCAGTATAGTCAATTACCCCGAGGATTGCGCCAGCGCATGCACACGCTGCTAGGTAGTTTACGGTATCTTGACTGCAACGATGGCTCGCAGATGTCGTCGTCTCTAGTAAGGACTGCAGCATGATACAGGGTTGTACCCCGGCCGCGCCGCCCTATCAGCATCAAGCCCGGCATCTGCCGGACGGGCCGCAACTTCATACGGTCCGGCCGTCTTGGCGCTGCTTATGGTCTTGGCAGGGAGCATCTTGTTCCTTCGTTCCTCCGTACATTTTTGCCCGGGAATTTCTGGACTTTTTCCTCGACTCGTCTCTTCATCAGCATAAGCGCTGCTCTCCCCGTCCGTTACATACCCTCCCGTGTTGCGCCTCATCAAACATGCGTTACGACAACAACAGAGATCCCGATTCAGGGGTGTCTTGACTCCCCAGGGGGATCTTTCCCCATTTCCCACGAGCCATGGAAAGTAAGCGACCCTGCCGTGGTGGTGGTGCTGCTATCTCCTTTTTAGACTTGCTGACCCTGTCTCCCCCAGAGCCACCATCATCTCACGAGCCGACGCTCGACGAGGCCAGGGGACCCAGCATCGCGCAGCGGGCCGCCGCCTTGTTCCGTAGACATGCCCTCGCCGCCTTGTCCGAGTTCTCCTTCATCAACTGGCACTATCTCTACTTCATCGTCACGTGTCTGGTGTCGAGTCTCATTTTCTGGGGCTCCTCCACCCCGGCGAGATCCGTGTCCTATGTCGACAGTCTGTTCTTGTGCGTGTCGGCCATGACGGAGGCCGGCTTGAACACGGTCAACCTGTCGGAGCTGAACACCTGGCAGCAAATCATGCTGTTCTTTCTCATCATCATCGGCTCGGCGATCTTCGTCTCGTCGTCCATTCTGCACATCAGGAAGCGAGCCTTCGAGAAGAAATTCGCCGAGCTGGCCGAGCGACGGAGAAGACACCTCCACCGGCCCCGGACATTAACCTTTTCGTTGTCGAGACGAGACCATGTCCATGATAACGATCGAGATGCCGCTGTAGCATCCGGGGCTGTACGTGGACGCGCCATGCCGGATTCCATCAAGGAGGAGAAACAGAGAAGCTTGTCTAGGTCGCGAGAACGTCAAGAACTGGAGGGGCCGCAAGCCGGCGTGCGTCGAAATTCGACACCTGGGCGCACCTCCAGCGATCAGATTGCGAGCCATATCAGATTCAAAACCCAAAATCCACCTGGTGAGCACGCCGAGGCCTGGCCCCGAAATATCCGGCACGGTGCCAGTTTCTTTGAAGGAAGAGGTGTTGGCGCTCGGAGGCTTAACAATCATCCGCGCAACACTCAGCCTTTTGAATTCCCTGATGCGGTGCCAGAGTCAGCCATTGAGGACGACCTTGCCCCTTCCCGTCCATTGGCGAATAAGCTCAACAAATATCTCGACACGCTCCACGGATACATGGGAAGAAACTCACAGTTCTATCATCTTAGTGAGAGGGAGAGGAAGATGTTGGGCGGCATTGAATATGACGCGATCCGCCTGCTCTCGTGGCTTGTGCCAACCTATTTTGTGCTATTCCAGCTCTTTGGTGCTCTTGGTGTGGGCGCCTGGCTCACCGCCAACCGCCCGAATATGACGCGGAAGAATGGGTAAGCGAGCTGAGATGTCCTGGACGGGCGACCGTGAGGCTGACCATTGACATAGCCTCAACCCCTTCTGGACCGGAGCTTTCTTCGCCGTCAGTGCATTTAACAACAGTGGCATGGCCCTGTTGGATGCCAACGCGGTCGCCCTGAACCGGAGCTACTACTGCCTCTTGACGCTTAGTCTGCTCATCCTGGCAGGAAATACCCTGTTTCCCCCTTTTCTGCGAGGTATTCTGTGGACGTTCAAGAAGCTGATCCCCGAAGATTCTCCCTCGCCAGCCTGGCAGAGGCGGAGACGCACCATCCAATTCTGCCTGGACCATCCGCGGAGGGTCTACACGAACTTGTTTCCGAGTGCGGCAACATGGTGGTTGGTTGCCTCGGTCGTTGTTCTGAATACCGTTGACTGGGTTGCGTTCGAGTTGCTCAATATTGGCAATCAAGTGGTCGACTCCCTTCCGACCGGGTTTCGAATCGTTGCTGGATTGTTCCAAGCCTTTGCCGTGAGGAGTGGCGGGTTCTACGTCGTCTCGATATCCGGCCTCCGATCCGGGCTGCTGGTCCTCTACGTTCTCATGATGTACGTGAGCGCGTTCCCCGTCACCATGACAATCCGCAACACGAACGTCTACGAAGAGAGATCGCTGGGCATCTTCGCCGACGAGCTGCCGGTGTACCAGGAAAACGAGGGCGCTGCACGGGAGGACAAGAAGGCCGGCTTCTTAAGTGGTCTCCGACGGACCATCACCATGACACATGGTGGTGGTGGCCCGGCCGGCAGCACGCCTGTCTGGAACCGACAGGATTTTGTCCGCCTTCAACTGCGATCCCAACTCGGCCACGACCTGTGGTGGATTGCGCTCGCTATTTTCGCCATCACCGCCATCGAGACGGGCCAGTTTGAGCGTGACCCGGTCAGCTTTTCCACCTTCAACATCATCTTCGAGGCGGTCAGTGCGTACGGCTGCGTGGGCATCAGCGTGGGCGTGCCGTGGAACAACTACAGCTTTTGCGGCGCGTGGCACCTCGCGAGCAAGCTGATCCTGTGCGCCGTCATGCTTCGCGGCCGTCATCGCGGCCTGCCGGTCAGCATCGACCGCGCCGTCCTCCTGCCGGATGAGAGCCTCGCCTGGGCCGAGGAAGAGGATGCCCACAAGAGGACCTCGAGCTTTTACTCTGGAGGGGCCATGCTCTCGAGGGCGCAGACGTCGGCCATGACTTCAGGAGATGCCTTGCCGCGGCCTGGATCGGCGAACTTTGGGGCGCCGGGACCGAGCGTCCTTAGCGAGGACAGAGGGCGATGGATAGAACAGATTGCCTGAGCCCCCGCAGCGACCCATGTGAAAATCATCTTTGATCTTTCTATCCTACGCTATTTAAGCGAGTGGGTGGCCTTGGCTCGATTGGAGCCAGCCAGGGGAGAGAGAGAGAGAGAGAGAGAGAGAGAAGAGAGAGAGGGAGGGAGGGAGGGCTTTCTTCACCTCTCTGAGTCCGACAAGTGATTTTTTTGGTCATTGATCGAGTCTGGGACTTGGGACATGACCACCATACCGGGTTTTCTTTCTGTCTGTCTGTTGTGTGGACGGTTTTGGTAGAACAGTCGCGTCGAGTCGAGACGAGACGAGACGGTCCGGTCTTTTGTTTTAATTACTTTTTATTCTCTTTGTTTCGCATCCTATCCTTTTGAGTTTAGTGGGCAGTACTTTGAGCAAGCGAGCAAGCGTTTGAGACTTTTGTTATTGTGGAGAGAGATTGTTCACGCACGCACGCACGCACGCATATATTGTTTGTTCGTCTGTCTGGCAGTTTTTGCAGCACAGCACAGCACAGCACTGCATATGCATGCATACATACATCGGTACACCTTTTCGAGCGACGTATATATTATAGAGAGAGAGAGAGCGAGAGAGACAGAGAGAGAGAGAGAGAGAAGCACGTCTATAGAGAGAGGGCAGCAACTAACTAACTGACTTTCCTTTTCTCTTCCCCCCAGCGATGAATTGTGCATTGAAATTTCATGGCAGTCCACCTCTCTGTCCGTGGCTTTGCGATGCGAGTTGCATACTGGACTGTACTTCGAGTTTCCATGTGCTTAACAATAGGTAGACAGCATTCGTGCAGAGAGAGAAAAAGAGAGAGAAAAGAGAGAGAAAAAGAGAGAGAAAAGAGAGAGAAAAGAGAGAGGAAGAGAGAGAGAGAGAGAGAGAATCTGTGTGTGTGTTTGTCTGTATGTTTGTCTGTGTGCCTACCTGGTGTCTGGTTTCTTACAAGGCCGTCTCCCCCTACCCATTCCCTTGCCCGACGTGCCTTTTCTTCCTTTACATCTCGGCGTTCGTCACAACACGGTGTTGCCAGGAAATACCCGTTCGTTCGTTCGTTCGTTCGCTCGCTTGCGTCATTTGCTTCATTCCCCCGTCCTCTCGCCCTCCCGTCGCAAAGGTGCAACTCGCAGTAGCATACGCCCGAGAACGCAAGCTCAAGCCCGGGATATATGGATAGAGATGGAGATGTAGATATAGATATAGATCTGGATTTTTGTGGTCTATACTCCTTAAATGACGTTCTCCAACTTCTGCCCGGCCAGGAACCGCCGCAGGTTGGCGGCGATCAGCTTCTCGGCGTCCTGGGGCCGCCCCCCCGCGGCGTGCGGGCTGACGACGCAGTTGGGCGCGTGCCACAGCTTGCTGTGCGGGGGCAGCGGCTCGGTCTCGAAGACGTCGAGGGCGGCGCCGCCGACGGTGCCCGCGGTCAGGGCATCGGCCAGGGCGTCCTCGTCCACCGACGTGCCGCGCCCGACGTTGACTACCCATGCGTGCGACGGCAGCAGCGCCAACCGCTCGGCGTTGAGCGCATGCCGGGTGCTCGCGCTGCCGGGCAGGATCATCACCAGCGCGTCCGTCTCGCGCAGCAGCCGCGGCAGGTCGTCCTCGCCGTACACCTCGACGCCGTCACGCACGCCCGGCCGCCGCGCCACTCCGCGCACCTGCGCGCCCAGCAGGCGCAGCAGCGGCGTCAGCGTCTTGGCGATGTTGCCGAAGCCCCAGACCAGCACGTTGGCGTCGCGCAGCGTGGTGAAGGCGCCCTTGGGCCGGTCGGGCTGCGGGCCGCCCAGGTGCTGCGGCCACACGGGCGGGTCGCGCATCTGGTAGTCGCGCATTTCGTGGAACTTGCGCGCCGCCACCAGCAGCAGGCCCAGCGTGTGCTCGGCCACGGTGCGGTCGTGCAACCCGGACCCCGTGGTGATGGTCACCTTGGCCGGGTCGAAGCCGGCGGCGAGCACGTCGTTGGGGCCCGCGGCCAGCGACTGGATCCAGCGCAGCGCCGTCATGTGCTGGGCCGCGTGTTTGAGGTTGGCCGCCGAGTTGGTCCACGTCACCAGCACCTCCGCGTCGAGCAGGTCGGCGGGGATCTCCTGCTTGACGTCGTATGGGTGCAGCGACACCGAAAAGCCCTCGAGGTCTTGCACGTTCAGGTGCAGCGACGTCGGGTAGAGGAGCTTCATCTTGTAAGGGCGACGACGACGACAAAATGCAGTAGCACCGCAGAAGACCTTTCTTTCCTTTCTGGTTGTTTGGCAGTGATGTAGTCGATCGACAACGGGGCGAGCGTCAGTGGCTTATTTTCTTTTGCTCTCCTAGGTTTTTTGTTTTTTGTTTTTTGTTTTTTTATTATGCGAAGAATGAGTCCTCCCTTGAGAAAACACCCGGCCCAACTCAGCAAAGAGATGGGGCAGCAGTCCAATGGGAATAACGAATCTTGGTCTTCTTCTCCTCGCCCAGGTCCCTTGTGGTTTATAAGTGGATGGTCCTGTAGACGGTGGCACTGGCAAGGCGATAGGACGATGGAGGTGAGGTGAGGAGGGGGCTTTCCTTCGGGCAAGACACGATAAACTCGGTCTCGAAGACAGCAAGGAGGTGACCCTAAATATGATGGATGAATGGCGTCAGTCAGTGATCGGCCCTCTCGCCGCGAAACAGCCCACTAGCCTGCGGAGTTCACCCGATTCTTTTTCAATTGCCGACGAGCCAGTGACAACGTGAGGCCGGAGGAGGAGAGGGAGGGTGATCGGGAAACGTTTACGCGACGGTCGGAAGGTGATTGAGTAATGAAGGGGTGTGTGTGGCTTGACTCCAACCGAAGGTGTAGTGACAGTGACAGTGACAGTAGCAGTAGAAGTAGACGTAGACGTAGCAGCAGCAACAGCAGCAGAAGAAGAACAAGTTTGAAGTGGCTGCACCTATCGCCATCTCCACAGAAGAAACCCCGGCATACAGTATATTGCTATGACCGTCGATAGATGGATGGATAGATAGATAGTGACTTTTCAATATTAAAAAAAAGAGATTGAACTTCAGCATCCCCATCCAGCTTCGCCGGTCAGTATCCAGAAAATCCCAAAACCAACCTCTCGCTAGATCAGATGTGTTGTTCGCTATGCATATCCCCCCGTCTTGATCGCCCACAGTAGATATGTCTGGGGTAGTGATAAAACAACCAAAGACGGCCTTTTGCCGTATACGAGGCCATCGAAAGGCACTGAAAGAAAATCCCCTTTTTTCCTTTTGGGCCCGCCATTTCATTCGCATGTCACTTCCAAGCCAAACCGTTCAAATCATGGCCCTCCTTCGATAGACGGAGATGGCCCCAGAAAGTACAAATATCTTGTCGCTGCATATTCGCGCACGTCTCCTTTGCTTTATCGACATCGGCCGTGTCTGTGCGGATTGGACTCTCACATAACCAAACATCGTCCTCCCTTCTTTCCTCCCTCTTTGGTGCCTCCCGCGGTGGTCGGCATAGGCGTTTGACTTCGAGGCGCCTCCTCACCTTTCTTTCTTTTTCCTTTCCTCTTCTTGCCCGATTCTACCGACGGCGGATCGGACAACACCCGTCTGTTCCCGCTCTCAACGGGACTCGGGCTGTTTCCCGCCCAGATTCGGGTCCGGTGTGTTGGCATTTGCTGATACACTTGGTGCGGCACCGACTGGGTCTGGGATATCAAGTAGGGATTTTGCGGCGGTGGCACCATCGGTGGGACCATACCCTGCGCAACACTGTGTGATCTCGAACCTGGTTCGCCCGGGCCGTATGAGCTGGAGACACTATCAATCGTGTCGAGTCTGCCCATGCGCGGTCGTTGCGCCTGAACGGGCGGCGCCGCATGGAGATTCGGCGTCGATGACGAAATCGGGATTGAACGGCCGCTTCCCTTGGAGTTGTTCCTCGTCAGTCCGTTGGGTAGATTGATCGCCTTGTTGAAAGATGGAGAACCGGGAACTCCGGCGGCACCCCATGCACCTCGGGGAGGTGAGGGCGGCACGCCGGGACTGCCATTCAAATCCCGGGCTTGAGCACTTTGATTAACAGCGCCGTGAGTGGCGATGGGCGGAACCGGCTTGCGCGCAGTCTGAGACACTCGACGATTCAGGTTGGCCATTTGGTCAGCGGTCGGAGGCGGGATCCCGTACGATCCATTGGCCTGGAAGGCGGGTGAAAGGGTAGGCTGTGGCGCGACCGGTTCATTGGCCGATTCATCGGTCGATGGCAGATGCATTTGATCCAGAGATCTCGGGGTTGGCGGGACGGGGTGATTGAGCCGAGCGTGTAAATTTGCCCCAGTCAATGTGACAGACCCTGATGAAGAGGGTTGGTGGGTTGGAGTCGTGTCAGAAAAAGTCAACATTTGTTGTGACGGGTTCAGAGGGGACGGACGATCAGACGTGTTGGGACGCTGAGAGACTGGAGTCTGTTGGTAGGGTGAGATTCGACCTTCATGAGACACTGGCCTCGACGAATCCCCAGACGCCGAGGGCACGAACGGGGCATTTGCTGGAGGCATTTGCGAGGCTGGGCCTGCGCGTTGATACGTGTCAGAGGTGGGAGCAAATGATGCATCGTTCATAGTGGCTGGCCCACCATACGGACCAACAGCATGCCTCAGAGCAGCATTCTCCGGCGCAAATTGTGGATTCATGGGACTGCCATGTCCAAAGCCCGGATGCGCGGGCGGAGCATGACCGTTCTCAGGAATCCCTATCATGGGAATGGGCGTGCCCCCCATCGGACGTGTCTGGATGAGAGGTGAACCCAAGGTTATCCCCGGTTGGACATGGAGGGACGCCGCGGGATAGGGCGGAGGCGGCGACTCCCAACCGTCCGACTGTTGACCCGGTGGCCGGTGATAGAGAGCATTGGCGGCGGCGTCTTGTTGCTGCGCCAGAGGCGGTCTGGGAGGAAACCGTGCCGTAGAGAAACCGGCAGCGGTGGCGGACCTGTGCAAGTTGGACGGGGCGAGTTGTGACGGGGCCGGCGTCGCGTTGGCCAAGGCAATTTGGGCGTCAACATCCAGCGCCGACGACGCCTGCGAGACACTCCTCAGACGGGATCCCGGTGTCGCAGAGGCCGTGGTGACGGAACGACCGAGGCCACCTCGCAATCCTCCCCTGGCACGTTCTCTGACCGTCCGCCTCCTCTCCATGGCCACCTCAATATCCATGTCCCCCATTCGTTCGATGAGCAATTCCGGCTCCTTTTCACCCACTTCGATGGTCAGTTCGCGGTCTGCGCCGTGGGATGGCGAATAGTCAAAGTCGAGTATCGACAGCCGTGAGCCATCCACGGGCATACTTTCATCTCCGAGTTCTTCCATAAACTGATCAACACCACCAGGCGCAACGACCACCAACCTCTTGCCGGTAAAGGAGCACGGTCGGTCTTCGCACCTCTCCACCCATTTCGCCGCTGTGGCACCATCCAGAGTCTTGATCCGTTCACATTTGACGAACAGGCTTTCTCGCCAGTCCACCTTCGCCGCCAGCGAATCATCCTCGATATCCTCGCTGCTGCCAGATATTGACGGCGAGTATGCCATCAGGGGTTCCAGATGGCCTGTCGCAGAGGTCAACGGCATCCTTCCTTGCAGACGCTGTTCGTGCCGCTCCACCACCGAGCCCATGTCCGGACTGACGTCGAGCTTCTCGGGGACGCCGTAGATCCACAGGCCGCTTCCTGCGAAGCCAGCCGCGACGAGAGTGCCGCACACAGTCGCAGTGGGTGCGGTTGATGGTGCTGGCAGGCTGAATCGTCGGCTCGTCGCGGGATTTAAGAAGTAGGCCACGCCGGTTCGAGTGTCATCCGTGCGCACGGCCCGATAGGACATGAGGGTGTGATCGTAAGCAAAAAGCCAGTTGGCGTCGCCCTCTGTGTGACCTTGCAACAATTCTGCGTGGCTGCAAATGCTGCTAATCTGCGGGAACAGAATCTGGGTGGTCCACATGCGGCTGTGAACTTCTTTGGGCGATAGATCGTTCTCCGTGTAGAAAGGCGCAGTGATGACCACCGCCGAGGGCTCTTCCAAACTCTGGGTGCTGCCAACCAGCATCGATCCATCCCCGGAAAAGCTCAAGATGTCGACTCCCTCGCTTCGCACCGCTCTTCGGTCGGTGGAAAGGGCATTCGGTGCCAGCGAAAAGACTTCGACCCCACCTTCATACGCAGCAGCTAAAACCGTGCCTTCGGGAGCCAACGCGATTGTCCTGGGCGGATTGTCCATAACGAGCACCTGTACATGCTTCACGCCATCTCGCGTCAAGTGATACACGTTGGCTTGATGTTTCGAGGACAGGACGGCCAATGTTGTGCCGTCATCGGTGACCGAGGCCGCCAGAGGCCGTCTCATCGTCTTGAGCTCATGGCGTACATTGATAGGGTCTGTCACAGCGTCGATGACATAGATTCGTGAGGAACTGATTGCGAGAATCGTCTGGCCATTTGGAGAGAAAGAGAACCGGAAGGCTTCTGCCCCAGGCAAGGCGGCAGAGGAACTGGCATTCACCGATATCAAGTTGATGAGGGTCTGGCGAGGTCGCAAATATGCCTCGAACAGGTTCCGCCGGACCTCTGCTGCAAATTTCGTCTTGAGCCGATACAGGTCGAATTTCCGAAATGGACCGGTAATGACAGTGTTGGACAAGGCATAGGATGGACAACGGGACAGATGATGAGCATAAAGTTCGCGGTTTTGTGCTGCTCGGTACCAGTTCTTGTTCAGGAGAGCTAATGAAGCGAAGCTGTTGGCATCCACCGTCCATAGGATTCTAGTTCAGGTTAGCAACGAGGTCGGAGATCGGACACGCCCTGTTCTATTTATGGGTGGCGTACCTCTCCAGCACCTGGATGGGCAGGTTGTGAAAGGCGACAGCTTCCTTTCTCTGAGAATTCGGGCCGATAGTATCTGGAGATTGGGGCGAGTCGTCGATAGTACCTGGTCTGCTGGTTTCGGATATACCCAAGCCGGCCTTATGGCGAGGCTCATGCTCGGCCAGGTCCAGTGGCTGAGGAGGAATATCATCCTCATGGGAGACAATTGAACCAGTTTTCGACGGTGGACGCACAATCATCTGCGGCGACATTGCAGAACGACCGTCGCAGAGCGGTGGATGACAATGCTACACACAAAGGCACGACAAGGATGACATGATGATGGTGGCCTCAATGTTGCACGCCTCCATGAACGCGTCGAGTCGCGACGGAGAAAGAAGGAAAAGCTTCCTTCTTCTGGGGTCACCGAGGTTGGGAGATGGTTGACTGCGGGATATTATAGCATCTGTTGTCGGGATCGTGAATTCAGAGGTGATGATGGCATTCGGCTGAGATCTGATATGATGGATGGCGGTGATGGTGAGGCCTAAGAGTGTCAATATCAGAGATGATGGATGAGAAAGCGAATTGGGTGGTTCCGGCGAGGTTTGCAAGGTGGTCAGCGTGGGAAAGTCGAATCTTAGCCGGGGCTGGCGAGCTCTACTTTAACTAGACTCCGAGCAGTTAGCAGCCCCGGTATTGGGAAGCCCATGCGGAACGACCACATGTAGTTACAAACCTAGGTAAACGACTTGCTCGTGGTGCCCCCGTAAGCCACCGTGATATTGACTTCCTGGGCGGCCTCTCTGGCCTCAACCTCCCCAAAGATCCCCCTAATAATATTCTCCTGTAGGTAGGAGGCAGCTGGATGATTAGACGCGGAACCGTCCCTAGGTTGATTATTAGCGACCCGACCGCCAATCGCGAGGCACTGTTGGGCCTTAAAGTTTCCGTCTAGGCAGCGAGACCGCCAACGTCCCTTAACAATCATCAGAGGTCGAGCCTAGACGTTGTGACGTTCAAGGAGCATCTCCACATGGAGCTTAGCCCAGGCAGCCCGTGCATTACGGGCATCTTTTCTTAGAAGCATGCCCCAGGAATGTATCTATGTACAGTGCACAGCACTCAGCCCCCTGCGCAAGTAAGAGACCATACCTACCTACAGTACTTATGCAGGTGTTATTTACTCTGCACTCCCCCATCGAGTGAGCCTACTACTTCCACTCGAGTACCATGCAACATCAAACACCATTTCCCTCAGCTGCATCCCTTCCCCCTTTCTCCTTCTCCTTCCTCCTGGACATGGTAACGTTGCCCGGATGATTTACTGCTTCGGGCTATCAAGCAGTTTCAGCTTCGACAACTCAGCGACCAACATCGACTTTCCGCCGACGATCTCATCGCATCTGGAAGTGCCCCACCCCCAATCGACGTTAATCCCCAAGTATCTATTCCACACACCCAAGTGACAAGCTTGGAAAAGTTGTAACAGGATGAGAGTTGATGTGTTCTGTATTTAGATCCCTGGCTTCGCCCGTCTCATAACTCCTGACGCAAATGTCAGGGCTGTCTCCCTGCCTCAAATATATCCACAGTTGTTTGTACAGGAATAGTCTAAAACCACCGCCAGGTGACCCCAATGGCTTGCCACTTGCACTCTTTCCCCGGTTCAAAATGGCCAATGCTCGATCATCCTCACTTCTGCTCTGCTTCCTCGACCTTTTTGCTGCCTGACAGACCTGAAAACCAATTACTGGGCTTCATGCTGTTCATGGCCTCCTCCTGAAACTTCTTCTCTTCTGCTTCGCGTTCAGCCAGAAACTTGGCACCTTCTTCTTGAATTTTCTTCTCCAGTTCCATATATTGTCTCTGGCCACGCTCCCTGATTTGATCCCACAGCATCTTTCCCTCGGACATTCCCTCCTCAGAGCCTGGCATTCCGTCCGGGCTGTGGCCCGACAGTCCCAGCATTGACGAGAGTTTTCCCAAGCTCTTTCTGGGCCTCTTCTTGCGTTTTTCTGCTTCTTCGGCCTCAAACTTGGCCCGAAGGAGTTTCTCTCTTCGAGCAAATTCGGCAGGTATATACGTCCCCTCAAACGACTTCAAAACTTCTCGCACATCATCAAATCCCATCGTGGCCAAATATTCCAGGAAGGGGATGAATTGAATCAGCGTCTGGTCTTTGGGATCGCCGTTCCACTTGGGCAGGATGATGGCGTTCTCCGGCTGATGCTTCACGTGGTGGGGATCAGTGTCCATGATGAGCACTTTCTTCAGGTCTCTATTGAGATATGAGAGGTCCTATTCTGGTCAGTGTCGTCTTGTCCTTCATTGATTGATTTGATCGGCTCACCTTGACATAACCACCGTCTTTGTACACCGTCGCTTCGCGAAACAAGGGCCATCGAATCATCGAGTAGGGATCTAACTTCCGAAGTACTTGTTCCACCACTGCCATAGGCTGGCTGGTGAAGAGGACAAGTTCATAGTAACCGGAGAGGTACCGGAGGAAGTAGTCCACGCCTGGTCGCTTGGCTATCCGCCAGCCCTTTTCACGCGTCCACTCAGAATGGACGAGCATGTCCTCCAAGCTTATGACAAGAACAAAAGGATAGCGGAAATTTGGGTCCGGATCTTCGTCGGGAAGGAGCTTCGTCGTGACGGGATCTCGGTAGTAGCTCATAGTGGAGGACAGGCGAGCAGCGACTCTGTTGTAGAAAGGTTTGAAGCCCCATCCTGAGGGGGCGTCGGGATGTTTCTTCTCCTCCTCTTCATCCGCCCAGTTGCGGCCCAGGTAGACTGAGAAGCCGACGGAGCCCAACCCCAGGATAATATACATGTATCGGAACGCCGCGTTTTTCTTTCGATCGCTGGAAGATACATACTCTTCCCGAGGAGTATCACCGCGGTCTCGTCCGCGTGCTCCGCTGGGCAGCTCTTCCGCAGGGTCTTCGGTGATATTGAGACTGGGGGCGTGAGAGCTCTGTTTGGACCTGGCCTGGCGCAGTTCCGCGTCCAAGGTCGACGGAATGCCTTTGGTCAGATCAGGCAGAGGTTGTGTCTGACCACGTTCTTCCGAAGCATCCTGTTCCGCAGCAGCATGTTCTGACTGTTGTCCCTCCCCGTCCCTCAAGGTTCTCTTGCTGGCTTGATTCACTGATTCTGAGACATCATCAAGATCTCGAGTCGGATCGGTGCCGAATGGAGGATTTTCGGAAGGACCTTGCTGTTTCGAGGCCGAAGTTGACTGGTGGGCAGGCGCTGAGTCGGAGCGGATCTCCGCCTGGGGAGCCTGGGAGGATGAGACGAAGGGTACTTTTCGCAGGGGCTCTTTTTGCTGCGGTGAGTCTTTTGAGGTACCGGGAATCTTGTATTCTGCGTCCTTTGCGGGTCGATCTCCTTTGGAGTAGTATCGCAACGGGATCTGAATCCGTGCTGGAGGAGCCAGAGGCCGGATAGATCGCGGCCTCAACAGAGGCAATGCTGCACGTCTTAGCATCTCTCATTCGACATGTCCTCAAAGCTAGGAAATGGGCATGCGATATCGATGAGCTGGAAGGAACCTGCAGCTACCGTCGTAGGGAGATAGCGGTTGTCGGTGGATTGGGGAAATCTGATGACGGGTTGCGTCTTGCATTCGCCCGGCGAAATTCTTTCGACCCCGACTACTTGTCTCTACCTCTTTCGTTCTTGGCGTCGTGTTTGTCGCAGTCGCCTCCACCGCGGCAAACCGACTCCGCAACTACTACATTTACTCCTCTTCTTCTTCTTCCTCCTCTTTCTCTTTCTTTCCCTTCTTCTTCCATACAGAAAGTTGATTTACACCCAGAATTTTTTGACTCGCCGTCCACAGACATATCATATGTTCGAGGAGTTGTATTAGCTGGGCAGAACAAAGTTTGCATCAAAACAGTTCGTTCTCCTCAAGAGCGCACGAGAGGCCAGCCTATGATCTTCCAGTCGCCCCGTAAGAACGATACATCCCTTTCCTCCTTCCCGAAAACCATCACGATGAGTGTATGAAAGTCGTCGTCTCGAGAGTGGTGAATTACATGCGTATCAACCTTGGTTCTGTCTTCCCTCGCCATTCCCCCGAACGCGATCTCCGATGCCGGCATCATGGAAAGAAGGTCTCGTTAATGCCTTTCCGATCCCTCAAGATCGTACGAAGCTGAGATATGCTTCGAAGAAGGACAAACATAATGTGACCATATCCACGGAGCTCGTTTCTGTCGTGGAGTCGTTGGAAACTGTCTCTCTGGAAGGAGACCCTTTCCGATTCCTCGACCTCCCAGGAGAGATCCGTAACAAGATCTATCGCTTAGTCTTGTTCGGCAAGCCTGGCTACCGAGTCGTCAATGGCCGAATGAGACCTTCCCGCATAGGTATCATGCTTGCCAGCAAAAGCACACACCGAGAAGCTGCCTACGTTCTCTACAGCAGTTCAAGCTTTCGTATCTTCCCTCTCCAAGATTTCACTCCGGCGCCAGTCATACAAGAGCTTCGCCCTATGTATCGCGCCATGGTGACTTCACTGGAAATGGTGGTCGGCTCAAGCTGGACAAGTCCGCCCAAGACGTGGCGGGTAGGTAAACTCCTGGCGAGACGCCTGTCCAAGCTCTCCGCCGTGCACAACTTGAAGATCTTTGTCGAGCTTGATCCAAGCTTGCCAATGTTTGAGAAATATCGGGTCTCGCGGGACTTCTACACCGACTTCTGTGGAGACCTCTTGCGAGACGTGCTCGCGTGCATGCCGCACGTGAGCCACATTGAAATGAATGGGAATCCAGGTATCGACGCCACGGGACCATTGGTGTCAAGGTTGCTCAAGGAAGTGGAGGCCAAGGGCAAAACATGTACATTAGGACCTACTAAGGCGATCACCACCACGGCTGGAGTGAAGCTGGCGTTTTGGTAAAGGAGACCAACATTAATGCACTGACCATCTCATAATAGTTCTTGCGCATCCTTCACGTACTATTTGTATCTTGTTCCCAGACCCAACCTGAGAGTCGTTCAAAGACCATGTGTAAAGTCTCAGCTCTTTCTGTAGCCCAACGCCGTGCATGCACGCCCTGACGGATAGATACAAGTTACAAAGCCGAGCCAGCCGCCCATGCTTGTCCCTCACAGCTCCTCATCCACGTCCATCTCTCCGTTGTGCTCCCCTCGGTCTCGATGGGTACCATTTGCGCCTTTGCCGTTTGCCTGCACGGGCTTCTTCGCCACGCTTGCCTCCTTGTCGATCATCTGCCTGTTCACCGCGACAATGTTGTCTTCAATCAACCTCTGTCCAACATCCTCGATATGTTTCTTCGGATCAACCTTTCCCACATATCTTGTCTTGAGTTGTTCAGCGGTCAATTCGTTCTCTTCTCGTACACGTTTCTCGTAGCCTTCAGCGAGTTGGACGAGTTGTTTCAGACCTTCTTCGTTTCTCTTGCGTTCCGAACCAAAGCTTGAGGGTAGTTCGAGACCTTCGGTCCAGACTTCCTTATGGAGATTCATGAGCATGTTCTCTTCCAAGCCGGTCTTGCGGTACTGAATTCCGATGCTGTAGTAATGTCGGTTCAACCCGTGAATGAGCGCTTGGATTGAAGGCTTGTTCAGATGGCCCAAATTCGACGTTGTTTGACGGGGTTCTTGCCCCATCATGATGGCTTGGGGGTTAATGAGCCGGAACGCGTCGATGACGACTTTGCCCTTGACGGATTGAATGGGGTCGACGACAACAGCCACGGCGCGGGGTGTCAGTTGTTCGAACGATTGTTGCGTGTTGATATCGACCGAAGACAACCAGCATCCGAAACCAGGATGGGAGTGGTACCATCCCACCACCACCTCTGGACGTCCTGTCTGGCGTAACATGTCCATCATCCTTGTTTGAAAGACCGGGTCGACGGACTCGACGCTGACGGAAGTTCCTGACTGCGGCATCGCGAAGACATCGACAACTCGGACCGTGAAATCATCCACAAACTCGCCGAGCATAAGTCCCATGACTTCCATCGGAACACCCGCCCTGCCGTGGCGGAGCATCTTTAGGAGGGCGAGGGAGGAAATGTAGACGGTCTCTGAGTTGTCGACTAGGTTTGTGTCTTGTCCAGCTTGGCCGCCACCCATATGTGCCGCAGCAAGCATGCGGTTGAACCGATCCATGGCGATTCGTAAGTCGAGAAAGCGTTAAGGCAGAGAGGATAGACAGCGAACGGTAGACTCGGGATTGATAATCGAGATCGAGGTTTGTTCGTGGCGGAAGAGGGACGCGGGTGAGAGCCTGAACGGTGAAGAATACCGAACAAGAGAAGTAGAGACACTCTAAGTTGTTGGGCTCAAAGAAGAATCGGTACACTGTCTGTTGGGAGACCAGGGAGGTGGAAGAAGTATGTGGTCTGTCTCTTTCAAGCGAAAATGTGAAGCTGCAAGGCAAGCGTGAACTGCGCGTTCAATATGCAGATCCTAAAGCGGCTAGCCTGTTGTGCCTCCGCAGATCGTTGGAGACGGGAATCAAGGGCCCTTTGCCTCGCGCAACATGGAATAAATTCATTTCTCGCCTTGCTTCCACCTGCTTCCCACCTGTTCATTTCTCTCGATTCGAAGATTTTCTTCTGCGACAGGGTTCCCTGTTCAAGGAAATACCTGCAGCTTCTAAGTCCAAACCTCCCCGTGTTTTCTAGACGACTATCCCCCTCTCCTTCGCGGCCGTCCCTCACTGATTGACAAGCTTCGTCGAGAGAAGGGAACGGGGGGAGTGGAGCAAGACATTGGGAGGACCTGAAAAGCACTCAATATTGTCTTGGGATTTTTACTCATCCTCGCTACTCGATCCATCGACCATCCACCTCCTACCTTGACGCCTCAACAACCTCACGCCCGCCATGGCATTTGCACCCGTTGATGTTCTCCCGCACAAGCGTGAGGACAAGAAAAGAGTCGCATACTTTTACGACTCCGACGTGGGCAACTATGCCTACGTATCAGGCCATCCCATGAAGCCTCACAGGATACGGCTAGCCCATTCACTGGTGATGAATTATGGCTTGTACAAGAAGATGGAAATTTACCGCGCAAAGCCTGCGTCCAAGTATGAGATGACCCAGTTTCACACTGACGAGTACATCGACTTCCTCGCAAAAGTCACACCCGACAACATGGACTCATATCAGAAAGAGCAGCAAAAATACAATGTCGGCGATGATTGTCCTGTCTTTGACGGCCTCTTCGAGTTCTGCGGAATCAGTGCAGGTGGTTCCATGGAAGGCGCTGCTCGATTAAACCGCCAAAAGGCAGACATTGCCATCAACTGGGCTGGCGGGTTGCATCACGCGAAGAAGTCAGAAGCTAGCGGGTTTTGTTACGTGAACGACATTGTTCTCGGCATCATCGAGCTTTTGAGATTTCACAAAAGAGTCCTCTACATCGACACCGACGTGCACCACGGCGACGGCGTCGAAGAAGCGTTCTATACCACCGACAGGGTCATGACTGTGTCTTTCCACAAGTACGGCGAATATTTCCCTGGCACCGGCGAGCTTAGGGATATCGGTGTGGGCTCGGGCAAATACTACGCAGTCAATTTCCCCCTTCGCGATGGCATCGATGATTCATCCTACAAAGGCATTTTTGAGCCGGTCATTCGAGCTACTATGGAGTACTATCAACCCTCGGCGGTGGTGTTGCAGTGTGGAGGCGACTCGCTCTCCGGAGATCGACTGGGCTGTTTCAACCTCAGCATGAGGGGTCACGCAAACTGTGTTAGATTTGTCAAATCCTTCAATCTTCCTACCCTCATACTTGGTGGCGGCGGTTACACCATGCGCAATGTCGCAAGAACGTGGGCGTACGAAACTGGGTGCCTGGTGGGCGAGTACATGCCGCCGAATCTTCCATACAACGACTACTATGAGGTAAGAGTTCTCCTTGTTGTTTCCCTCCACCGAATATGTCTAACTCCTTCTATAGTACTACGCCCCTGACTATGAATTGGACGTCCGTCCCTCGAACATGGAAAATGCAAACTCGAGAGAATACCTCGAAAAAATCCTCGGCCAAGTGTTAGAAAATATGAAGAGGACCGCGCACGCGCCGTCAGTCCAAATGACGGACGTTCCTAGAGATTCTCTAGGCATGAATGACGAAGACGAAGCCGCACTTGACGATCTTGACGAAGACCAGAACCCTGACACACGCATCACTCAACGCAAGACAGACAAGTACGTCCAAAAGAACGGCGAACTTTCTGACAGCGAGGACGAGGATATGGAGGAAGTAAATGGTCGCCCATCAGCGAGTCGAAAACGGCGGATCATCCAGAATTACCGACACATCATGGATGTGGGCGGCAACGATTCCGGGATGGAAACGCGAAGTGGGACAGGCACGCCGCAACAGGCGTCGAGTCTGCCTGACGAAGCAGCTGATGAGATGAATGTGGACGAGGATCTGGACGATAAGGTCGACCAGCAGACACCGACTCCCCCAAATGGTGAACAGCGCCTGAATGGCTCCACTGCCGCTTCTGGTCTGCACTCGCCCGATCATCATGAATCTGCTGAGGCCGCTGATGGCGACATTGAAATGGGAGACGCAGATATGCCCGATGCGGATGCCGCCCCTGCAGACGAGCCTGAAGCCGCCCGAATCACCGAAGCAGACTCAACAATAAATGTCCAACAGCAACAAACTCCCCCGGATTCGCCACCCACACCGGCCGCCGAAGAGCCTTCGCCCAGTCCTGCTAACGCCGTGGTTCCAGAAACGGCGATGCCAGACGCCGAGGAGTCAAAACCACCAGCATCTTCGACCCCCCTCGCGGTTTCCGAGAAACCCGATGCTGGTGACACTGCTGAATCGGAAACAGCCATCAAACAGGAAGTCATCGGTGATGATGAAGCTGCAAAGGCGCAGGAAGAAGGGCGCATGGAAAGGGAGTTGGCGAATGTGGAAGGGGAAGCCCGGACAGAAGCGGTGGCAAAGGTAGAAGCACCCGAGGCCCCCACAGAACAGGCTCAACAAGAAGACGCACAGTCGCATACCAGTGCCCACGAGGCCGCCACAGAGACGGGAGTCGATTCTGTACAAGGGTCTTAGGGAGGCTCTTGGAGTTTCGAGCTGCTTCGACACAGCGGTCCATGGGTTTCTTGATCGAGGTTGCAAGGGAGTATAGGAGGGCTGAGGGTTTCGAAGCAAGGCGCCTATGAAGCATGACTGGCGCCTCACCCGGGGGAGGCATTCACGACAGGGATCACGCTGAGGGAAAAACAACTGGCGTCGGACGTGCAACTGGACGAACGTGGGCTGAGCTGATCGGACAGGATAAGCAGCTGGAGTCTGGCGGCCACTATCTTAATTTTGACTCGGGATATGCTTTGATACCTTTTCAATGAGTGGAGATATGTTTCCTTTTTAGAAATTACAGTGAAGGGGTATTCCTTATCAAGCTGGAAGCAAAGCCCTCCGCACTCGCTGCAGTTGTCCTGCGTCACTCTTTCAGAGTAGTGATGAGCACCTATTGTGTCGCCACCCTCAAGACAATCTTTCCCCCGCCCCTTCGTCCCCTCGCTTCGACAACCTCCGTAGCGTCCCTCCCTCTATCCAGCTCAAAAACCTCCTGGACGTAACCCTTCAGTTTCCCCGCCATCACCCACCGTGCCAGAACATCGAGCTCCTCCCCTGAGGGTTTCACGATAAAAAACTCAACCTCCACACGGGCATTCGTGCAATTCCGCTGGATCGCCTTGGCCGTCTCTTCGCCGTAGACCTTGATCGGCGCAACAATCGTCATCACGCGACCGCCTGGGTTTATGATCGTGTTGAGCGCCGGGGTGGTGGTGAGGAGGAGGGTGGAGAGAGTGTCTCCTCCGATGCAGTCCACTATGAGGTCCACGGGCGGGAGGTTTTGAGCGGCGAAGGAGGACGGCACTGAAGTATATGCCTCCGCGGTGTAGTCGACGACGGTGTCGGTGATGTTGTCAACCAGGGACGTTATCAGAGGCGCAGACGCAGAGCTGCAGGTTGCGATCACGGGAGATCCAGACGCTTTGGCAAGCTGGAGCGTTGGAAGGCCTACGGAGCCTGCCGCACCCAGGATGAGAATTCTCTTGGACGAGGCTGTCAGGAGCGGGAACGATTGGGGTGATGGGAGAGGTAACCTGCCGTGAGTGTAAAGGGCTTGGAATGCCGTCAGTGCTGAGAGGGGAAGTGTTGCGAGTTGTTCCTCCCAAATATGAGGCGCAATGGCGGAGCTGTCTGGGTTGCACGGCACGAGGCTGAGCTCCTTTTCGTATGCCAGAGTATACGTTGCCGCTGCGCCGTCACGGCCGAAGTCGAGAAGGGCCCATACTCTATCTCCAGGGGAAAACTTTGGTGCTGATCCTACCTCGAAGGCTGTGAGGACTTTGTCCACGACGCCAACGACATCATGGCCCGGTATCGCACCGCCGTAGGGGTGGAAGCGCGCCGGCTCCAGGATCTCTTGCCAGGTCAATTCGCCTCGAGTCAGGGCGGTGAGCAGGACGCGGATCAAGTAGACATGCTGCTTGGGGGTTGAGAAGTCAGTGGGCTGGTGGACACGAGGTTCAGGGTAGTTTGCTGCTGTGTATTCCACGTCCGTTGGGGAGGGAAGGATGCTTGGAAATCGAAAGGGTGGTTCCTGTCCAGAGAGGACACCGGGGAGGTGGATGGCACGCATTGGTAGAAAGCATCGACAACGAGATGAGCTTGGACCTAGTTCGCCCTCCTTTCTCTTCCCTTATGTATACCTTCCAGCTCTTGTATTTTCTTGGTTGCCCTCGGAGATGTCAACCAATGCCATCGGCAGGCGAAGTATGTGGCTCGTCATCGGGGGAAACTCGTCCAGGTATGTCTGGTGGATTTGGAATTCCAGTCACCGACCATGCTCCAGTCGGGAATGCATCCCCATGTGGAGGAGATGATGTACTTTTGTGTTCGATGCAAAGGGTGCATTCGATAACTTTGCAGAAGGTTTAACAAGAGACCGAACCATGCGTGCATGGGCCCGTTGGAGGCGTGGATCTTATTATGACGACGAAGGACTCCATCTACGGCGTGGCATGTCGTCCGGAGCACATGTGCCTGAACCAATAATCCACGGCGACGGACTTGCGTCACTAGGCTGGCTCTGGCCAGTAAAGGCACGAAAAGTGGCTGGGCTGTGCTTGAAATTAGGCCATTCGGGCCCCAATCACGTATCATATCATCGTCGCGGAGCTTCAACTTGCTTCTGTGAACCGCGCAGCCACTTCTCTCTTCACTTCCTGGTGCTCTGTATTCTTGTGTATTCTTTTTCCTTGTATTCTGCGCTCTTCCATCAACTCATACGGCTGTGGTGCCGCCTGCGGCACATCTTTCTCCTTCCCGACTCCGGCCTCCCTTCGAGCTCGTCACAACCACCACCCCGTTTGTTCTCTGCCTGCTCTCTCTACCTTATCGCGGTCTATTGCATCAGGTTGACGCAGCCGACGGTGACCTGTCGACTCGACATTGCACGACCTCCAAAGACTACCTCTTTCACCTCCTCCGTTCTGTGAAGCCTGCCCTTTCCATCCGGTACTGCGGAGCGTCCCAATCTTTTTGTCTGGATCCTCTGGGTCCAAAGAGTGCACCAACATGCCTCTTTCCGACTACTTTACGAGTCCCACGTCCCTCTACAATCGACAGATCCTCGGCAATCTGGCAGCCCGAGACCAGATACCTTTCGCCGACAATGCGTTGCAGATTCTCAAGAAGGGTGCGCCTCATTCTGGCCACCCGAACTTTGCACACCTCACCCTCCTCGTTTTCGAAGCTGTGCTGGAAGTGGTCTGCGTCAGTCTACCGGGATACATTGTGGCAAGACAGGGCATGTTCGATGCCGAGGGACAGAAGCTGATGGCCAATCTGAACGTTATGCTGTTTACTCCGTGCCTGATCTTCACCAAGCTGGCGTCCCAGCTCACGGCGGAGAAACTGGTGGATTTGGCTATCATCCCGGCCATCTTTGTCGTCCAGACCTTGGTCTCGTTCCTGTGCGCGTGGGCTATTGGGAAGGTCATGAAATTCAAAAAGAGACAGGCCAATTTTGTCATTGCTATGGGAGTGTTCGGCAACTCCAACTCGTTGCCAATTTCGTTGGTCCTCTCCTTGTCCAAAACACTCAAGGGCCTACATTGGGATAAGGTCCCTAATGATAATGACGAGGAGGTTGGAGCTCGGGGAATCCTTTACTTGCTCATATTTCAGCAATTGGGTCAACTGCTTCGCTGGAGCTGGGGCTACAATGTCCTGCTTGCCCCCCCTGATAGCTATACGGAAGCAGAAGGTGGGACCAAGAAGGAAGATCGCATTGAGCGAGGGCGAGGAGCGTTTCGTGACTATGCAGATGATGACCGCGAACACCGTCGGCTTCTGAGCCCCAATTATGACGGGGTTCGAGATTCTAGCGAGGACTTTGAGGGATATGGTGACTACGAGGACGAGGATGATGACCAGACGAGGATAGGGACCGAGTCGCCTACGACATCGAAGTCGGATGGTCTCAAAACCCCTCGGACGCCACATAACAGGTCGTCGAGGAATTCTCCCAATCGACAACTGAATGGCTCCGCCCACGAGACACCAGATCTGATGTCTACTCCTACTAACGGGATGATTGCCCCTCATCACCACCCCGACTATCCTGCCTGGCTGAAATATCCGGACAACAAAAAGTACGACGAAGATTGTGGGGGCGTCAAAGGATACATCAACAAAGGAAGAAACGTGGTCCGGTTTCACCTTTTGAGAATCGGGCATTCCATCCGGACGAGGTCGAGACGGGCCTTTGACTCTCTTCCTAAGCCGGCGCAGAGAGTCCTGTCATATACTGGAGCCAAAATTAGGGCTTTCCTGGCAGGCTTGTGGGAGTTTATGAACCCACCGTTGTGGTCGATGTTGGTTGCCATTATCGTGGCATCTGTGCCCTACCTACAGCATCTCTTCTTCGACAAGGGGACGTTTCTAGCCAATTCCGCTACTCGAGCAGTTCAGCAAAGCGGTGGCGTCGCGGTGCCACTGATTTTGGTGGTGCTTGGAGGGAACCTTGCCAGAAACACCATCCCCAAGAATCAGCCAGGAGATATCACGGACCCAAAGGAAGAGAGGAGACTTTTGTATGCTTCGTTGCTCGCGCGCATGGTCTTCCCAACCATTGTGATGGCACCCTTTCTTGCATTGGTCGCCAAATACGTCCCAGTCAGCATTGTCGACGACAAGATCTTCATCGTGGTTGCTTTTCTCCTCACCGGCGCACCATCGGCACTGCAGCTGAGCGCTATCACACAGACAAACAACGTGTATCCTACGGTTATGTCAAATATTCTCTTTCAGAGCTACGTGGTCTGGATCCTCCCATCCACATTGATTCTCGTGCTCCTGGCTCTGGAGACGGTGGAATGGGCAACGGCTTGAGCAATAGAAATTGGCAGGTGTCTCGTGTTGGTTCAGGTCGTCGACTTTGGTTTGACTGGGCACGGAGTTTCTGGAACTGATGCTTGGGGTTCAACAGGGCCATCTGGCACTGCGAGCACCCATCCATGGAACATTGTACCGATACAGGGCTGGACGGAGGGGTGAGAAAGCCACACACAACCTCCAGATAGGGCGACTAAAAGAGACGACGATCAATATCTTGCATGTACAATGACTTCATTCTATGCTACAATCGAGGAGGAACACCTGATTGTGGGGTTTTGGCTATGTCACTGTGGCTTGTCTCACTAGTTGTCGTTCAATCTGTGACGGCGCATCGTCCAACGCAGAATCAGGGCATGATGCATCGGTGGTGTCGGCTAAAGCCTCACACGTATCCACTAATGTAGAATGACGTCGGACGTGGGAGTTGGGGGCACCGAAGGGGGGCAATAGGGGGAGCATTTGGGGTCGATCAAGGGGCTACCGGGCATGCTTTCTCGGTGTCATGACACCTTAAGCTCATCCTGGTTAACGTCGCCTTACCCCGGGGTACCGAACATGAGGTTTCCTCGAAATGCCATACCAAGACCCCTTTCCTCTTGTCGGCGTGCCTGCCTGTCTATCTGCTTGAAAGTTAGTTGACCTGCAGATAGATACCCAGCAGTACGAGGGACTCGTAACACCCCCCTTTCTCCCTCCCCATTGACAGCCCCCTTAACCATGAACTTGAGCCTGTCCCCACCTAGGTTGGTACCTGATGAATCCTCCGGAGTATGAGGTACATAAATAAATGCCTGCTCTCTGTATACCCGCGTACATCCAAGTAGTGAGTGTCCCAAGGCACCGAAGCAGGATCTCATGCAACCAATGCCTCACTTTTCTCACCTCTTGAGCCTTGCGGGTGTCCTTGGGGGACTAATGCAGCGCAAGCCTCAACGCCATTTGGCTAAGCCTCACGTATTGTTCACAACCCACACCAACCCATTCGCCATCCACCAAGACTCGTGTCGAATGGAGCATCGTAGAACTTGATCGACACGTCCCATATCCATTACGAGCATGGTCTGCCTTTTTTCTATCTGCTTTCCTATCAAGGATCTCTGTGCCTGAAGACACCTCATCATTATTTCACCTTCAAATACTGCGGGTATATCCCCACCGGGCATCGAGTGCCAAAACGAAGTTTCTCAACCTCAGCTCAGTTGCTCCAGGTTGTCTGAGTCTTGGCCATTTCCTCCCTTTGCCTTGCCGTGGCCTGGTATCCCGATTTGAGCTTTGTCACCACCCCCCGGCAAGCCCCAACGCCGTGGTTGCTCAGCAGATCCAGGATCTTGCTTTCCGGTCAAATGAGAAGCTGAGAGACAGGAACAGTTTCCGACAATTAATTGCGACTTTGCGCCTCATCTCCCGGGGTCTCCACCACCAAACTGGCACTCCTGCCTTCACCTCGCCTCTTCCTCCGACGGTCCTTACCACACCGTTACTCACTCCTCCCTAATCAACTGAATAGACTTGTCAATCACCGCCCAGACCTCTGACTACGCTCTCTGTCTCGTCTCGTCTCGTCTCGTCTAATTGTCGCTACCGTCCCGAATCGCATGCCGCCTTGACGAAGCCCTCTACTCCACGCGCGACTGCGTGCGCACGCCGACCACATAATATTATTCCCTGCCTGCCACACCCCGTCCACCCCCCGAGCACGGAACCACCACCTTCTTAGTCACCATGGACGACTCATCACCCCAGCAGCCGTCCTCTCCCGAAACCTCAAAATCTCCTGAACAACCACCTTCAGAGTCCAACTCGTCCTTTATGCTTCACCGACAGCTTCCTCGCCGCAGTCCCCTTCCAGGCCCCCGTCGCTGGGCTCGCCTGGAAACAGCATGTCTCCATCCATGAACCCCTCCTCCGCCCCGCTTGGTCCTGTCAATGCAGCCAGAAGACCAGGCCCGCTACCTTCGCGTGCCAGTGGGTTGAACTCGGACATTCAGGCAAAGATGAAGGCGTTCTCCCTGTCTCGGCAGGGTGCACCTCCCGCAAAAGCACAAGCAGGAGGGTTTGCCGGTCCCCAGGCCGGTGCTTTCGCAGGCGGCCCCTTGACAGGAGCTCCTCCGCCCTCACCCAGCTCCTCTGCTGCCAACCTGCGACTCCCTCCTGGGATGCAACGACCGAATGCACCGAGTTTTGGCTCCTCGCCCTCCCCAATCACCGGCAGCCCTCGAATGATGGGCGCCCCCAGGCCTCCAGTCGGCGGACTGGCCGCAAAACGAGGTTTGAAGCCCGGTGGAATGAAATTGTCAGATGCGCACAAGCCTGCCCCTGCTGGACAGGAGGAGGACAAGACAGACACCGGCTCTCAATTCAACAGGTACTCGAACATCATTGATACGAAGAAAGGCACTTTAAATTTTCACAACAAAGCTGTCATCCATGGAAGTGGTATTGATTTTGCGGGTGGCAGTACCTTTTCCATTTCTCTAGACGAGGTCGACACCCTGTCAGAATTGGGCAAGGGCAATTATGGGACGGTTTTCAAAGTTAGGCACGCTCGGCCCAAGATGAGGCGCCCTGGTTTGGGCTTGCGAGGCAACATGGTTCGGCAATCATCAGCCTCCATTCCCAAGGACGACGAAGAGACAGACTCACAGTCAGATACAAAAGGGACAAGCGGTCTCGTCATGGCCATGAAAGAGATCCGCCTCGAGCTCGAAGACTCGAAGTTTGCTGCGATCATCATGGAGTTGGACATTCTACACCGATGTGTATCACCTTTCATTATCGACTTTTATGGCGCGTTTTTCCAGGAAGGGTCGGTTTATATCTGCATTGAATACATGGACGGCGGCTCGGTGGACAAGTTATACGGAGATGGAGTCCCAGAGGGAGTCCTCAAGAAAATCACCCTGTCGACGGTCATGGGGCTCAAATGCCTGAAGGACGAACACAACATCATCCATCGAGATGTCAAACCGACGAATATACTGGTCAACACGCGTGGCCAGGTCAAGATTTGTGATTTTGGCGTCAGCGGCAATCTGGTGGCTTCAATAGCCAAAACAAATATTGGATGCCAGAGCTACATGGCGCCAGAACGCATATCAGGAGGCGGCATGGCTCAAGTCGGCGCCGGCGGAGGCACCTATAGCGTTCAGTCCGATATCTGGTCTCTCGGTCTCACCATCATCGAATGCGCACTCGGCCGATATCCCTACCCCCCCGAAACTTATGACAATATATTCAGCCAACTTAGTGTAAGTCCTGGTGCCCCTCGCATTTGAGCAATTGCTAATAAGTCTCCCGTAGGCCATTGTGGATGGTGACCCTCCCGATCTTCCAGCCGACCAGTTCTCCGAAGCGGCCATTGATTTCGTACGGGGCTGCTTGAACAAAATCCCCCGGCTCAGACCAACTTACGCTATGCTGCTTCGACATGCCTGGCTTGCACCACTCCTGAAGCCTCCCACAATTTCCGAGGACGATGAGGGCGAGCAGGCAGCTGAGGCTGGCATCGAATCGGCCTTCTCAAATGATACGGCCCCAGACACTGCGGACAAAGAAGTTGCAAACTGGGTCAAGAGCGCACTGGAGAAGAAGAAAGCCGGCAAGTTGGCGTCACATAAGAAGCCTGCGCTACACGAAGCGCCTCTGGACGCGGTGCCAGGCAGCCCTCTGGTTGCCCCTGACGGGCCTATGCCATTGGGCGGAGATGCAATGACGCCTGATGTCAAGGCAAACATTGGGGTGAAGGTGGAATCACCCGATTTGTTGGCAGCAAGGGTAGAGGGTATAGATTTTGCTTCATGATTGCAGGCGACTCCAGGATGGAACTGGTTTTATGACCCAGATGGGGACCGCAGAAAGTGTAACGATTACGATGGAACGATGAAAATGCATCACTCCCGATAGAGCGGCCAGATCAAAAGATACGGAAAGAATGAACCATCTCTTACTGCCTGATATTCCTTTCTTCTGTACTCTCGACTAGAATGACTGTAGTTGAAAACTCTCCGTGTCTACCAAATTATTCGGCGGACATGACGCCCAATGATGTCAGCGGTCTGGGACGATTTTATGGAATCAGTGACGCCGCTTCATCGCTTACGAGTGCATCTCTTTCTCAAGAACCACCACTTTCTCGTGACTCCTAGCAGAGGTCTATTCTGACCTTAGACGATCTTGCTCCCGGGCGAGAGCTTGTCTCTCGGCGAGTCACAATGGGCCTGGTCCGCAGGCTATTGATCTGGGCAGCCGTTGATGGCGTCGTCCTCCAGGCTCATGGGTCTGCAGAGCATCCGAGAGCGCTCCAGATCGACTACAAGAGCCGCCAGGTTAAAGAGCTTGGGAAGTTGGATGCATTGGCGAAGAAACCAACTGCACTGGAAGCCCACGGCATTGTCGGTAAGGACTTCAGACCTTAGCGGATAAGACCCGAGTCGCTTAGACGAAGTGCAGGATTGCTCTCGATTGCCTCGTCTTCTTTCCTCATCGCAATCACTCAGCGGGAGCAAGTTGCGCAGATATTTGGAAAACCGATCTATGTCATTACAGACGTTGCCATTCTTCCGCTGTCTTCCCAGAAAGCAGCCTCCCTGGCCATCACAACCATATTGGAGTCTCAGGCGTCAGCCTCGTCCACAACCGATACAGAAACCGATGTGACCGACACGGAGGACAGCAATACAAGTTTGCAGGACCAAGAAGAACCTGAAACTCCCATAGAGCACACGGCCCCTCAACAAAAGATGTCAAACCCCACCAGCATCGCCAGAGATGTCATTGCTAACCGAGGCCAATATGGACGATTTGCGAGCCAATGGTTTTCCAAGCAGGGCTGGGGTGGAGGAAAGGACTCAGGAACCACCTCTGGCCCTTCAGCTAAGAGCGATACCTCGAAGACGGCAACCAGCTCGAGACCCGAGGCGGCCGTCGCTGTTGCAGCAAATCAACCCGACACCAGTAGCGATGTTGAAGCACAAGAACAAAGCCACAGCAAAGATGCCGAGCAGTTATTGAGCGACACCTCCATCACCGAGGCGACTCCCAAGGTTCTGAGAAGAACAAAGATGATCTTGACCTCGGGCAGTTATTTCTTTTCTTACGATTTTGATTTGACGCGCAGATTAGCGATCATGGAGGGAAGCGCAACTGCTCCTGCGCGCGAGACTCTCGACCCCATGGTAAGTCCACAACGACAATTGCGCAGAGTCGATAGTGTTCTAATTGAAATAGTATTTCTGGAACCGGCGTTTACTAGGTCCATTCATGGACGCCAGGCAAGATTCCTTCATGATGCCCATAATGCAAGGTTTTGTAGGCCAACGGACTTTCACAGTCAAGAAGGCAGAATCAGAGAATTCACAGTCGGCCTGTGTGGTGGACGCTGAGCATGAGGAGCAGCCAGAAGGGATACAACACGCTGTAGACCATGCTAAAGATGGTTTCGCCAGTGCCAGCACTGACATGCAGTCCTACCTCCTCACACTGATTTCACGACGGTCCGTCAAGCGATCGGGCCTTCGGTATCTTCGACGTGGCCTCGACGATGACGGCAACTGCGCCAATGCCGTGGAGACTGAACAGATTCTGTCTGCTCCAGATTGGTCTCCTTCTCGACGAATACGATCCTTCGTCCAGATCCGTGCATCCATCCCCCTTTACTTCTCGCAGTCGCCCTACTCGTTGAAGCCAACTCCGATGCTCCATCAGTCACCATCCAAAAATGATGCAGCCATGAAGAAGCATTTTCAGGATCTCAGGCGACGATATGGAGGTGTCCAAATTGCCTGTTTGGTGGATAAGCATGGTCCTGAAAACATCATTGGCGAGGCCTACGAGAATAAGGTCCAGTCCTTGCAGGACTCGAGTCAACTTGAAGGTGTTCAGTATGAATGGTTCGATTTCCATGCCGAGTGTCGTGGCATGAAGTTCGAGAACGTCTCGAGGCTTGTTGACAAGCTCGAAGGTACTATCCAAAATTACGGAGAGACTGTGATCTCCCAAAAAGGCATCGAGACATCCCAATCCGGAATCATTCGCACCAATTGTATGGATTGCTTGGACCGCACCAACGTTGCTCAGAGTGCCTTTGGACAGTATATGCTGCAGAAGGACCTGGCCAGGGAAGGGTTTGAGATCGACTTGCTCCACGACGAGACCACCACCTGGTTCAATACCCTATGGGCTGACAATGGGGACGCCATATCTCGACAGTATGCATCCACAGCAGCACTGAAAGGGGATTTCACGCGGACCCGTCGCCGCAACTATCGTGGAGCTTTGAATGATTTCAGCCTGACCTTGACTCGGTATTACAACAACATGGTCAACGACTATTTCTCCCAGGCGGTCATTGACTTCCTCCTTGGCAACATGTCGTGGAGAGTGTTTGAAGATTTTGAGAGCAATATGATGAGTAAAGACCCAGGGATATCTATAGATCAAGTTCGGCAAACTGCTATTGAGAGTTGTGCAAAACAAGTCATACAGGAGAAGGACGAAGACCTTATCCACGGCTGGACGATGCTGACGCCGGCACACGAGAACACTCTGCGGACAATGCCCTTCGAAGAGGCGGTTGTGCTGCTAACAGATGCCGCTCTGTACTGTTGTAGGTTTGACTGGACGACCGAAAAGCTTGCCTCGTTTGAAAAGGTTGACCTGCGATCTGTCTCGAAGATCCGGTACGGAACATACATCACGTCGACTTTCAGTGAACGACAGATGAAAGAAGAGCTCAACGCCGGAGTTGTGGTAATATATCAGCCCGGCAAAGGGAACACCATCCGGACGAACACGAGGTCCTTACAGAACTATGTCGCACCCAAGACAGACGAATCCGAGAATCGAATCGACGGAGGCACAGGGATCTTATCTTGGCTTAGTCCTGCTTCCGCAACATCACGAAAGCTGGCCATGAAGGTGATCCCGGCCGCAACGACAGACTCGGATGGAGTTGCTGGGCCTCAAGCAGAGCCACCCCTGGCTATAGCTGAGAACATTGCAGGTGAGATCCGCCGAGCGCTCACGGGGAGCAATGAATACGGCGCGCAGCAAGGAAATGACCTTGTAGAGCAGTCGGCCATTATCTCGTTGGAAGAAGCGAAGAAACGAACTGGATATTTTGAGCAGCTCGGCCATTCCCTTAAGAAGATGGTATGGACATGAGACAATAGACAGAACACAACCAAGGAGCCCGGCACCCCGCCTCAGAGAGTACATCATACGCACCCCATGAATGTTCGTCCTTTGCCTCCTGTTTCTGTTCCCTTGCCCTGCCCGAGAACGGATCAACGTCGGCATATTGTAAATCCACCCCGGCTTCGTCACGCGGTCGCATAGAATGTGATTGGCGGGGAAGAGGGGCGCTAAAGACGATCTGGATCTGGGATCTCGCCATGCCGCAGAGTTTCATCCCCCCAAACTGTTCTGCAGGCACTTGTCCAAAATTCTCCTCCACCACTACCCTGTTGTGTTGTGTCAAAACATCGTTTGTGTTGAAGTCTGCCGTCTGTCTCGGCGCGGTTGATGCGTGGGTCTTGTATGATCAACTTCTCGGCGCCCCTAGGCGAATTTTCAAAGGAGCGGGAAAGTTTCAACTGACTCGCCTTTGTTCGCAGGTTTGAGGAAACGAGTCGGCTAAATTCACGAACAACCAACGGTCTACCTTACTTTGCCTCAAGTCTCCTTGTACCTAACGCTCCACCTCGGGTTAAGCGCAAACGTGAGAGAGTTGCTGTCAACCCCGGGTTTCTTTGCACCCTCCCATCCCGAAAGAACGACATTGGACACTTTCCCCCCGATCGAAGAGCCTCCGGGCAACGGTGCCCGTCATGACGTGGCAACCGGAGGAGGATGGGTTGAGACAGTTGTCGGAATACCTGAAGAATTCCTTGAGTGGTCATGACAGGAATAAACAAAAAGAAGCTGAGGTGGTGCGTCTTGACTCCCTGTCTTGTGTCTTTTGCCCGAGACAAAAAAGAAAAGAAAGAAATCTGGGGTAGAAGATCCCCGCGCGGGTCGTCGTCAGAAGGAACAATCCCAACCCTTCTCAGAAGAGCAAAACACTAACCAGGACATGATCGACCATAAAACAGATGCTCATGAATGCGCGCAACAACAAGGACTATGTCAATTACCTAACCTACATCTTCAGCACGCCGCAGCTCGGCCAGGATCTGAATCTCGCCGCACCCAGTCTGTTCCTTGTTCGCTATGCCGCAGCTGTCAACCTTAAAAACCACATCAAATTGTTCTATAGCCAGATCCCCAAAGACCAATTGGCATACATCAAGGCCGCCACACTCAACGTTCTCCGTGATCAGAATTCGCAGTTGCGCAGTTTCGCGGGCACCGTAATCACCGAGACGGTCCAACAAGGCGGTCTACTACAATGGCCCGAGATCCTGCAAGAACTGCTGGCGCTCGTTGGCAACACCAGCGGAAATGTTACGGGAGAAACGCAGGAGGGTGCGATGGGCGCCCTGGCAAAGGTCTGTGAGGATAATCGAAAATTGCTCGACAAGGAATTCCAAGGTCAGCGACCTATGAGTGTCATCGTGCCGAAACTGCTCGAGTTCGCCGTCCACCCGAACCCCAAGATCAGGGTGTTTGCGCTCGGTACCCTGAAATCGTTCATTCCGCAAAAGTCCCAGGTGCTTTTCTCCGCGCTGGACGTCTACCTGCAGACGATCTTCCAGCTCGCTTCGGATCCAGATGTGCAAGTCCGACGGATCGTGTGCCAGTCGCTTGTACAGCTGGTGGATTCGAGACCCGACATGTTGGCGCCTCATCTCGAGGGCCTGGTCAATTATATTCTTACCCAACAACAATCCACTGATCATCCGGATCTTGCGTTGGACGCGGCCGAGTTCTGGTTGAGTGTTGGCGATCAAGAACAACTGCGAGATCAAATGGGCCCCTATCTCGAAAGGATCATTCCCGTACTGCTCGCGGGCATGGTGTACGGAGAAGAGGACGCCGTCAGACTAGGTGGCGAGGGAGATGATGCCGACGTTGAGGATCGTGCCGAAGACATCAAACCTCAATTCGCCCAGACCAAGGCAGGACGAGGTGTTGTTTCAGCTGAAAAGGACGAGAGTCAGCCTGGAACACCACAAGCAAACGGAACGTCACAGCCTAAGAACGATCTGAGCGACGGCGAAATCGAGGACGAAGACGAAGATGAAGATGAATGGGATGATGAAGATCCCGAGAACGCGTGGAGTTTGCGAAAATGCTCTGCCTCGGCGCTGGATGTCTTCGCCGTGAACTACCACTCAGCCGTCTTCAACATCATCCTGCCGTACCTCAAGGAAAACCTCTCACACACTCTCTGGCCGAAACGCGAAGCCGCAGTCCTCGCTCTGGGCGCCATCGCCGAAGGATGCATGGACGTGATCTCTCCTCATCTGCCCGAGCTCGTTCCCTTCCTCATCTCACTCTTGTCAGACGAGGAACCCGTTGTCCGTCAAATTACCTGCTGGTGCCTTGCACGTTATTCCGAGTGGGCTGCCCGACTTGATTCCCAGGCAGACAAACAGCGCTATTTTGAACCCATGATGGAGGGTCTGCTTCAGCGCATGCTCGACCCCAATAAGAAAGTCCAGGAAGCCGGGGCTAGTTCCTTCGCGTCTCTCGAGGAGAAATCTGGGGACAAGCTGAAGCCGTATGTCGAACCCATTTTACGGCAATTCACGGAGTGCTTCAGACGGTACAAGGACAAAAATATGTACATCCTGTACGACTGTCTGCAAACCCTTGCAGACAACGTTGGCTCGCAGATCGCCAAACCGGAACTTGTCGACCTGCTTATGCCTGTACTAATCCAGCGATGGAACAAAATTCAAGATGACTCCCGCGAAATGTTTCCCTTGCTCGGCTGTCTAGGGTATATTGCCATGGCTTACGGCGACACCTTCGCGCAGTTTGCTCCTCCTATCTTCGACCGATGCATCAAACTCATTTACGCCAACCTACAACAGCATGTGGACTTTATGAGCGGCCAGACTGTTGACCAACCGGACAAGGACTTCATTGTAACAGCATTAGACCTTCTTAGTGCAATCATCCAAGCCATTTCTCCAGAGAAGTCCGCGCCGCTGGTCCAGAACTCGCAACCTCAGTTCTTCGATTTATTGAGTTTTTGCATGGAAGACACCACCACGGATGTGCGTCAATCCGCGTACGCTGTGTTGGGTGATTGCGCAATCGCGCTCTACCCCAGCCTGGATCCTTATCTGCCCAAACTCATTCCGATCCTGATCAGACAACTTGATCTTGACAGCATCCCAGACACGGATTCCGAGAATGGCTTCAATGTCCTCGCCAACGTGTGCTGGAGCATGGGCGAGATTGCGGCGAGAGCACCGACCACCAGAATCTCGCCCCTGATCGAACCACTCTATCGTGGCTTGTTGTCACTCATTACGAACGAAGAAGTTCCCGACGCAGCAAGTGAGAACGCCGCTACTGCATTGGGAAGACTTGGTGTTCCCTGTCCGGACCATCTCGCGCCCTTCTTGTCCGAGTTTGCGGAACCTTTCTTGCAGTCCATGTCCAAGATCAGCACATCGCATGAGAAGGCCTCGGCGTTCCTGGGGTTCAACAACATTCTGGAAAAGAATCCTCAGGCAATGGAATCCAGCCTGGCATTGTACTTTTCTGCGATCGCGCAGTTTCCCCTCAAAGGGCGGCAGGGCCAGGAATACGCCGACGTGCGCACCAGTTTCGCCAGGGTCATCAACGGCCTCGCCGGCCTGATCGGGCAGGAGAGGTTTGAAGGCTTCATCGCCGGGTTGCCGGTACCGGTGCGCGCCAAGTTGAGGGATGGCTATGGCGTTGGCTCCGAATGAGGAGAAAGAATGGCGAGAGTCGCGGGATCCCTGCGGTTTTGTGGGAACCACTAACAACTTCCTTCCCCCGCGAATCCCAGAAGAAAACGGAGCATGAAAAATGAAGGCGAAATGAAGATGAGACAGCAACCAACCAAGCTACCTTCTCACGTAAAATTACGTTTCAAGCTGTCTGGAGGTCGAAAGAGAGAGTTGACGGACCATTCAGACAACAACCGGTTGAAACCCATTGCGGTGGGTTAGGGAGTTAACAAGAAATGAGCAGAAATAAGTCGACGTAAATGACGAGATTGGAGATGGGGATGAGATGGAGTGACAGACGCGCGGAGGGGGAAAAAACGGGGATTGAAAGCCAGAATCTCAGCCTGCAGCTGAAGCTGAAGCTGGTCCGGGGGTCATTGGGATATGCCAGTCGCCCAGAAACCATAACATCCCTTCTTACGGTCGCACAGCAATTTTTGTCAATCCACCTTCGATCGAGCGGATGTCCAAAAAGAGAAACACCAACAAACAGGCAGATGACAATGACACGACTATGACATGACACAACTACAACAACAACAACAATAACGATAACAACACGACGTTGCAGCCATGAGCATGAGCACCGAGCTATTCGAGCTCGGAAGTGACCGCCGGCCGCGACCGACGTATTCCATTTCGCATTGGGGGTGGGCTGTTTGTTCATTCTATCTATCTCTATGTATCTTGACGCGTTTCCTCCTGATTGGACCAGGCCAGACAGACAGACAGACAGAGAGGAGTACGAATGCGGACGTCAAAAACAAGAAAAGATTGCGCTTGCACACACTCACGTGAGCGCGCCGAGCCTCTTTGGGATGCATCTCACCTGCTGGACCGCCGCCCCGTGTTCGATTGAGATCGAGACTGACTTGAGACGATTGAATCTGTGCGATTGTGCTGGAAATGGGAGAGAGGTCGTGCATGCATGCATTCATGTATGCGACGGGGCTGGGTCCTAAGTCCTGAGTCCTGAGAGAAAGGCTATCTTGACACGGACGACGACATCGAACACGCAACTGAACTCACTGTACCGCACCGCACCGCACCGTACCGAAACCAAGCTGAGCCGGCTGGGATGGAATGGGAAAATCATCGCCCTTTTTTCTTTTCAATGGACAGCGTCATCATTCCCCCCCTTTTCCCCCTTCATCACTTTTTCCCCCTTTTCTTGTGTAGCGTAGATAGTCTTAGAGTAGATAGCTATGGAGGCACTCAAGCCCCCCAACCCTCCCTCCCACCCCTCCCTGATGATAGCATGGCGTGTTTCTAGCGGTTCAGATATAGTAGCAGCATAGCAGAGAGAGAATCACGGGGAAAATCAGAACTTGGAGATGGAGTGGTGGTCGATAACACTGGTATTTGAAAGATAAACTGAGGGAGACACCAACCTGTCTTGCACTTACAAGCAAGCAGCCTTGGTATCGAGAGTATGCTAAAATGCTGCCTTCTCGTCAAACAACAGCCGTGCGAAATTCACTGCCGCTCCTTTATGTCTTTCTTTTTCAGCCCGGTCAGTGGGAAAGCATCAATCCGCATGTCAAGGTGACGGGACAGCCACCTGCTGCACCCGTTTCAAAAGCATAGATATGTCGAAAAGTCCGTGTCAGTGGTCCTCCACCGCACCCACCATCATTGGATTCTGACTGGTCCCTTGTTCACTCACCAAAGACGCCTAATTTGCTTATACCATCCGTCTCGCGTGTGTGGCCGGTGTTTTGACAGGGAAAAACGAAAGGGTAATGTGAATATGAGCTGGACGCCAACTGCAAGACTTAGCTGGAAATGCTTGCTCCGAATCGCGTTCGCACCGCCAGACAACCCTTGGTGGGGGAGTCCAGCGGCGGCAGACGGTTATCCGCAGATGCTTGGTGCGAATACATCGAACAGTCCCTCTTATACCACAATTGTTTTCTGTACAGGAGTAAATGCGTACTTTGGCAACAGGGCCATCTTCTCTTCAGGACTTGTCTCGTTATCAGAGTAGACCAACCTGGTTGCTTTTGGTTTCTCCTTCTCCTTGTCTTTCTTTGGCCCGGCTTTGTCTTCACTGGCTTCGTCTTTGGTGGTCGCCGGAGTAGCGGTCGCCGGAGGGGTTCCGGATTTGGCGGCAGCCTCGGCGGCGGCGGCATCGACGTCAGCTTGTTTGGAAGCATTGGCGATCAGGTCATCAAGGGAGGACGCGTCTTGAGCGTCAATGGCAGCAGCTTGGTTCGGAGCCGGAATCTGTGGCGGCACTTGCGTATTCGTGCTTCCTGGAGCTAGTCCAGGAGCATACTGCGGCACAATGTTATGGGATTGTGGAGCAGGGATCTGACCTTGATGCATTTGTTGAAATTGGAAAGCATTGACCGGTGGAGCACCAAAGGCGGGCCTCTGCGGCAATCCTGGAGCACTAGGTAGACTTACACTGCCAGTACGCACTGGTGCAGGGAAATTACCGTTTGTAGCAGGTGAAAGAGAGCGTGGTGCAAGAGCTGGGGGTGGCTGTGGATATCCCGAGACGGGAGATGCCGATGCAAATGGACGCGGGGGTCCAGCAGGCTGGGCAGGATATGGTTGGCCAGGATATGGTGACTGATATTGGTGAGGCGAATAACTCGGCTGAGGAGGATAGCCCACTGGTGGTGGCTGTGGCGGTTGAAAGGACGACTGCGGTGGCTGAACGTATGGCGGTTGAGCATATGGCATCTGCACGTATCCTGGCTGCCCCGGCTGTAGAGTTGTCGCATGCTGGCCGTAGCCTTCGACAGTCGGCGGAGACCCGGCAGATGGATAGACGGGCGACGCCTGGTACGGAGCAGATAAAGCGGCTGAGGGCTGGGCGAAAGGAGGGGACTGACTGTACGAACCATTCGTAGGTGGCGCTGCATATGGCTGTTGATATCCGGGGTAGGTGGGAGACGCTGCCTGTATCGAGAATGAGCGAGGGTGGGACATTATAGCTTTCAGACGACTCACCGTATTTACCTGAGGCTGAGCTTGGACGACAGTAGCGGCAGGAGGGTTGGGAGTGCCACCTCCACTGCTCGTTCCGTCGCCTTGCTCGGCAGCCAGCTTAGCGGCTTTATGTTCTGCCAGGCGTTTCTTAATATCGGACACAGACTCGATCTTGGGTTTCTTCGGGGCGTTGGGATGCTGGGCACTCTGAGCGTTGTTACCGGTCGATGCCTGCCGCTCAGCTTGGAGTTGATGAAAGTTGGTCAAAACACGCTGATTATGCTGTTGAATGATGTCTTCAGGAATTCCTTCCATGCCAAATATTTCTATATCCAGGCCCGCTCGGTTCGGGAGGGCGTTGTCGACGGCCGTGAGGTTCTCCTTGTGGACTTGACTCATGTGGACACTGAGGCCTCCTGCGGTATTCAGTCTTCGGCCACATCTTTCGCATTTGAAGTGCTTGGCTTTCTGATGGTTGATCAAAATCTTGAGATCATCAAAGTCGCGCTCGCAGTAGTAGCACCACGGTCGCGCAAGGACCTCTTCAACATCGGGATGATGACGCTTCTTCTTGGTCATGGTGCAGGGGACGGTGAAGGATAGGCAGGGTGTGCGCAGTGGGCGCAGCTGGAGGAAGTACTGGCCCGACCGAGTCCGAGGGTGTCGCTAGGCGAGAGATGAGATATGAGAGATGAGGGTGCTTGTAATCTGCAACAAGGGCTACAGATTGGGAGAGATAAAAAGGACTCGTCGATAGCTGCTGGACATGGAAAGCTGAAGGAAAGAAACAAGGACGGTAAAGTGAAATACTGCTGTCATAATATCCGAAGCGCAGACTCACTCCTGCCAAGACTTTCTCGGGGGGGGCGCAGCATGCAAGTTCTCTATGTACTGTAAATACCTGGTATCTGTCCTCGAAATTACAGTATTACATGCATATTAGCATCCAGTCTAGAGTACCGAGTACCGAGTACCTCACCTCGTAATTGAAGCAAGCATGCTCCCGTCTTGCAGGCTGCCTGTATTGGATATTACGTCAAGTTGATCAATGAACTCTGCGTCTATCCATCTGCAGCGACCGAGCATTATTGGCCTCGATCCCGCAGTGACTGTCTACGTCCAGAGTGTGTGTCTTATGTATATACACACTTCCGTGCCCTTGCTGTCCTGTCACTAGACACACTCATACCTTAGCCACTAGATCTCCTCGCATGCCGTAGCGATCGCCTGGTCAACGGTGCGTTGCTCTTTATCCCAATCGTCGAGTCACTCTCTTCTCCCTTCATGCTGGGCCGCCTGAGCGAGGCTTCGTTACCGTGGGGCTCCTTGCCGTTTCTGTCCACGGCCACCTCCTCCTCGCCTCTCGATGGTGGTTCCGTCTCTGTGCCGGCTTGCTTTGCACCGCTCGTGCCATTGCGCTTGTCTTGGATGAAAATTTTGTCTCTGAATGTGGCATCGTCCGCACCGGCTGGTCGTTTGGATGACTTTGCAGCTCGTGTGTTCAACCCGAGTTTCGGAGCTTGCACCGCCGCACCGTTGACGGCTTCTGGCGCTGGGGTCGTGGCCGGGGTGGATCTCTCGCTGTCGTCGGGCTTTTTGGGCTTGGTCACTCTTCGTCTCGGCTTCTGAGACTCGCTAGAATCCTCCATGTCCTTGACTGCTTCGTCTTGCTCGGCGAGGTTCTTCTTCGCACGTGGTCTCTTGGCTTGGTTGGTGACTTGCCAGTAGTTCCATTTGAGCAACATGCTGAGGCTTCGGACGGGATTGATGCCGTTCAGCAGCTTGTGCTTCCACTCTTCGGCCCTCTTGGGGTCATCGTGCAGCCATGTGTGGTCGTCCTTGATCGACTCCAGCAAGTCCGGATCCGTCCACTTGTGGGTGCGCTTGGCATTCGGCGACAACTCCCGCCACGTCGGCTTCGACGACGATGACGATGATGACGCGACGGTTCTGGCGCTGGATTGAGCTGGCGCGGTTTGAGTGGCAGCCAACTCTCTTTCTTTGGCTTTTGTGTATTGATTTGGGTGCTTGGGCTTGGGCGGTTCCTCATTCACGGTGAGATGGATCTTGCGGCGTTTCGAATTGGGCGTGTCTTCACGGGTGTCGGCTCCTGAGGGGCTTGCACGCTTTTTGCCGCTGGGAGTAGAAGCTACCGACGGAGCCTCCGACACATCTCGTGTCGGGGGGAACTTCTTGCCGTCGAAGCGAGTTCGGGTCAAACGTTTGTTGACGGCCTTGTCGGGAGTGGTTTCACCGGGAACTTCGCTGCTTTCGGGAGATTGAGGTCGAATGATCTCACCATTTTCATCCACATTGCGCTTAACATATGTGAGGTTGTATTCTTCATGGTGGGTCTGTTGACGTGGAATGAGATGCTTGCCGTCTCTCTCGATGGGGATCCAGCCGTCGACATTTTTGGGATCTTTAGCTTTGGCGACCTTGGCTCTGTATTCTCTCTCCTTGGGCACGAATCCTCCTTGCTCGAAGGGCTCTTGGAACAAGCGCACATCGTGTTTTTCTCGCTCGGTCAGATCATCAGCAGATCGGAGGCCGGGAATACCAGCATGAAGAAGCGCTGGGCGATTAGCATCATATTTGTAGCCGTACAGCGCAGCTTCCTTGCGTTCCTCAAAGACATCCGGGGCCGGGAGGTCTTGGGGGTTTTTGATGGTTTCTTTGCCCTTGATGTTGGCAATGTGGCGCTCCAGCTCCAGGTATTCATTCTGGGCGTCGATCATGGCAAGTTGGTTGTTCGCACTGGCGGCATAGAGTTGCTGTGGATTGAGATTGGCCAGATTCACCATGAAGGTTTGCGGGTCCGTCAGTGGTCGCCATCCATCGTCGCCCAGCTCTTCCGAACTGTAGGGCAAGGGGCGGATAGCTGAGTCGCCAAAGGCGGAGCGCCACAGGCTGTCGATTTCAGCGGCAGACATGGTGCAGAAGAAGCGTAGACACGATAGAGAAGCGCAAAATCACATGCCATCTAGGTGGATGACGGAGAATTGAAGTTGTTGGTACACTGATAGGTAGATGGATGAGTGAAAAAGGATGGTCCGGGGCAGAAAGTAGGGGAAATTAAAGGCAGTGCGCTGCCAGAAAATCGGTGGCTGGGAACAAGTGACTCAAACAATGGGTCAGGTGTCGAGAAAGATGAATGAGGCGACTATTCAAACAACAACAATCTGAATGGAATGAAAGCGTCTGAAGGTCCGGTTGTATTGGGGGGTGGTGTGGAAGGCGGCCAGGATGGGCTGACGAGCACTTAGTATTTCGCTAGCCGGCCAATCACAGCACGCCCTTTGTACCAGTCCCGCCCAGCCAATCACAGCCACTGCTCCTTTTTGGTGGCAGCCAACACACATCAAATTTTTCCTCCTTTGATATGGCATCGTGGGTCGCGTGCCACCATGTGGATAGATCAGTCAGAAGGTCATGGAACAATGGCTTGAGGCACGAGGGCATTAATGTTTGTGGTTGATATGCATATATCTAGCTTTTTGTCTTCCGTTTGTCTCCTACATTTGCATTTTCTGTGGCTGAGCCAGTCCTCCGGATTCCAAAGAATCACCGTCGTTTGATCCCACAAAAGGCCATGGAGCTCAGGAAGCAGAAGCATGCTTGGCCAGTCTCTCCTTCACCCGTTTCTCCGTCGCCTGTTTGGCCCGCTCGACCCAGAGATCGTAGGAGCCATCATAGACCTTCATCTTGACCACTCGCTTGAGCACTTCGCCCGTGAATTCGACAAAGTTGTGACGTCGGAGCGCATTTTCAAAGTCCCACTTTTCGCGTTTGCGTTCCTCCTCCTCGAGCAGGCCAGGTTCCTGGAGCTCCCGCCATTTGATCCTCTGGTCCTGACACACCACCATGAGGTTGAAGCGGATCTCGTTCTCGGGGTATCTCGATATCCTCCGGTGCAACACAGACATGATCTTGTCCGGGAATTCCTCCGATGTGCAGTCACCGTGAGAGATGGGATAGGGCTGGAGTCCGTCAAGTTCGTACAATTTGCCATGGTAGCGTGTGTAAGCGATGAAGTGAAACACGTCATCCGGCGGGCCTCCACGGGGATCATGTATCGTCTCGTCGGCAAACGGACTGGATTTCGCGAAGCTGTTGTGAACTGTTCTAATCATTTCCGAGTTTGAGAGCGACTCCCCTCGCAGCCCTGCGTCAAACCCCGTCGTGAACTCTTTGAAATCTCGTAGCCCAGGTCCGATATCAATTCTTGCACCTGACTCATCTCCGCCCGAGGACGAGGCATCGACGGACTGGTCATTGTTCAAAACCACCGAGAGAATGGCCTGCGTGCCACAGGCATTCTGTATTGTCTGCGCCGCAAAGAAGAGTCCCTCGTCCTCAGCTGCGGCCCGATCGAATGTACCATCTCGAGGTGCCTCCTTATTTTCCGATCCATGGCCGATCCATTTGAAGAGGAAGATCACACCGTAGACGGGACTGTCCACAAAACGGGTTCCGTGTCAGCAGGGGCTGATGTCGAACGACAAACGACAGGCTCGAGAGGAGGCAGGGATGAGAGTGTCAGAGAGGGCTTTGGGTCGATCTTGCTTGTTACCTCAAAGCACGGATCCAATCTGCGTTGAGCGAGAACAGTTCTTCGACCTGGACATCCTTGACCCCCAGCTGTTCGATCAGAGAGGTGAAGAGGCCCTGTCCCCAAAATCAGCCTGTCAGCGATCTCATCCTGAGTGCAAGCACTGAACGAGCTTGAGTGCCAGATCCCAGAGGGCATGGGCTGCTGTGTTGAGCTTACCTCGTCGGATTCGATGGTGCTCCAACCACCAGTGACGGCATCATCAGCCATAGAGTTTGCTGACAAGCAGAAGGATCAGGTGCTACTCGTAGAGCTTGACGCCTTGTGCCGTCGATTCGATGGCCAGACACGCAATGAATTCTGTGTACGAGGTACAGCATGTGTCAATAGTGCAAAAGTGGGGGGCAAGTGCGGACGGTCAGACTGCGCCTGTCGGGTCACCTTGGACTAGGCACTGGGGGCACTTAGGCACAGGAAATACGGGGTAAGTGGGATGATGGATGGGTTTTGATGAGGCTCACCAGGCTCACTAGGCTGGTGGGCTTAGATCGGCGTCCCTGATGCTGCCCTTGTAACAACTCGTACCTTCATACCTCGCTTTTGCCCCAGAAGAGGAGTCAGTTTCCTGAACTGTTCCCTAGTGGGCCGACGTCCCGGTTCTTAACTAAAGTGATCGCCCACAATGCCCCCCGAGCACCCACCGAGCAGCTGCTACTATGCTTACAGTACGAGGTACCGAGTACTCCGTACGGTGGCGCCGCCCAATCCTGCCCTCGGCCTAAACAGATACAAGTAAAGGCAGACAGACATGTTTCCATTGGTCTTTTGCAGTCGTATCTACCTACCGAGTACTGGGTACAGGACTCCCGCCCCTCACCTATTCTTCTCCCCCTTTCTCAGAGGCAGGTCGATCCGTGGGGCTTTCCATCCTTTTTCCATCGGCCCCTTGCATGCCGTACTGAGTCCTGCCCTTGATTTGTCCCCTTCGGGTCTTTTCCCTCTAGTCAGACGGTATACAAGTGGCCCCCTGGGCACCGCAGACCAGAGGAAGCTGTATCCAGAGTTGGCTAATCGATGCGACCTCGATGCATTGTAATTCTGGAAGCTCTCTTGTATGCCCGTGGTTTCTCCTGCTTATGGCGCCTGAAGGATTTCACTCTATCAACCACGTGGGCCTTCGTGTTCTGGGCGGAGCCATATTATCCATGGGCGGGATTTCAATCAACAAGCCGTTGGGCTAATGCGGGTTGACTTGCACCACACAATGACAACTCGACTCCGGCGCGGGTGGACGGCTTCTTCGCATGACAAGCTTGACCTTCGTATCTCGAGAACCAGGCGCTGGTGTTTCCATGCCAACATACCCATTCACCCCTCAGACTACCAACCCGAACATATGTGATACGACGTTTGCATGAGTCATACAAGGTCCCCCCTGTGTGCGGCAGCTGGACCGATGCGTCCGGTGTTCCTAAAATATATTATAACACGAGTACGAGTTGGTGATCCCTCTAACGGGCGCACAGGACCATACTGCCCAGCCTTAAACTTGGCATGTATTGTACCAGATGCTATGTGTTGATGCCGAGTAGCTGAACTCGAAGGCGGTCACTAACAGAGATCCCTGTTCACATACCTCCGACCAAGAGAAAGCCGAATCGAAAATGGCATAGACGGCAGTCAGGCCCTGACAACCAAAGTCCATTCCTCGCAGCATCAAGTCACCAAGGTGGAATCAGACCTCGTCCTGAATACACCGAGCTGCAGACAGCGCCTCCCGAGAACGCAACGACTCTTTCATAATCAAACGATCCACATCAAGGTGAAGAGAGCCTTCCCTCTTCCCTGCCAGATGACCACCCAGAGCCAACCCCGTTTCAGGCTTTTTTCGCCATGTATGGAATTTTACTAACCCTTACTTCCAGTGATAAACTCATCAACCTTCGCGTTGCGGGCGGCTTCGTCCTCCATTGGTCCCCGACCTTGCTTGACCCAACGCCTCGCCAGTCGTCGTGGATTACACCATATTAGACATCGCCAGTCTCACGTCATCGCTCAACCCCCCTTCGGTCCGCTGTCATTGTTGCCGCTCTTTCCCTTTGTCTTGCTGCCCTTGGTGCAAATTTGGGGGTGCTGTGGCCGGAGGAGTCCTGTGGGAAAGAAGAATACTCAGTCGAAAGATGTCCGTCAAGTCCAGAGTTGTGAAGGAGCGACGAACCGAGTATTCATGTTCATGCTGCCGTAGTGATTGTACGGTGCTTGAATTTGCCCAAAGTAGTCCATTCTCGACCCCGGGAGCTCGTGACTGCTTCGTGGGTGTTGCGTCGCGGGCGATCCATACACCATACCCATTGCATGTGGGCTGCTTGACGCGAGACTCCGGTGGTCACTAGTCATCGAGTGAGCGCGGCCGAGTGACGATGCCGACGATATCGACGATTCTCGCCGTGGTTCGCCGGGCCCGAGAGCCGCTTGGAAATATGCCGATGCCGGTATCGACAGACTGCCCGGCGCGTGGAGGGGTGAGTTGGGATAGATGGGTGCCACGGGACTGTCTGAGGTTGGAGTGGCAATCGGGATGCGAGGACCTGCAAAGGGGCTCCCTTGAGGAGAATAGCGATAGCCTTCCACCCCCTGACTCCCGTGGCTGTTGTGTCTCTGCCTGTGTCTGTACGAATTCCCTATCTGCATTGGCACCTCCACAAGTGACAAGGCCACTTGTATGTGTGCATCTTGGGGTTGGGTCGCCCGCCTTGTCCTCAGGATGTCATGAATCGTCTCCAGTGGTCCGAGGGACATGCTTCCCAAGTAGGCGCCACCAATGTCGGGAAAGAGTGGCTCAACCGCAAGTGCGCTGGCATAGAGATGCGAGAGCAGAGCTAGTGGGCCCAGATCCGAGTCGTTGACGCGCAGAACTGAGGACGGCAGCCAGAAGATCAAGTCCCGCAGTGGCTGTAACCGGCTGAAGACATTTTCGGGACCTTGGATTGGTAAGGCTCGTTGTAATTCCTGCAGGTAGTCAATCAATTGGCCCGTATGTTCTTGGAGCTCTTCGTTTGTCAAAAGTCGCAGCCTCAAATTGTGAAGAGCCGTGGTGATTTGTTCTATCCGACGAAGGTCCTCGTGAGGAATCGACACCTGGGCATGCGGCATGGTCGGTGTGGCATTTGCTCTTGCTCGCCCGATACTTCGTTGGGTCTCCAGATATCCTGCCAGCTCTGATTCATGGATCCACATCCGCATCGCACTCAAGACCTACAAGATGTCAGAAGGTTGGTCTGTCAGAATACTCGATTTGACGAACCGTCGATACTCCCTGTTGTAGTGATGCCCAGCCACGCCTGTCAGATGTTAGCCGCTGTATGTGCGTGGGGCATTGACCTCACCATTCGGTGGATTGCCACGACAGCAGAATCGAGGCGGCGAGGATCGCTTCAGAGTTTTCTCTCGAGAATGCTCCAATTGCTTGATGAAGACCTTTGAGGGCAACCCCTCTATGGTGGTACGCTAGGTTGTCCGTGTCCGCGTTCTTCGTCTGCCACGCAAGATGTGATGCCGACAAGGCAAGCAATGCACTCATCACGAAGTCATGTGCCAAAGCCGCCGAGATGAGCCTTGGAGAAGATTAGCTAGAGACCATCTTGAACGACATGACCTTCCTTACGAAGGCATTCTGGAGCCCCAAGCCGTGCAAGAGCTGTATCCCTGGTTGTACATGTCTGTCGATAGTGTCGTGATATGGTGAACAAGACGCAGATCGATCGTTGAAAACCGGGTCCAATATATCCTGTCATGGACTTGTAGCTCCGGCATTTGAGACTCGCCAGTAAGTCGCCAGTTGTCGATCCGGCGTTGGAGTTCAGGTGACATCAAGAGATCTGGTGTTTTGGTGCCCTTCACAGGCTCTTCTCCTGCTGTCTGCAGGTCCATATAGTCGCAACGACAGTTGTGTTTCGTGCAATTTCGACATTGTGGAAACGTCTCATCACAACGAATGTGCCGCCTTTTGCAGGTTTTGCAGCCCTTTCTCGATTTTGTATGGCTCTTACGCGGTGGACCGCCTCCGGGTCCAGCCATTCTTCGAGCCAGATTGAGAGATATTGTGGCGGGTGATTGTGGACTTCTTAAGCCTCTCGAGTCTCTCCCCCCTAGCTGAATAGTCCTCGCCCCAAAAGATCAGGGACGCAAAGAAACGTGAACGTGACCAAGAAGGTGCTTTGAATGTTCTGTAAACGTTAGGATCCGTTCTCCGCGTGTTGAGTCCCTCCGGTCCCTGGAACGAGATGTGAAAAAAGACAGGGCTGGACTACAGGAAGTGTTCTCGTATTAATGGGCAAGGCTGAAGAGATTGGTCCCCACAAGACGTTGGCCTGGACTAATCCAGGGAACAGGGGAAAGTAGTATAAAAGAACAAGGAAGGGAACAAGAATGAGTAGTCGCTCGTATGACAAAAGTTCGGTTTGAGGTCCGTCATTCGCGGACCCGATTGTCAGCAGGGACAAGGGATATGGGGTGTCACATAATAGACGCTGTGCTGGACCAGAGGCGTGATGGAGGGGGGGGAAGGAGAAATCTGGGTTGGCCACGAGGTGTCATGGCCAGTAAGTACGAATTCGAGGCTCGGAATAGAACTCTTGGTCGCAACATGCATGCATTTCGGTCTCCAAAGCTACTGCATCGCGTGGAGCTGCAGTTCAGGAAAAGAATCAGGCAATGGGAAACCAGCGACTCAGCCTCGATTCCTGGCGGCATTTCCCATGCAGTATTCGAATTGGGAACCGTTCGGTTGGGAAAAAGCCAGCAGCTGCGGAAGTGGAAGTTGAAGGTGGCCATACCAATAACGATTGGTCTTGTTGGCCTCGAGGAGCCAGCAGGCCTCAGACCAGAAACAAACCCAAACTGTTCAGTGGCTACCACTGCTCACAGGTGGAGGGGACTCAGAAACTACCCGCGGGTCGCCGTGCAGATGCCACTCTCTGGGCTTGGCCTAATGTGACTAGGGCACCTTGGAAAGGTTTCTTTCTCACCCCCTCCCACCTGCCTGAGAAACGACTTGTGGGAAACTAGACATGAGAATCAGGTTAGAATCGACGCATTCTGGGAGGCGCCGGACTGACGGAGCACGTTTCGCCCGCCGAGCTTTAGCTTCGACAGGATAGCAAAGGTGCCGCCGTCGTCGGAAATCTCAGAGGCTGTGAGCCAAAACTCTGGAGTCCGGAAGAGCCAGGGTTGCATGGTCGATGGTCGGTCACAATGCTGGGACGGAGGGGATCCCCAGGCTGACTTTCAAAATTCTCAGGGTCCGGGGATGGGTGGCCCCCACCAGATGCCACAAGGGGGCAATTTCTCGTGTTTGGGAACCAGTCTGATGGATCAAAATCTGGCCGGATGAGATGAGCGCATGGAGCATCAGCCTGACGCTAGAAAAAGATGACTGGATATGCACCATGATGCATGATGGTGTGGTGGTGGGGACTCTCTAGAGAAAGACGAATAGATTTCGGGAGCGCATGGGCCACATGCAGCCCTGTCAAGCGTGGCAGGCATCTCGTGTCAAGGTCCAGGGCCGCCAGAATAATGGAGGTCGACAGAGAGATAGAAGAAGCCGCCGGGGAACTTTGTTGCGAAGCGCATGCCAAGGCCAGCTGAAGGCCTCGTGGCTGCTGCTCCGACAGAAGAATCATCCACAGGTGGGACTAAAAGGGGCAACCGCTGCAGAAAGCATTTGATCCGTCTAGTGTGGTGGTGGCTTTGATTGGGCTGACCCAGAGCGCTTGAGTTCAAAAGCTCTTGGGTCTTCCTCGGAGTCCCTGCAGAAGCCGATTTGAGCCCATTTGACAGCAGACCCCTCTCTGATTACTCTCGTTCTTCCTCTGTTGGGCTAAGTGACGAGGGTTTGGCGGTGAGCCTCAAGGTCGATTTGAGGCTGTCTCTTCTAGTGCTGCCCGTATTGATGTAAGACTGCGGATGGTCAGTGGAATACATAAACACAGGCACAGGAATTTGGGACCCTGCACTGCATCATCGTCCTTTGTATGAAGCCGAGGAATCGTCCCGGGGTTGAGAAGCTTTACTGGCTGCCCGCCGCATACCAGATTCGGAGCCATACAGGAATGCTAATGGGCAAACCCAGCCCCACGGAGAGGAAAATATTACAACCTGGAAGGCGGGGTATTATATGACGACTCAATCCAGTCTGGAATGTCCCTTCGCCCTCGGTGCATTTTGTGAGGGATTGCGTAATGGAACTCCTGCCAATGGCTGTGTTGTCCTAGGGAAGCCTTCATTTGACGGTAGACTGACCATCTGGAGGCTGGAAAGGTAAATCTCATGGTGTGAGGCTCGAGATGCCTGGCGGCGCACTCCAATTCCCAGTTTGTAAACCAGGACGCATGGTGTGAGTCGAATGTTATCGACCACTCGCCGCACCTTGCAGTCTGCCCCATCCATATCGGGCGCAAGGGTTTTGCTGCTGTTGGGATAGACTGCAACCAACTCTGCAGACGCGGGGTCAAGAACCCAACGGGATCCATGACTTCAAGCCCCAGCAAGCAGCTAACTCTGCCAAACTTTCCTGGATTCCACGAGGGACGCAGGTCTGCTGGAGCAACTCGCTTGTGACAGGAATCTGGACGGGTCTGTCCCCACTGCACCCACAGTTAGTGTGAGCTTCGAAAGCGCCCAAAGGTCGACAATTTTTGCTTCTCGCTTAGCTCCTCCAGATCTACGCTGATCGCATACCTCCTTCGTGATCGGCCTCGATTCGAGATAACAGCCAAACTCTGCCGTCTTTAGGCAGATTCTCCTCGAATATGTCCTTGATGGTGACGTGGGGACGATGGCTCGCCGTAATATGAGGCTTGAGGCTCGAGGAAACGAGAAATGGAGGTGTGGAAATATTATCCGTTGTTGCGTCGATGACTTCAGGCTGAGGGACGGAGGAGTCGAAACTCCCAGCCAGTGGGGCAGTAAAGACCTGTCCAAGTTAGCCTACCAAATAGCATTCATGGAGCGAGAAGGAGGGGTTTGATTCGAAACCCTCATCAGTGTGCCAGTCAAGCGCTCGTCCGTCCCCTGCGATTTCTGGGCACTTTCAAACTGTCAAGCCGAAGCGACGGACGAGACGCAGCTGAACAGAAAAGGGACCAAGCGCCGTGTACCGACCACTTCCTTGGTCGTGCGTCGAAACCCCCATTGTGTCTCAAAGCTGCAGCATGACATGACTACCAAGCCGCCGGAGACTTCCAAACCTTGAGATTTTGCAAGCCACGCTGAAAACATGGGGGCATTGTCGACTGGTACTTATGATTAGGCGGAGCCGCAACTGCTCCTGCCTTTCTGGGTGGACGTTGGGCTAAAACTCACCGGATGCTGCCGCATTCATCGAGGCCACTGGCTTCAGTGCAGTAGATGCTTCAACTGAGAGGAAAGAAATTGTTGCAGCCGGGCAGCAGCTGGGCCCCCAAAGCGATTGGAGAACCATACTTTTGGTACGGAAGTGCTCCCCTGAAGATGGATGTGCATAGAAGCTAGACGGGGCTGGTCCAACGGCTGTTTGGCTGAGAGCCTCGGGGGAGTTGCTCGCCACGTGCGAAAAGAATCTGCGAGGCCTGGTGTGGTACCTAGAATTAGGGCGTCCTTGATGGGCGATACACTCTGCGATTACGAGAAGAAGCCGGTGCTCAGACCAGCAGCGAGCACCACTCGGTCTCATCAACGGGAGGGGCTATGCTGAAAGGCACATGACAGCGTTCACAAAGGCGTTCTGGTCCAGCCTTATCTCGGCCCCCAGCCCCCAGCGTAGAAGAGTCTGGTTTTCTTGGATGTGGCCATGCCATTGGTGTGCCATTGGTGCGCAGACTGGCCCGTAGGTGACAGAAGGCTATGCAGGGTAGACTGTCTGATTCTCGGCTCCCATTCAGCAATTGTCTGAACTCTCGGTTTCATCGTTCGTGGTACCTCGTTCATGACCAAGTGTTTTGCGGTATCATCCCCAATCTCACCGACACGTGACAGGGCATCCTTCTTCTAGCCGTCATCATGACTAGAATGTGCTTCTAAACCCTCCAGGTGACACGAAAAGGAACTCGTATGCTCGACATTCTGCCTCTTCACATAACAACACCACTGTTGCTTGCAATTCTGGGCCACAGCTCAGCAGCCTCCTTGCCCACCGGTCCTGTAATGGCACTGCCCTTCATTTCCCCCTTGGGATTCACAATAACACCAGCGTTGTCCTCGAAGTACAGGTAAATACCATCTGGCCGTCTCCAAGGTTTCGATTGTCGGACGACGACTGCGGGCATGACTAAATGAAAACGTAAGTCCCTGTGTACATTAGGATCTTGTGTCTGTTCGACGTACCTTTTTTCCTCAGCTCGGGCTTTCCTTTCTTCACAGTAGCCATGACCATATCTCCCACACCCGCGGCGGGTAATCTGTTCAATCGAGCACCGATTCCCTTGACGGAAATGATGTAGAGGTTGCGCGCACCCGAGTTATCTGCGCATGACATGACGGCTCCTCTGTTGTCTTCCCATCAGTATCTTCTCGCTAAGCTCAAGCCAGTTCGCACAAAAATGTTGTCTGTGGACAAATATGTGGATATTTTGAGTAACCCGCAACGCTGAGTCCATGTGGACTGCGTCGTTGTCGTCTTTCAAACAGCACGGCTGGGACGGAACCTGGGGACTGTAATTCGGGAATCAGGATGCACATACACAGGGAGACCGAGAGTCATCTTCAGCTTGTTGCCGGAGGCACCACCGCGACTATTTTGAGCAAGTCAGTATCGTTCTTCTTAACAGCAACAGGTCAACCAGGGATTTGTGAATCCTCAGTTTCAAAAGAGAAACAGATAGATAGTTCTCGGTCACGTACCCTCGCTTCGACATCCTGGCGGTACTGTGATTTCCGTGGTTCCTTCAAAGTTCGTGGGAATGAACTACAGCGCGGTCTGCGGTCGACGATGTTGAAAAGATCCATCAAAAACTCGTGTGCGAGTTAATGCCAAGCCAAAAATCTTGGCATTATTCCATTGGGTGCTGAAGAGGCTGCTCCGATAATCAAATGACGACGTCTGACAAGACAGCTTCCTGTTTTGGCTACGAGTAGTTTTCCACATGGCCGCCTTCATCCTGGTTCATTAATAACTCTTCACCATTATCGTAACACCTTACCGCGAGCAGCTTCTGCTCGCTCAAATCTTTGCAGGACGTGTGCCCTAAGGCCTTTCCAGATCCCTGCTCTATGGCAGCACCAGGTCGCTCTCATAAGTGGTGTGGAACACCGTCTTTCTCATCTGTTTCACAGCCTGTACATATGTCCGCACGTCCCAGCTGCCTTCGCGGTGCCCTTTCCTGCCTGAGGCCTGCAAATGGTATAAGTATTGCCTTTAAACTTCGTGAGAAACTCGACGCCTTTTGCAGCGTGAAAGCCATCAAGACCTCAGGTTCTTTGCCTGCTATTTATTGTATTACTATCACACAACAGCAGGATGCCGAGACCTTCTCTGGTGCTTCTGGGCAAAGGCCTGTTTTTTTGAGAGTCCTTCTGGCTTCTGACCTTATCCCTGACAATCCTCGAAGGATATCTCCGGCATTTCTTTGGCGAGGCTAGCTCCGCTTAACTAGCGCTTTATGGTTCCTGATTGTATTGTGCAGCAGCCTGCAGCAGTCTGAAGCACTAACCAGGCGCAGACCAAACGTGATCCAGAGTGTCACACAGCGTCTCAATTGCTCTCCTTTTGATCACTCTGTCTTAGATCAGTGCAGTTCTGGGCTTTCAAGACTTCCATTTCTTGTCCTGTAAGCAACGGTGAGGCTGGCTGAAGTCGTTCTCCACACATCCATTGTGGTGTGATGCAGCCACCTTTTTACGACGCGTATTGTTCGTGTGGGTGGCCCTGAGTCGGTACCCGGGGTTTCTCTCTCGTCAAAGCATCCGGAAGTCACCGGTTACACACGGAACGGATGAATTATCTATTTCGAACATTGAGGAGCCATGAAGTCATACATTCAGTTTGTGCTTCTCGAGGTAAGGCAGACAATGATGTCGTGGATCCTCTGGTCGTCATTGCGACAAAAGGACAACGGAACACCCTTGGATTTTTTGGTGTTTCAAACGCTTCCGGTTGACGTTGCGTGTGCTTAAGGTTAGTTAGACAACGGCTCCTATCAGTCCCCCCGGATGGCCCCTTAGGCTTGCAGCGATTTAACCAAATTGGCAGCGGGACTGGGTACAAGGGCCATGTCCCCAGCATTTGTTCCTCATTAACTTTGTTCATTCCACGAGCTGAAGGTGCGGGTTCTCGCCCAATTTTTTATGGCTGTTGCTTTCACCAAGGTCAGCGAGAGAGTAACACCATCCTAACCGTCACCGAGTCCTATCCCGAGGATTCTTATACTCGTACCCTTCTTTCAAGCTTATCCCTTGCTTACTGTCCCAGCATCCGTCCTCTCCTGGCTACTTTCTGACCGGTCTCCACCCGAATGTCTCCAAAGATACCAGAAGGCGCCATTGCGCGTGCTGCCGAGGCTGGGCTCACTAGGCCACGAGCCAGCGGCCCATGGGCTGAAGATGACCACCACCGTTGGATGAGGCTGTTGCCAATCAGGTCAACGCTATTGCAGTCCACGAGCTCTCGGCCCCCCATGAGCCCCTGCTGGTCTTGTGGGTCCAGGAGCCTCAGCTTGAGGTTCAAGGCCTTTCGTTTACTACGGAATTTGCTGCCTTTTTCCTTCCACTGCGACCACATCACTCGTTTCTTCCGCATCCGGACATAACTCCAGTCATTGCAGCCTGTGTTCCTTCGACGCCTTAACGAGGTGTCGCCTATATAACTGAGGCTTCTTCCAGTTACGATGGCGCGCAAAAGGAAGCTTTCTTCCACTTCTCTCAACGCAATGGACGGCTCGCGGGATATTCCGTCGGGCTCCGGCGACGATCACTCAGGATACAGAATTAGTACTACCATTCGGAGTTTGTTCGAGAGCATTGCCGGCTCGAGCAGTGAATCGACTAGTACGGTCATCAATGGCGCCACAGTGCAGTCACGACCTCTGCTCGCCAGAGTGCTCGCCGATGTCGCATCTCAAGCACCTCGCATCGGCGAGAATCTCGGACTTCTTGGTTCCTTGGTCGATACGACATTGTTCGATGGCGGTCTCGTCGACGACCGTCAGTATCAGGTAAGCATCCTTCAGACCGAATGCCTTGTATCATGCCTAATCCCGGCTTTCCGCAGATGGAGAAGATTCTCCAACTGGCAGCCTCGCTGCCTCCAGGGTCAAAGTCCCTCGATGACTTGACCGACCAGTTTATCAAGTTGCTGTGGGAGAACTTGGAGCATCCTCCCCTGTCATACCAGGGGGATGAGTACAAGTACCGCACTGCTGATGGATCCAACAACAACATCATGTATCCGCATCTTGGCAAAGCTGGTTCTTATTACGCGAGGACGGTCACTCCTCAGACACTCAAGCCAGGGGTGCTCCCAGATCCAGGCGTTATCTTCGACGCTATATTCGCCCGGGGTGAAGAGCCTCGAGAACACCCGAACAAAATCTCTAGCATGCTTTTCTACCTGGCGACGATCATTATCCACGACTGTTTCCACACCGATGAAACTGACTATTCCACCGTCAAGACGTCTTCCTATCTGGACCTGGCGCCTCTCTATGGCAGCAGCCAGGAGGAACAGAACCAGATCAGAACTTTCAAGGACGGTCTGCTGAAGCCGGACAGCTTCTGCGAGAAACGCATCCTCGGCTTCCCGCCGGGCGTTTCTGCCATTGTTGTTTGCTTCAACCGCTTCCACAACTACGTCGCCATGCAGCTCAAGGAAATCAACGAGGGAGGTCGATTCCGGATGCCGAGGAACGACAAAGACACCGCAGGCCTTGCGAAACTCGACAACGACCTGTTTCAGACGGCCAGACTCGTTACCTGCGGCCTCTACGTCAATATTATCCTGAACGACTACGTTCGCACTATTCTCAATCTCAATCGCTCGAACTCGACGTGGACTTTGGATCCGCGGAAGAACTTTTCAGATGTCTTTGACAGCGCCGGCGTGCCTTCAGGGGTGGGGAATCAAGTCAGCGTGGAGTTCAACTTGGTCTACCGATGGCACTCTGCTATCAGCATCAAGGATGAGAAATGGACCAACGAGTTGTATCAGTCTCTGTTCCCCGGCAGAGATGTCGCTACAGTCACCGAGTGGGAGCTGCTACCGAAGTTGAAGAAGTGGCTGGACGACCGCGGGCCAGACCCTGCTCAATGGGAGCTTGACTCGGGCAGATACAAACGCACCGAGCGAGGAACCTTCCGGGATGAGGATCTCGTCAAGATCCTGACCGAGGCCACCGAAGACGTCGCCTGCGCGTTTGGGCCCAGGAACGTCCCCCTCGTGATGAAGTTGATCGACGTCTTGGGTATCCAGCAAGCGCGAGCCTGGAACGTGGCGACGCTCAACGAGTTCCGGAAGTTCTTCAAGCTCGAGCCTCACAAGACCTTCGCCGACATCACCAAGGACACGGAAGTGGCTCGTTCGCTGAAGGCTCTCTATGAGCACCCAGACTACGTCGAGCTCTATCCTGGTATCGTCGCCGAAGACGCCAAGGATCCATTGGAGCCTGGCTCGGGCCTTTGTCCCGGATATACCATTTCCCGAACCATTTTGGCAGACGCCGTCGCTCTGACTCGCGGAGATCGCTTCTATACTGTCGACTATACACCTGCAAACCTGACCAACTGGGGCTGGTCCCAGGTCAAGTCGGACCCCACCGTTGCACAAGGGGGCTGCTTCTATACCTTGCTGATGCGAGCTCTGCCGTTCTACTACCGTGGAAATTCAGTCTACGCCATGTTTCCGTTGACGGTACCGGAAGAGAACCGCAAGATCTTGACCAAGCTGGGTAAAGAGCAGGACTACAACTTCGACCGACCGTCTTACGTCGGAGTTCCAACCTCGATTCGGTCATGGAAGGCTGTCACGGGCGTGCTCGGCGACCAGGCGTCCTTTTCCGTCCCATGGGGCCCGCATACCTTCTATCTAACTCACCAAGACTACATGCTGAGCGGGGACAGTGTCGCCAACGCCACGCAGCGGAATGAAGTGCAAAACGCCCTCTACTGCCCGGTCAACGGCCTTGCGCAGGTCCAGGAATTCTACGAAGACCTGACCACTCAACTTGTGGTCGCTCGCTCTGAGCGATTGCGAGGAGACTGGTACCAGCTTGACGCTTGCCGCGACGTCGGGAACCCGTCGCATGCTATATTCGTCGCCCGGATGTTCCATTTGCCGCTCAAGAAGCCCGGCGACTTGAACCCGATCGGAGTCGAGGTCGATCAGCTCTACCTCGCGTTGTCCATCATGTTCGCCTACGTCTTCCTGGATCTCGACACGGCCAGCTCCTTCAAACTGCGGGCTGGTGCAAAGACGGCCAATGACCAACTCTCAAAGCTTGTCACGATCGTTTGCGAGGCGGTCAGAGTTGGTGGCGTGCTCCGGATCCGCGACCTGTTCTCGGTGGGGACTACTGGGGAGCTGCTCGCAGACTATGGGACCATGCTCCTGAAGCGCCTGTTCGAGCGAGGCAAGTCCGTCGAAGAGGTTGTCTCGACAATTATCCCCACGGCGGCGGCGGCTGTCGCCACCCAGGCGCAGCACTTCATCCAGATGTTGGATGTCTACCTGTCGGACGAATACAAGGAGCACTGGCCTGAGATTCAGCGATGTGCTTGGTCGAACGATCCCGCCGACTTCGACAAACTCAAGGGATACGCGCTCGAAGCCAATCGCCTGGCACCGGCCGCCTTCGGACTGCTTCGCAAGGTCAACGTCGACACGGTAATCCCAGACAACGGCCAGAAAGTGCCGGTCAAAGCCGGCGACCAGATCTACGTCGACTTCATCGCGGCCGGCTTGGACGAGAGTGTCTTCCCCGACCCTCACAAGATTGATCCCACCCGTGAGCGATCCCTGTACATCCACCACGGATACGGTCCCCACGCGTGCCTCGGACGCCCAATGGTCGAAGTGGCCATGGCCGCGCAACTGAAGGTGTTTGCGAAGTTGAAGAATCTCCGACGTGCGCCTGGTCCACAAGGCCAGCTCAAGAAGACCGTGCCGGCGCCCAATCCGACCAGCAGTGACCCCAAGTCCAACCCGGGCACCGTGGAGGTGTTCATGCTGGAGGACTGGAGTTCTTGGTACCCCTTCCCAACCAGTGAGTTCTCCTTGACCCCCTTTTTGTGCTCCCTTGTTGGTTGAAAGCGTGCTAATCAGAAACCACCACCCCTCACAGCCATGAAAGTCCACCACGACGGCCTCTGGAAGGACCAGCCCGACGAACTCGCAGGCGAGACGGGCGTCCCGGGCATCCGGGAGCAGATCTTGAACAGCGACATGGCGGCGGCAGCAGTGAATGGATTGAACGGGGATTACATGGAGGAGGACACGGCTTGAGTGAAGGGGGTTGGGGATCCGTGCCACAACAACGCGACGGTGGTAGTTTCAGAAGGAGGAGGAGCAGGAGGAGGTAGGCATGGTACTGGGTAAATTGAATCAGGAAGCTGGAAGGGAGGGAAAAAAGCTCTGCTGTGTACCAGTGATGGATGGATGGATTTACGGATGGATGATATTGGTGGGAAGCAGGAGTTTTGGTATGTCTTCTTTTTATCTTCTTCACCCAGATGATGTATTCGCCTGCCACAACTTGGACAATTGTTTCCTAGCACTGTATTTCCTCCCTCTAGTATATCATCTACATTCTTTCGCCGTGTTGCTTCTCGTAATGGTTGACTCGATCCATCCCATTGTTCCCCTGGCATCTCATCCGCTTATGATAGAGGGCACTCTCCAGCCCGTGTTTCCTTTCCCCTCCCCCACATATGCCCAGAATAACTCTCCGCTCTCTGGAAGCAATAACAATAATGATATAATAAGTACCTAGCTTTCCCAATGCAGGCATCCGGACTCAGTGGATGACACAATCCCGGCGGTGACTAAGCATGTTGCATATCACAGGTTTAGGAAACGTGCGGATAACTTCAATTGTCCCAGATAAAGACAGACGACATTGGCTGTTTTGTAGGGTCCCTCCACGACTTCGATGCTTCACCAACTGTTCGATTGATGAAACTGCCCGTGAAAACAGCCTGGCGAGTGCGTAAGGTCATCATTAGCTACAGCTTCGCCCCCACGGCATTTTTTGCGCGATCCTTCGCGACGATGACGACGACGACGAGCCACTATGAGGCCATTATCGTCGGGTCCGGACAGGGCGGGGGCCCGCTGGCACTGGCATTTGCCAAGGCGGGCCGACGCACGGCGCTGATCGAGTCGACGCACGTTGGCGGGACGTGCATCAACGAGGGCTGCACGCCGACCAAGACCATGGTGGCCAGCGCCCGCATCGCCCACCTGGCCTGCCGCGCCCAGAGCTACGGCGTGCAGTTCAAGCGGTCCAGCCTGGTGCTGAACATGGACACGGTGCGCAAGCGCAAGCGCGACATGGTCGACAGCTTCCGCGGCAGCAGCGAGAACCGCTTCAAGACCGCCGAGAACCTCGACCTCATCATGGGCAAGGCCCGGTTCACGGGGCCCAAGACGCTGGAAGTCGTCGAGCATGATCATCGTGATGACAACAATAACAACAGCAGCAGCAGCAGCAGCAGCAGCAGCCCGTTCCTCACTCTCACCGGCGACCAAATCTTCATCAACGCCGGCTGCTCCCCCGCGGGCCTGACGGCCAAGAACGCCGACAAGACCGAGGGCCTGCTCACGTCGACCACCATCATGGAGCTGGGCGAGGTGCCGCGCCACCTGGCCATCATCGGCGGCGGCGCGGTCGGGTGCGAGTTCGCGCAGATGATGAAGCGGTTCGGCGCCCGGGTCAGCCTGATCCAGCGCCAGGACCAGCTGCTGCCGCGCGAGGACGCCGACGTGGCGGACGAGATCCGCAACATCTTCGCCGGCGCGGGCATCGACGTCTACCTGGGCGCCACGGTCAAGGAGGTCTCCAACGTCACGCTGGGCCAGATCGTCGTCTCCCTCACCCAGGGCGACGGCACGCCCAAGTCGCTGCTGTGCTCGCACGTGCTGGTGGCCGCGGGCCGGACCCCCAACACGGCCGACCTGGGCCTGGCCCGCGCGGGCATCGAGGTGGACGGCCGCGGCTTCATCAAGGTGGACGAGCACCTTGCCACCACGGCCCCGGGCGTCTGGGCCCTGGGCGACATCAAGGGCGGCGTGCAGCAGACGCACGTCAGCTACGACGACTTTCGGGTGCTGCGGCACAACCTGATCACGCACGCCGACGGCAACGAGCGGGCGTCGATCCAGGGCCGCCTGGTGCCCTACACGACATTCATCGACCCGCAGTTGGGCCGCGTGGGCATGACCGAGAAGGAGGCCCGCGCGCTGCCACAGCCCCGGAACGTCAAGGTGGCCAAGATGCCCATGGCCTACGTGGCCCGCGCGCTCGAGATGGACGAGACCAAGGGCTTCATGAAGGCCGTGGTCGACGCCGACTCCAAGGAGATCCTGGGCTTCGCCTGTCTGGGCATCGAGGGGGGGGAGATCATGAGCATGGTCCAGTTGGCCATGTTGGGCGGGTGTGAGTTCTGTTTCTTCTTCTTCTTCTTCTTCTTCTTCTTCTTCTTCTTCTTCTTCTTCTTCTTCTTCTTCTTCTTCTTCTTCTTCTTCTTCTTCTTCTTCTTCTTCTTCTTCTTCTTCTTCTTCTTTTTGCCTTTCTTCTTTTTCTTATTCGTCTTCTTTTTTTTCTTCTTCTT